TGTAATATATGTATGTATAAAATGTCTCGCGCTTCTCACGTTCTAATACCACCAAACTTATTTTTAAATAATACCAAATTTGCTAATGCAAAACTAATTTATTCCAAGACGAATATGCCCGTATAGAATAGATATATAAAACGTCAGCTCCTTCTCATGTTCTACCACCAATTACCGAGAAGAAAGGAGGCCCAGTGAGGTGCCCACATAAGCGTTCCTAGTATGTTACGAGTAGGCATTAAGAAATATGCATTTATTTGGAACCAGGCGTCTGATGCTGTGATAGCGCAATCTTAGGCATTAGTAGTAACTATTTTAGTGAAACACATCCACTCTTGCCTCGAAAATTTATGTAAATAACTTGCATCTTACAATCGGACGGACACAAAAATACAGACAGCTTATTCTTTTGATTTAACGCAAAGAGCTCTCATTTAGATTTTTCAGTTTGTTTTTAGGGTTCCGTTCCCAAAGGGTAAAACGGGACCCTATTACTAAGACTTCGCTGTTTGTCTATCCGTCCGTCTGTCACCGTCCGTGACTGTATCTCATGAACCGTGATAGTTAGACAGTAATTTTCACAGATGATGTATTTCTGTGGCGGCTATAACAACAAGTCCTAAAAAACAGAATAAAAAATATTTAAGTGGGACTTACATACAACGGACATGATTTTTTTGCAGTTTTTATAGATAATGGTACAGAACCCTTTATTCAAGTTGCAATATCTTTCGTGATGCATGAATGATTTCAACCCACCCATATTCGTTTTACTCTTGCTTCGTTTAAAAATCTTGCAAATTAGCTCGGACATACCTCTGTCCACCCACTTACCACCGTGAAAAGTCCTGAGCAGTAAATGTGATAAAATACATTCCAAGTTGGAAACATCTCGATTTTCAGGCAAAATCGATAGAATTTCTCGGTAAAGGAGTATTATATAATGATTAATTAGGATAATTAGAACAATAAATAATTAGATTAGAATAATTATGTTTAGACAAGAACACATTGTTGTTAATGATAATTACCTAGTAATGACAATGTAAATAAAATTAACGCTTTGCTGTCGGGTTGTTCGATAAACACTTCGCTAACACATGAATAGTTTTATGTAGAAAGTAAAAAATAACCGGCCAAGTTCGAGTCGAACTCGCGCACGAAGGGTTCCGTGCCATTATATATAAAAACGGCGAAAAAAATCATGCCTGTTGTATGGGAGCCCTATTTAAACTCTTTTCTAGTATTTGTTGTTATAGCAGCAATAGAAATACATCAATTCTGTCGAAATTTCAACTGTCCATCGCGGTTCAAGTGATACAGCCTGGTGACAGACGGATAGACAGACAGACAGCGGACAGTTAACCCTTTTGTTACGGAACCCTAAAAAATAGTAAACTTCATCGCAGAATAAAAAAGTACTCACTCGTATGGCACGGCGCAGTGGTTTAGGTTCGAATCCCGTGCACACAAATGTGTGGTCCATAGATAATGGTGGTACCTAGGTGTTATTTGTGTCTGTGATTGCATGTTACTGAACCGAGTGACACTAGCAATTATTCCTAGTGCGGAGATTTATTTATTTTTCATCCGACCTCAGAAATGGAGGAGATTATCAATTCGAATGTATTTTTTCTATGAAGTAACAACCTCAGAATCAACTATAAAATGAATACAGAGCGAGATATTTGAAGTCAGTTCTGTTTTTCGTTAATAAAAAAAGGACTTGTTCTCTATAAGATATCCAACAGCAGTGCATAATGTATAAAAAATATAGAATATTTTTTTATACATGAACACAGTTTTTATTAAAAAAAAAAACACCGCCCTTACTTTAGGGTAACATTCTCCTGTGTCTCCGTTTTACTAACATAAACACCACATGGACAAACACCCAGATGCGAAACAATAATCAGTGGTTCACACAAATACTTGTCCATTGTGGGAATCGAACCCACGACCCTCACCCGACGCCGAAGCCAGCGGCTTAGCAACTGCGCAACCAATCTTTCGAGTTCATATCATTAAAGGCAGAATAAACGATGCATATAAAACTAAGAATCTCATATTAAAATTTTTATGTTAATACTAGCGGACCGGACAGACGTCCTGTACACACGACATAATTTCGACAACTTAAAAATAAAAAAAAATTGTAGTGGACCGAACTGTGAATTTAAACTATTCTCGAATCGACCTGAAGATACGCAAAAATCGGTCCAGCCGTTAAGGAGGAGTTCAGTGGAATACACGTACAGAAGAATTATATATATAAAGATTTTAATAATAATAAATGATAATGTTATTGAAGTAAGGCGATCTGGTGGTTCTCGAGAGAATCTCATATCACTTTGACACCTGAGGGACAATAAAATATGCCAATGGAGACATGACCTTTGTTTATGGTGTAAATATTTTTATTACTACACGTCTAAACAAGGAAATACATTCAACGAATAAAGCACCGGTCATTCAATCATTTATTTATTCAATGATAAATGTTTAAATGAACACTTATGATAATAATATTATGGCTATGTGTCAGCATTCTTTAAGTTTTCCGCATATTTGTATTGCATCATGTACCTATTCTAATGAATAATAATAAAAATATTTAATAATACGTCTTGTATTAATGTTTTTATTCAGAGTTTACATAGAAATATATAAATATATAATATATGAATATGTAAATAATACGGCCATCATAATAGGCCGCGGCTTATGCTTATAGATACTTAACACAAGAATTTCTGTGGTTGATTGGGATAGCGGCAGTATTGATATATAAAAATAAATGTTATGATATCAAAAGTGAAAAAGCTAACAATATGGAAGTCTAAATACCAAAATAATTACCCAAACACTTGCTGTTCAGTGTCCTATAAGTGTCCGGGCGCTCGCCTTTAATTCCATATACTCAAGGCAACCGGAGTTCGATCCCCGATGCCAGGCACCAATGGAAGTGTTAATTTTAAGTGCTGATAGGTCAGATACGTGCTCCGCGGTCAAGGAAAACATCGTTAGGAAACCTGCATATTTTCGAAATAATAGCAAAAAAGATTTTTCGAAGACGTGTGAAGTCCGCCAATCTGCACTGGGGCCGCGAGGCGGTGCTCAGCAGTGGGACTTGTATAAGTTGTTTAATAAATAGTTAACATTGTTAATCAAAACACATATACGTGTGGGTGTACTGCAGACATTAATACATATCATAATATTCAGAGAAATAAATTATAGCTCTGTCTAGTGTCTACACCTTCTGATTGCTTACGCACAGCGGCTCCATCCATAAACGGTTACATAAATGCCACGAGGCAGCCTAATGACAGCGGTCGCAACTGGTATCGGCCTTACAATAACAAACACATTACCTAACTGACCTAGTTTAACGTTGCAATCGTTGGACGCGTCACAAACAATTTGTTTAAAAAAGGAAAAACGACAAATATTCTCGCTCATCATCAACACTTCAGCCTGTTCAAGTGCACGAAGCACGATCCTCCACCACAATAATCATATAACACAATTATCAATTGTACACATCATATACATGAATAATTATGTAGTATTATTTGTAGTATGTAATAATTAATTGAATATTTCATTTATGAGATTGAGGGTAGGGAAAGAACAAGCGGCACGTGTTAAGCGATTACAGCCGTCCCATTGACATCAGCAATACGAATCAAGAATCAGTCGCATCACTACATAGTATAAAATAAAGCCGTCCCGCTGTCTGTCTGTCCCTATCTTTAAAACTACGCAATGGATTTTGATGCGGTTTTCTTTAAAAGATAGAGAGATTCAAGAAGAAGGGTTATATGTATAAATCATGCATAATATAGTAGGGAAATACTGATAATTTGTTTCTAATGCAATGTCGAAAACAAACATTTGCACCTGCGCGAAGCCGGGGCGGGTCGTTAATTATTATATAGACCAGACGAACTGTAAAAGCACACAACACTTCTACACTCTTCACTTCGAGGTCATGATGCTTTTTCGCATGAGCTCGACCAGTCGTTCAACAGTAGGACCTTGTTGGACCAAAGAGTATATGGTCCTTCGTGCCGGATAAATTAAAAAGACGAGTTCACACAATTGCTAGACCTTGCCTCTACACGGCAAATACAATATGCGAGTGCACTAACCTTGTAGCTATTATCAATACGTAATTGTTGTTGTAGGAGCGGTCGCATTGTGCAGTACGGAAATAGATCATCACCGACCTGGCATGTTCAGCCGTACAGTTGTCTGTACAGTTCGGCTGTATGGTACACGACCTAAAGAAATAAGCAAAGAGGAATGTATTTTTAATTTTTAGCAGAGCGTTACAGATTCGCGCCACCGTCCGTCCTACCATGAAATTACATTCGAACCAGGGACGGGTGCGCGTGTCATTTGCGTATAACAGTGCTGCACCACCCTCGTCTAGGAACCGATTAATTTCTTACCAATGTTAATAAATATTACTTTTTTCTAACGTTTATGGAATTTATTTTTTTTAAGTATCATCTAGCCAGTTAATCTCAAGGGTAGGTAAAAGTAAAGTAAACAAATAAACAACAGTATCACAATTGAGTCTCAGACTTGCTCTGATCGTATCGTCATGTAGTGATGTTGTCTATGTGGTTTTTTTTTAAATGGAATGATATTCGTTTTGTAATATTATTGCCCGGTACGGTTGTGTGTAATGGAAAAATACATTAATTTTAAATTGAAACATTTTTGCACGTCGCTAAATATCTTAGACGCAATCTCCGACGATGTTGCGAGGGTATGACAATTCCTATGCTCTTTAGTAGTGGTCTGTTCACGTAGCAGTTTCCGTTGTCGCGTAAAATGGCTCGGATTCACGGAGAAAGCAAGAAAGCCTCTAAAGGGCCTGGTGTTGCTGGTGATCGTCGAAGGCTTTAAACATTCGTTGAACCAACCGCTTGGTCGCCACCGTCTCTTAACAAAACTTCGGTGCTCATGTTGCTTGCTGCTTGTTGCAGATGTTGCAAGAGAAGAGGCTGTGCATCCTCGGCTCGGAGCTCTCGGAGCTGGACATCTTCGAGAGGCTGCTACGCTTCACCGGAGCCCAGTTGCGGCTGTTACAATGCTTTCAGGTTTGTTGATATCATAGTATAAAACAAAGTAGTCCCGCTGTCTGTCATCCCTATTTATGATTAGAACTTTAAAACTACGCGAAGGATCTTGATGCGATTTTTTTTTTTACTAGATAGAGTGATTCAAGAGGAAAGTTTATATGTATAATACATTGCACCCGTGCGAAGCCGGGGCGGGTCGCTAGTTAGATGTAATATCAAATATGATATTACGATCAGATAGGAGCAGTTTACAGTTTGCACAGCACAGAATCCAAACTCATCTAAGAGCTTAAAGTGTTTTAGCCAAATTCCATTGTTTATCCCGAACTTGTTATAAGAACTTGATATAATAGATAATAAATATAAGTTGTTCTATTTGTTAAAAAAACGCTGTCAAGGCCATGTATGACGTAAACTTTCGCACCTATTTCGAAGGTAGCTCTGTCGATTTCGACAACGGGAGCTAGTCCAGTGTAGTAATATAAAATAGTATAGCTTCTATGCTTCTAAAATAGTATCATACTATATTCCTTAAATACATTTTAAATGTGTGATATTTGAGTTTTCGTTTTAATTCCGTTACCAGGACCGCGGTGACAAACTCGCAGGCATAATCTGGTTGTTACATAAATCTGTTACATGGATATTATTTAGTACTAGCTGCCCGAACAGTCTTCGTTCCCTTTTTTATAGTATTAAAACCTTCAGTGAACCTTAAGCAACATACAAAAAAATAAATTAGCCGAATTGGTCCAGCCATTGATTTATGCGCTTACCAACATTCATTTTTGTTATTAAGATTTGTCCTATTTCAAATTCCCTGCGTTTGGAACACTCACAGCACCCACGGTCAACACCCAGACTATACAATGATTAAACTCGATAAAGCCCCTCAGATAGTTTTATTTCAACAAAGAAAATCTATAAACGTGAGACTAGTTTTAAAAGTCATGCCTTATACTTATATACAGCGTGTCGTTACCATCGCGACAATAAATGAACACACGTCTAATGCAACTTGCCAATAATCATAAAAAAATATTAACGCTAAAAAATCCATAATTAAAAAAAATATTTTTCAAACAAACTAATTAAGTAAAAAAGAAACAAAATTTGTAACATCCTATACAACTACAACTGACTGATTCATGCATTCAGAGACTTTTTCATTCGTTGCCACAGCGTTGCATTACAAGCCTCTCCTCGTAATAGTATGTTTTGTCTCTTTTAAATTCATTCAACCCATTCATATGCTTTGTGACCTTTACAAATGAACTTTACGTAACAGTTTTATACGTAAGTTTTGGAAAATTTAATAACTCTGTAAATATTGATGTTTAAAGAATGTACATTTTTGATACAATTTTAAAAAGTTATCCTCCATATGTGTGTTCATTTATTGTCGCGTTGGTAACGACACGCTGTATATTGTAGCAAGCAGTATAAGGAAAGTGGCCTCCAATACCCGATACGCGCTTTGGAGGAAGTCTCCATTGTTTACACTTCTATGACACACCGTTGATTAAACATTTATCCTTGCGTTATACACACGTTAATACACATTATACTTACGTACTGTACACACGTCTACCAAACAATGGACGTTTTTGTGAAAACCGTACATTTATTGTGATTAACGAAACATCTGTAGATGTTTTAAACTTATTTCTTCACGATGCTACAGTCTTTTGCTTTGAGGGGTGCGTAACAATAATCGGCTAGTTAATTGCTAATATAATAACACTCACACCCAGTTTCCGAAAGCGCAATCAATTTTAATTTACGATAAATCTCTTGTCAATCGTTGGTTAAAAATGTATTTTATCAAAAATCTTAGTTTTTATTAAAAATAAACATAATTCCCTAATACGTTGTAGGACATTCATGTGTTCTATTACCTATTTATTATTTATTATTATGCGAACATATCATGCGATTAGAAAAATACAAAATGAGAAAAAAATTCAAAAGTTAATAAATAAAATGGATTCTTTCTTTTTATAATACTTACTTGTTTATTATGGATAAAAGTTAATTTTTTTCTGTAAAGTTTTTTCTTGACAATTTGCATGTATTTATATAAATAAAATTTTATTATAGCTCGGATTTTTACGTTGGCAATCACACGGTGACAAGACTGGATAGTGACGTTAATTTATGTTTTGTTTAAAAAGGGACAGCTATACAATAGAAAGAGTTAGTTGAAGTAAATCATTCATTTCATTCATTATCATTGGTTATATAGTGATTAGCTAATTTTTCTTGAACAAACCTTCCAGAAACCCAAGGCAGTTTAACAAGAGATTAATAGCTGATCATTTTTGACATAGTGTTATGTGATTACTGCTTTGATTGGCCTTTCGGAAACTAGACATAAATGTTAAAAAAAAAATAATATTATAAAACGCATAATATTAGAAATAATAGTATTTGGAATATTTAGCGAAAACTTTCTATACACGTGTTAAGCGCTTCAGGTTACATTCGCTTCTAATTTAATCTTTGTTAAAGAGTAAACCGGTCTCTTTAGGCGTGTTGTAGTGATTATAATTTATAAAGAAGACAACGCCATCTGTCGCTGCACTGAAAATATAATTTAATAAAAAGAATATTCCAAGCACGAAACATATAAAGGAAGGGCGTTAAGGACATTGCAAAATACAGTATCGCGATTTAAATTCAATTATTTAAACTTACACGTGCGATATTTATAAAATTGAAGCAAAAGGTTACCATTTACGATTTATAGTCTCTTGTACCAAAAAAAAAATGTGTTCAACCTGCTAAGTGCGAGTCGAACTCGCGCACGGAGGATTCCGTACCATTATCAATAAAAACGGAGAAAAAAATCATGTCTGTACTTAAATATTTTTTAATTTTATTCTGTTTTTTTGTATTTGTTGCTATAGCGGCAACAGAAACAAATCATCTGTGAAAATTTCATCTGTTTAGCTATCAATTTTCATGAGATACAAGCCTGGTGACAGACGGTCAGACAGACAGTTTTTCTCTTTGGGTACGGAACCCTAAAAACAGTTTAGATCCTACCCACGATCCTCGAACTGATAACCAGGTCTTTGGAGTACTTGACCACGTATTACTACCGTAATATTTAATTATAATAGCCTAATGTTTATAATTTTAAATTTTGTAATAAATAAATAAATTTTAATGTATTTTTTACTTGGATCTCTTATTTTTCCTCTGTGATGTTAATTAAATTTCTTCTTTCTTTCCAATTACAACTAAAGGATTATTAATATAATATGTTAGTAGGTACATGTCAGTAATAAACTAAACTTTGTATATACGTACTAATCAAAGTAATATATTATATTAATATATAGTACTTATTTAAAAACTAGCTGCTGCCCGCGACTACGTCTGCGTAGAATACTTCAAACGAAATATGAAAATGACGGACTAGAACTTGAGTTTTATGTTTTCCCGGTGAGGCTGATATCGATCGACGTCAAAAAGGGATTCTTAATTCGACTTAGGTTTCCTTTTCAAAAGAAGCCTTTTAAAGGATAAATACCTCTTGGAAAAAAAAAATTACTTTCCGGACACAAAATGGCAAAAAAATCGCGTGTTCCGTCCTCCTCAGAATCTGTCAGAGTTTTATGTCTTTTATTCCATACTCAAGACATAAGCAAACTGATAGTGAGGTTTATACATTACTCCTAATGTAAGCCTCAACTTACAAGCTATTGTGTCCCGTAATTATGGTTTTGTGGCATAATCTTGCCTTAATCAATATTTCTCCTAATAAGTGTTAAGTAGTTGCAATAATGGTTAGCAATCAAAATGATTCATCATTATCGACGGGATGACCAAAATGATGTTAAATACATCCTTAAATACATACTTTGTATGTATGGATGGATGTTTGTTACTCTTTCCCGCAAAAACTACTGAATAGATTTTAATGAAACTTTACAATAATATAGCTTATACATCAGAATAAGGTATAGGCTATAATGTATCTACATAATTTATGTATATCTGTCTTTCTGTCTGAATGTTACGCCTTCTTCAACCTATTCTACGCAGACGTAGTCGCGGGCAGCAGCTAATAATATTATAAACGCGAAAGTTTGTATGTATGGATGGATGGTTTGTTACTCTTTCACGCTAAAACTACTGAATATATTTTAATGAAACTTTACAATAATATGGCTTATACAAGAGAATAAGGTATAGGCTATAATTTATAAAGATATTGTGTGAATTGTCCACAATATAGGTAATAATAAGTGTCAACTAAGTAGGAAAAAATTCAGCCATCTGCGACATGTTCTGGTGTATTATAAAAAACTCATTTTTTATTCCCTTTGACCACGCGGGCGAAGCAGCGGTTAGCAGCTAGTACGAAATACTACAATTATATGATTAATAATTTAAAAGTCATTTAATTTAAACTGCAATGGGAGTATAATCGCTTTTATTATGCATTGATTTTATTTATCAATAGGGTTTCAGCTCAACGATGACTATATTTAATATGTTTTGTAACCGCAAATGTTAGGTTTACATGAAAGTTCATGTGAGGAATCGAATTTCGAAAGAAAAAATTGTATGGTTTATTCCAATACAGACTTTTTTTTTATTGAACAAGTCCCATAATAAATTTTGCAAAAGGCGTACTTAATGTTAACCCTTTTAACAAATATTTTATACAGCAACAAGATACTGCTTCGGTCAGCGAAATGATGAGAGCAATCAATTTGCGTTATTTTGTACGTATGTTAATAGTAGACTACAATTTTGCATTCTAACTGGATCAAGGCAACCGAAGACTGTACAAGTGCAAGATAATTCAAAACGGAATTTCTTGAAATAAGCAAGTTCAAGTTTTGCATATGCAGATGGGATGGCCAATCTCACGTCGTCCTTTTAATTGTTTTATAGCCTTTGTTACGAACAAGGCTAGGTGCTCATATCGCTTCCAATGCGACATTTCCAGGGCTTTGGATACGTAGTTTGGCTTTAGAATGATATTTATTTGTAACAAGTCTTAATTATTAAATTAGCTTTACTTTCTCTTTGTATTAATAACAGCCTGTTAATACATCCATTCAATAACTAATAACATAAATGCAAAGATCGCGATAGTTTACTATGTCGACTTGGAAAATAGACGAATAAAAGTAAACAAATTAAATCGTGACTTATGTATCGGTGTCAGGATTTGAATTCTGTTTGATTTGTTGATGTTAACCGCCGCCCATGGGTATTCGCAACACCCGTGGAGTTGCAAATGCGGTGCCGCCTCTGAATAAAGTGGGCCCCGGCTACCTCACTACTACCAGACGAAACGTAGAAGTGTAACACTTGTACTTTACGGTCGGTCTTCTGTGAGGTCGTAGTACTCACCAAGACGGACCTGCCCATTCGTGCAACATTGAACACTGTTGCGTGCCCCTACCACATTTGATAATAATATAATATGCACATACTAAAGATAGGAAACTTTACTTATGCAACCCTGACCTTTTGCTATCACGATAGCTACTAGTTATTTCTATACATATATAAGTTCTTGTTGCTTTTTATATTCGACGACCACTTCGCAAGACAATTATTTTATCTCATCGTTTCATATAAATCTGTTTATAATCACCATTGTGCCCTCGGCGGCTACCAGAGTCGGGAGATATCTCTACTTCGCTCAGCCGATGATATGGCATTCAACTCTGTGAATACGGGTTTTATATCGGCAAAAACTTGTCTAACCGAGAATGTAGTCTGAATAGGCATGGCTTCATTTACATTTATTTTTGAATTATGTTTTTTTTTTTTTTTGTTTAAACCAATCTTCACCGATGTGATTAAGTACTTGAATTATATGTTCCTTGTTCTGTGTTATTTTTTTAGGGTTCCGTGCCCAAAGGGTAAAACGGGACCCTAAAAAAAAATGTAATGAAATTTCAAATGTACTTCATTGTATAGCTGTTGCGCACAGCTGACTAACACACCGTGAAAATTGTGAACAAAAAAGCAAAAATATAAAATAAACAAGCGATTAGTAGAAGATTAGAAGAAGACAACAAACACACCAGTTTTGTTGTCATCTTTGTCGGATACAGGTTTAATTAAACAATTTATGTGCCCGATCGGGTGTTCGTTATTATGCTATTTTGTGTGAAAACCGCTGCACAAAACAGCATTATCGCATCGAGTAAGAACTGTTGTATGTAATATAATGAAAACAATTGAATGATTTATTGATTTGAATTGTAATTCATTGTGGTTGCTATCTAAATGTAATGATTCCTATATCTTATGAACCGCGATGAACTAAACTAAGGCATCATCTATTCTTCGCTCAAATGTCATAGATGACACGTAGTATAATAACTTGTTCAAATTCAATTTACGGGTCAATGAGATTTGCCTCCAGCCTTAAATCTGAAGAACGCTTAACTCACGCCACAGATTAGTAACACAACAGAATAGTACCTGGGCAGATTTTTTTTATGTTGTGTTTGTTCGCATGTTACTCTGTAAGGTTATTCACAGATAATGTCATATAGCGGTAATAGCTGACAATACGGTGCCCTGTGACATTGTTATTGTCGATTTGTTATGTGTTATTGTGATATTTTATTTTTTTCTGTATAATCGCGTTTTTTTTCCAGGAAAGATGACACCTAATAGATGAACCTAAAAAAACAATACATCGATGCAAACTTATAGACCAGTTGCAGAGTTTCGTATAAACACAAAGATTGGTCGTTTAAAGTTATGAATATACGGCTAGTAAAGTTATGAATATAACGCATACGGCTGCGTTTCTCTCTATATTTTATACAAATGTACCGTTTAAATTCCAGGCGGTGATAGAGCACGGTTCAAAACTGTCGGCGGAGCTGGCGACAGGCTATATTACGAGGTGCGACGCTGCCGTTAAAACGCCCGACAGTCTCATCCAGCTCGGCCTTAGGCTGGGTAAGTTGCTTGCTCCATACTCGAGATGACGTCAATTATGAACTTAAATAGGAGTAGGTCCCCACCCTAAAGACAAAAGTAATGTAGACAAAAAACCAATCGCAAATTAAATGCTTACTTTAACGGTGGTAGGGCCACGCAGCAGCCTCGGCTGTTGCACGAATCGGCAGGCCCGTCCGGGTAAGTACCACGACCTCACAGAAGACCAGCGTAAAGTGGAAGTATGACAAATAATTTCGCGTTTCGTCTGGAGAGTGAGGTAGTCGGAGTCAGGTTTTCAAAAGTTTGTCTACGCATCTGTAAACCTCGGGTGTAGCAGATGTCCATGGGCGGGGGTATTCACTTAACATCAGGTGAACCGTCTGCTCGCTTGGCAACTTTTTACATTAAAAAAAAACTTGCTTCAACCATTAGTATCCCACTGTTGGGCAAAGGCCTCCTTCCATTTCTTACACTCCTCCCTGTCGTGGGCTATACCAGACCAATCCCTCGCAAATGCGTCCAGTTCGTAGCGCCATCTCCGTCTGGTCCTGCCGCGTGTCCGTCTTACATTTTATAGAAGCAACTATCGCTTATACAAAGCTTGTGATGAGAAGGGGGGTGCGTGGACTTTAGTGATAGGAGATTTTAATAGAGTCAAGATAATAGCGACATCCTCTGTTCACATGGGAGCCGGAAACGAACGCGGAGAACGTCTTACAATTTGCCTTTGGTCAAAATAATTAATAATAACAAAACAAAAAAAAAACACTGCTTGCGTCTCACATATGAAATCGTGATCGCAGGCGGTTTCTTCAACGAGGCCGGATGGTACGCCGATGCGGAGCGTGTCCTGTTGCGGTGCCAACAGCTGTGCCAGGCCCAGCCGCCGTCTCCCCGCTACAGGCGGCTGACCCTCGAGTGCTGCCACAGGTGGGTCATGGTGCCTATTCAACGTTGATACACTCCCCCTCCGAAATTCAACTTTGATTCATAAGACACCGCCATCTGAACTGGACACATCGAGAACATAACGGATAGTCGTTGCAGATCAAAGTCGAAACTTCTTTATTCAACACGGGCTTATTTTAAGCGGTTTACTAAACTAGACCTGCGAGAGAAGAACCGGGAAGAGACTCTGCGGTCATATAGTTTTTGTTTTTATAAATTATTTGAGTATATACACAAAGGTATTTAAGTATAAAATTAGCAGGAGCCAGGGGACTTGCAAGTGTCATCATCCTCCTATTGCGAACGTTGATACACTCCCTCTCGGACATTCAAAGTACAAAGAGCAAGCTTAAACCAGCTTGCTCTTTGAGCATGTAATATAGCTATGACTGATTCATAGGTTCATTTCCTCTGGAAACAAAATCATTACGGATAGTCGTTAAAGGCATTGCAGATCGCAACCTGTTCTCGTCTACTTAAGCTAATGAGAGCACCGGAGAGGAAACGATGGATGTAACTGCGGTAGGGCCACGAAACAGTCTTCGCTGTTGCACCAATGGGCTGATCCCTCCGGGTCCCTCGCACACAAACCGGACCAGCCGGACCACAAACTCGCAGACAACCGGCGCGAAATGGAAGTGTTACACTTCTGGGTTTCATCTGGTGAGCGAGGTAGCCGTTTATCGAAATCGAAACGCATCTTGCGAGCCGGGTGCTACAGATGTCCGTCGGTGGCGGTTATCATTTAACTCCAGCTCACCCGTTATCTAGTTTGGCTTCTCACATAAAAAATGTCTAGTTTATTGATCTTGGTCTTGGTATGTTACCTGGTACCGTGGCGGCCATCACTGCAGAACCGCCGTCTCGCTTGCTCGAGATGAAAAGAAATCAATACGGTGAGTTGTTTTGTGAATCTCCTCAGGTTGCTGAACACCCAGTCGGCTTACTGCTGCTTTCCGGCCGCCGCGGAGACGTACTCGTTGTCCCTCCGCCTGCTCGGCTTACCGCCAGACGTGGCCGACGATTTGAGCGACAGGCCCACAGCACTGCTAAAGGACTGCCTTCGATCCCTTGAGGAGGAAGACGCCGGAGACGACAGGAGCAGGTATGTTCGCTCATAATTACTAAACGTAAATAGTTCAAACTGTCCGTCTGAAATCGGTTTCTTTAAGGTATAACTCACCTTTTAATAAAGTGGTTGAAAACAAAAAAAAAAACATGCGCAGAGATCGTTTCTTGTTTCACTTGGTGCGATCGGTACAATATATCATTACATTGTGTTAAACGAAGTCGTATCGCTGTCTCTCTGTCCCTATATATGTTTAGATCTTTAAAAATATGCAACGGCGGTTATCTTCAATAGATAGAGTGATTCAAGAGGAAGGTTTATATGTATAATACATTAGAAAAACACTGATAAATTTAGAGGTTTGTAATGTGATGACGAAAACAAATATTCAGCATTGCACCCCATTGAACTATATTATTAACCATTAGATTGAAGCTTTTCGCCTAAGGTGCAGCGATGGAGTTTAAATAGATAAATAAATAAATTTGATTTCCCACCGTGGCAGGGCGTGGGCGTGCGCGGGGTCCGGTTGCGCGGCGCGCTGCTCCGCCGCGGCGCTGGTGGCGCGCCTGTGCAAGGAGCTGAGCGCGCTCCACTTCGTGCGCTGCGACTACGGCGCCGCGCGGGCGTGGAGCGCGCGCGCGCTGCAGCTGCTGACGGCGCACGCGCCCGCGCGCCTCGGCGTCGAGGTGCTGCGCGCGTGCGGCAAGGCGTGCGTGGTGAAGCGCCGCTTCGCCGCGGCGGGCCTGCTGCTGCGCCAGGCGGTGGCGCTGGCGCGCAGCGCGCACGGCCCGCGCCACCCGCGCCACGCGCACGCGCTGCTCGACTACGGCTTCTACCTGCTCAACGTCGACTCCATCGCGCGCAGCGTCGCCGTCTACGAGGTGCGCCCTAGTCTCTTCGAGATGCGCAACGCCCCGAACTCGACCTTTCTTTCTTCAATATACGCGTAGCATGTTGCAACAAAACGCCCTCATTTTACGTAGTCCTAGCGTAGACGCGTAGCTGATAAGCAGCTCGCAAGAAAGCCGCGAAGTTGCCTTCGTAGCCCCGGCGTAGACGCATAGCTGATAAGAGCATCTGACAAGAAGGCGTTCTCGCCTTTCATAGCCCTATCGTATCCGCTTAGCTGACGCGAGCATCTAGCAAGAAAGCGCCCACGCATCTCGTAGTCCTAACGTGGCTGCGTAACTGATGCGAGCATCTGACAAGAAAGCGCCCTCGAATCTCGTAGCGCCTAACGTAGACGCGTAGCTCACACGACACTGTGCTCAGGAGGCGCTGCAGACGCTACGGCGCGTGTTCGGCCGTAGCAGCCTGCACGTGGCCACCGCGCAGGAGGACCTAGCCTACGCGCTCTACGTGCTCGAGTACTCCTCGGGCCGCTTCTACAAGGCCAGGGACCACGCCGAGAGGGCCATACGGATCATCGAGGTACCTGCTCTGTTAGCTGGGTGGTAGTAATACGTGTATTGTATTTGTAAATAGGCGAACTTTAACAAAAACGCTTCTCGCCACTGAAAAATTTATTATCTAGTCTCCGAAAGTGTTTTAACATGAAAAAGCTCTAAGGTATCTGTAAAGTTTCTAGAGACTGAGCTCCTCGCTATGATGTAAATTTAAAATTGGTTTCGAAATAAAAAAATGTGTATATAGTAAGTGAAATATTCAGTAAGGATTAAATGTTCAGTATTATTCATTTATGAATTATATATTTCTACGACCCAAATGGCGTAGTGGGTAGTGTACCTGCCTCCTGCGCTAGAGGGTGTGGGTTCGATCCCCACTACTGGAAAAATATTGTGTGATGAACATAGTATTTTTCTAGTGTCTGGGTGTTTATATAATATGTATTTATTTACAAAAGAAAAGTATGTTTAAGTATGTTTATCAGTTATCTAGTACCCATAGTACAAGCTTTGCTTAGTTTGGAACTAGAGAACGTTGTGTAAAAATGTGTCCTAAAATATTTATTTATTTATGTATTAAAAATTCTTCCTCGTAGAAAATTATGCTTCTACCAAAACTTCATATTTCTCACTATTATAAAAGCTTCAAGTAAATGTCAAGGAGCAAAGGCTAATTAACATCGTCCACTATACCGAAGTACACCTCAGTGGATATTTGTCCTAATACAGTGTTCGTTTCAGAACCTGGTGCCACCGGACCACCTGCTGCTGGCTTCCGCGAAGCGCGTCAAAGCGCTCATCCTCGAGGAGATCGCCCTGGACACGCCCGCCGGCCAGGACATGAGCGGTAATGGCCCAATAGTCCATAGAGCCCTTAGTGCCCCAGTTCGAATCCCGGTGCCGGCACCAATGAAATTCTTCATTGCGATTTTAAGCGCTGAATCACGCGCTCAGCGATAAAGGAAAACATAGTGAGGAAACCTGCACGTTTTCCTACATGTAAAATAAGGAAGGTTTTATTCAGTTTTGCTTGATGACGGACAATTACACTGTTATACTTTAATGATTATAATAGAGGAACGCAAATGAAAAAATGTTTTCACTACATGCACTCGGTTGCACAGTACTAAACTATTGGCTCCGGCCCGAGGGGCCATGGGTTCAGTTCCCACACGGGACGAGTATTTATATGACCCCGCATAATGTTTCCGGACCTGAGACGTTCCTAAGGGGAGACGTTCGTTAGAAAGCGTTTGTTATTAAAAACCCTTGTCAGAACCACTTACAACATGTGGCCCAACTGGTGGTACAACTACTAAGGGTGTTGCAAATGTCCATGGGCGGCGGTTATCAATTAACATCAGGTTGACCGCCGCCCATTAACATTTGCAACACCCGTAGGGTTGCAAATGCGTTGCCATCTTATAATAAAGTGAACCCCGGCTACCTCACTCGCCAGACGAAACGTAGTAGTGTAACGCTTCCACTTGACGCCGATCGTGTTTGAGGTCGTGGTAATTACACGGACGGACTGTTGACAACCGAAGCCCTACCACAGTTAAACGGGTATTAAATATCCTTTCCAAAACCACTTACAACATGAGACCGTGATATACCGAACCCACCAAGTTAGGATGAGGACAAGATGATGATGATGGATTTATCCTTCAGAGCCGAGTCTGCTGGAAGAGTCTGAGTCGCTGCACAAGGCGGCGCTGGCGCTCTCGATGCTGGCCTTCGGCGAGAAGAACGTGCAGACGGCCAAGCACTACGGCAACCTGGGCCGCCTCTACCAGAGCATGCAGAAGTTCCAGGTGAATAGAATCTTCGCCTTGACACTGACCCAAAAGCTATCATCATAGCTCATAAGCGTCGCTAGTTATCACCATTATTATCGTCAGCGTATTAGAGTCCACTGCTGAAAATAGGCTTCCCCGAATGACTGCCAGGAAGCACAATTCCGAACCTCCCGCATCCATCGCAATATACGGAAATGTAATTGAAATTCGAGGCAGTTTAAGACCATAAAATTGCTTGACGTGCTTTTAAGTGTGTAGAGAGAATATAGCCCAACCTCAACCGCTTCGAGGCATGAGGCGTACAATATCTTTAATATATGCGAGATCATTCAGCAGAGTCTTTGCATATTGAAGAGAATTCGAGCACCAGTGCAACGTTTTCGCATTCAATAAGCGTTTATAAAGGAGAATATAGTTGTGTGTTGGTGAATCTTAAACCGTGTTTCGTATTTGGTTCGCAGGACGCGGAAACGATGCACCTGAAGGCGATCGCCATCAAGGAGGAGCTCCTCGGGGCCGAGGACTACGAGGTGGGCCTGAGCGTGGGCCACCTGGCCTCGCTCTACAACTACCACATGAACATGCACTGCGCCGCAGAGAAGCTCTACCAGCGCTCCATCGCCATCAGTGAGTACTCGCGTGTTGGTCCTTCGAACCGGATATCACAGAATACTGCGAATTAATACAACTCCATCGGATGATTTATATGCCACTAATGCTTTTACGACCCTTAGAAACGAATCGTTTTCGTAAAATTCGATCAAACACTGTCATTCACTGTCAACTATCTCATTTCCATAGGTCTAATCTTAATCTGTGTGAACTCGATTCTTTGGGCGCGAGATTCTCTTCAATGAAAATAATCGTAGATTAATTAGCTTTGTAAATGCTGAGCAGGTGAACCTTTCCAATCGTCCCAAAATTACTTCGTAACGCGAATGCTGGCTACTGGACAATCAGAAACTCGCCAAAGTTAGACAATAACGCATTATTTCCACAGGTCTCAAGCTGTTCGGCGAGCGGTACTCCGGTCTAGAGTACGACTACCGCGGCCTGGTGCACGTATGCACCCAGCTCAAGCGCCACGAGCGGGCGGACCACTACAGCACCCTGCTGCAGCGCTGGCATGGTGCGACACGCACACTGAATGCACAAACACCAACGCACACACTCACATATACGTTCTGTTCATGATAACACCCGCGCCGTAGTTCACCAAGACATAAGCGTCTAGCAACACTTGTCGAAGTCGCGAATAAGTTTTATCAATAAAACATTAATAAAGTTTTGCCATATTTAGGTGTATACTACCTCAAGATAACAATCGTTTCCGTAGTTTATTGACACACACGCGAGGAGCAACATGTCACGAATAAGTTTCAAACTTATCAATCATAAATTAAGCTTAGTTGTATATAATAGTAACTCCATATTTTTCAAAATTATTTTTCTTACAACATTAAAATCGCAAGCACAAATTCTTCACAACAGTATAAAGCATTAAGTCCTACGATGCTATAATCATAATGCATTCAAGGATTCACTCGCGCATTTTTGTCTCTCCTGTAAAATTTGTTTTGTCACATAGTGCTGTTTACCTCTGAGGTACAGCTGTTTACTGTTTTAAGACATATATTTGCTATGATCCCATAGAGCTCCGCGAGCAGTCGAAGACCGAGCAACAGCCGGCGCTGGGTGACGAGCAGGTGCTGCCGCTCGACGAGCTGCGCGCCAAGCTGCTCGCCGAGCAGTGAGCCGAGCGCCGGACTCGCAACGACACTGCCATCTCCACGCGCGACGCACCGCTACGTCCCGCCCAAGCACTGGACGGACTCGCGTTTGTCATATTAAAAAATAGTTTCTTACTTCCTCGTCTAGATGGCGCTATAATAAATCGGCTGTAGCCAGACGCAGAACCGTGACTTTTATAAAGTAGTTATCATGTTACGTATAGATGTCGCTGTCATATTTCGACTGAAGGAATCCCGAAGCAAACTGGCCGATTGACTTTTTTTGAAATTTTTAAATGTAACAATTCAATCATAGATGTCGCTATTTACAATTCAAGCGAAACTCAAGTATTCCAGCAAGTACCTTATTCGTTTTTTAATTAAGCGCGAATTCATCGGCGGCATCTGAACTCGTGGAGGGAATGTTGATACGAATTATTCATATTCATTGTTATGCTTGACAACGTAGAGTTCATGGTCTGTGTTAAGGCGAGACCGAATGTACATGTCCACATATAAAATTAAATTTGGCGCGTAATATTCCTTACTAAAACCGAAAATTGACCGTTTGATGACTTCTTAAAGTACTATGCGAATGACGATTCTTAGTGCGGAATTAAATGTACGTAGATTTGAATGTTAATATGCACAATTAATGTAATGATAATATAAAATGATGATGGAGTTTGTAAATTATTTCCTGTGTGAATAGTAGAGTGGAGTTATCTGTCGCTAGCTTATTGGATCTGCGATTGTGTATTTGTGATTGTCACGTTGTCAAACTATTGCCTAGGCATTAAACTTTTGTCTAACACAGTAAGGTTTGAACAAAGTGACTCCGATCCACTACGTTTAAACCGGTCACTGTGGCCATCTTAATGAATGCGTGACTTCCACATGGATATATCTATTATTTTAGCCGTATCGTTTTATATAAATTATTTACTCAGTTTTAGACCTCAGCATGTATGTTAGTGTTGTATGTTCCTTTAAGTTAGTGGTTAATTTTGTAAAAAAAAAAAAAATGACACGAATTTCTCGACCGCGCGGCCCTGAGCGGTTGGATCTATCTACCTTGTGGGCAATCCGATGTGTTTCTAGCTGTATATAAATTGTTTCTTTATTCTCTGCTGACTTGTCGGTGCACCAATGCTGGCGCGTCTCCGTTTCACACCATAGGCCGTTTGTATCGAATCGATGTGATTAGTACTTAATAGTAAAATTGACACAACTCCCACGCGGTGCTTGAATACGGTCCGAGCTACGAGCATATCTCACGTCATGGCCAACGGAGACCGCGTGCACTGCATTTAATACGTTAATGTTATAGAAATAAGGCCGTATTCGGCGCCACGCGCCGTTTCGCAACATTTAGCTTGAACTATTGATTTGCAAGTATTCTATGGATATCGTTATTAATAGGTGCAACGTTACGTTAGCAGTTTGAGAACGGCTGTTAGGTGCGTGAGCTGAATAAATGTGTTTCACGACACACTTTTGTTTTTTTTTTTCGCCCCCACATATCCCTGAAGCCTGATAAGTTTTTGAATTTATTATGATATCATTACTTAGATAAACAATGAATAATGTTTAACTGTGTTGAAAAGGCTTCGACCAACTTCAAGTTCAATGCTTTTTAATCGTAATCAAAACTTTATTTTAAAGGGATCATGCAAAATTTTTGAAAAGTTGTTGTACATACACTAGATGACGCCAAGCATTTCTTAAATACGAAGAAGAAAGTAGATAACTTATTTTCTACAAATTTTTATGTTTCACATTAATTGCAGAGATTAGCACTATAAAAAATTAAATATAAAAAAACTAAGAATGAAGATGTCAATTGTTGACCATATATGGAAAAGGAAATAAAAGAGTCACATAAATATTAAATTTAATAAATATAAGCGAAATGAAAATAATGATAAATGTTTACAACATTTAGAAACATGGAATGCAAATACAAACTCTCCCGATTTAATAATAAACAATCGCGAAATAATCATCTAAAGCACATGCTCACAATTTTCAATAATATTTAAAATATTAATATCTTTTTTTTAATATTCATGTAAGGCACTGAGAGAAAAATATGAACTAATTATAAAATGTATATTTATTGCACTGTAACATTATAAAACTCAAAGGCAACACGTCTATCGCAATTATTTGAAGGATTCGAGACAATTTAAATTAAATATAATTTAAAAATTGCATCAGGACGGGTTATGGTTACGGGTAGGGAGACTGATAAAAACAGATTTCAAATATAAGCTGCCTGAAGAACGATACGTCAAATTAATAATAATCATGCTACATGCACTCGAAACAGGTAGCGCCACCGCTACGCCGGCCGTAGAGCACGTTGCCATTCGTAGAGGCAGTGGCGTTCTACGGCTAGCCTACGCTTCACGCTGGCCCGAGCAGCGCTACGAGCGCGCGCTTGTAGTCGCCCGAGGTCTCGCCCTGCTACGCGCCGGCGGCCGTCGTAGCGAAGCGTAGGCATGCGGGGAATGGGCGGCATCATTAGTAACAAGCTTACTTAGTCATTCGTCGTTTGCGTGTGTGTGAAAATAATATTTAAAAAGTTAAATGCATTGTTTTATTACACCATTGTCATCTATTTAGGGTACCAAGAGTCACCACCACGCAACTGTTCACTGTTGCACGAATGGGCAGGTCCATCCGGGGCAGTACCACGACCTCACAAAAGACCGGCGCAGCGTGATGTGGAAGTATTATACTTCTTTTTGCGATTCGTCTGATGAGTGAGGTAACCGGAGTACACTTTATTAAAAGGTGGCAACGCATCTGCAACCCTACGGGGCGTTGCAAATTTTCATTTCCAGCGGCGGTTATCACTTAAAATTGGGTGAACCGCCAGCTCGCTTGCAATATCACATAAATAAAATACAATACAAATATCACATAAATCTCAAAAAAACTAAATATCGTTCTTTTTCGAATGATATTGTTGTGTGACAACATTCTTTGAATTTGTGCGTACCATAAGGTGTTATTTACTTGATTCGCGTTAAAGTGTTTAATATTATAAATAAATTTAATAAAGATATTTAAAAAATATGTAATAATATTATAAATATGGAATTAATAAAATTTCCTCAATGCATTAACCTCACCAGTTCTCCCGCCACCGGGAGCAGCGTTAAAGACCGGAGCACAATATCGTTAGCACAAAAATTAAAGGACAAAACAAACGTTAGGACATGAATCCAAAGCGTTACACGAGTCGCACCTGCGTCACCAGCCGCATCCTCTTAAGATGGAGCTACAAAACTCTGCGGCTGCCGAAACTCATCAAAGCAACCCCCCGACCTTCGGCGACCTTTGGACGGCTCAAGGTCTCACCTCGAGGTCGCTGCTGAGGGTCTTGTCGTAGATGCGCTCGTACTCGCGCTTGATTGCGGCGAGGTCGACCTCGGCGCGGGTCGCTATCACCCTCACCAGGCAGGGGTCGTCCGTGCCGACGCCCTGCGTGGCGGCGCGCACCCGCCGGGCGAACCACGCGGCCGCGTTCTCCACGCACTCCACTGTAACAAGACCCGCCGCTGCACGCGCGCACCTCGTCCGCAAGGGTCTGCGCGCCGCGGTCGCCCCGCGAATACCTTTTCTCTTTCCCGCGGGAAAAATCCTTTATGGCTCCCCTGCTATTGGACCGGGTCCCGGTGAGAGACGGGTCCTGTCTCCGTCGCGCCGGCCGGGGACACGCGAATACCTACCTTATCGCCGGGGCGTAGGGCCGGATGTGCTACGGTACGTACCCTGATCTCGCTCTCGAGGGTCTTGTCGTAGCGCCGCTCATACTCGCGCTTGACGGCGCCCAGGTCCAGCTCGGAGCGGCTGACGAGCACCCTTATGAGGGTGGAGTCGTCGGTGCCGAGGCCCTGCATGGCCCCCCTCAGCCGAGCGGCGAACCAGCCGGCCGCGTCCTGAACGCACTCCACTGCCGACCCCTCACCCCCCTTAGAACCGCACGCCCTACAACCCGCTACTGCCCCGACCGAACCTCGAGCGGAGTTTCGAAGTTACACTTCTTTGATGCGTTGAAGGCGAATTACCACGATGGTCGACGGATAACACTTTTCTACATTCACCTATAATTCCAAGTTATTTAACTAAACCGCTATCAATTGGATTTACTGTCTTTTTATCGCAAACAAAAAGTATTGGCACACGGGATAGAATTAGAATGTTTAGTTATTCTTCTTTTGTTACCCTAAAGAAGTATAATTTAATATTATAATTTGGAGCGGCAGAGGTATGTGGGATTCCCAAAAGATCCCACACCGCCCACTAAAAAAACCCAAGTTGCATTTGCACTGTCACATCGGCCGGCGACTTGGGGACTCGAAGACGCTTCATATTTTAACGTACAATGGGCCAGCTCTGTCTATAACTTCACATTACTTCTGGTAACTTAGTTACATAATATGTAACTAAGTTACCAGAAGTAATGTGAAGGTTGTGATGCCGAACTACCCCTAATGTAGTTGCAAGTAGTAAGTACTATAAGGAAAAAAACGAGTGTGCTTTAGACTACACGACGGAAGTAAAACTACTTTAGCTCCATATATATATAATCTGTATCTCCGTGTGTATGAATTTACAATTCTATTCGATTTCAACGTAGAATATTTAATGTATTGAACAAAATATTAATTTATAAAATTGTTCAAGAACGAAATGAAATTACGGAATTATCAACAAATCGCCGTTCGCGTAACATCACACTTTTCGTAACGCCGATCACACTTTTCGTAACGCTCTCGTCACGCATTCAAGCGAGACGAGTCAAGCGTGCGTAAAGAAGTTTTACTTCACAAAGCTAAATTAATGATGTCGTAATAGACTAATATCACAAAGTTCATAGACGTCTCAATACTAAATTTTCGACCAGTAGAAACTTCTAGGACGAAAATCGCCATCCTCATATAAATTGGCGTCAATATAAGCACAACATTCGCTTTGACACTAAGGATGTGTTCCGCTTTACGTTATATGACATATATAAGTGAATGTGACAGGTCATATAGAACGTATGATAAGGAGAGATAGCGGTGTATAGAATTATACCAATTGGTTTAATTTGATTGCCTAAAAATTTGAAATGTGAAACGTCTAAAAATTTCGATGACTCCGTGGCGCAGTCGTCGAGGCTTCGGCGTCGGGGGTCGTGGGTTCGATTCCCACACGGGACAACTATTTCTGTGACCCGCATAGAGTTTTTTCGCATCTGGGTGTTTGTCCGTGTTATCAATGTTATCGTCAAGAGAGGGCAATGTTTTTAAAAAAAATTATAAATGTATAATATCATTGCTTTACCCACCGATGGCCGAGTAGGCCTCTTTGAGCTCGCCGTCCACTTCCGCCTTGATGGCCTGCTCTATGGTGCGGCCGGAGATGTTCTTGTACTCCTCGAAGATGAGGCGCAGCTGGGCGAAGCTCTCGTGGGCCAGGATCTGGAGGAGGCAGGCCAGTTCACATGAATAAGGAGCTGTTCGAATCACTGGATTATTTCTCGATTCGGCTGTATTTTCTTTTATGTTTGTTACCACAGCACTTTCGACTGGGTGAATCGATTTTGATGATTCCTTTTTTATTCGAAAGGTGGTGAAAAAGTGATATTAATTTCATCGTTATTGGATCGTGGGATCCGGAGATTCTTAGAAAACTCCTGAAAATCAAGTATAACATGAATACGGAGCGAGATTTTAAGTCGGTTTTGTTTTTCGTTAGTAAAAAAAATTACTTGTCTAATTTCATGGCACGATGACATGAAGGCATTTGATGTCGCACGAATGGGCAGGCCCAAAGGGAGAGTAGTGAGACGTGGGAGTGGGTATAACGAAATATCGCGTCTCGATCTTCTTCAAAACCCATCAGCGGCCCCTCGGGTGTTGAAGATGGTGCCTATTTCACTGCTGCGTAGGGTCACGCAGCGGTCTTCGCTGTTGCACGAGTGGACATGTCCGCCGGGGAAGTACCGCGACCGGCATAAGACCGGCATGAAGTAGAAGTGTACAACTTCTGCGTTTCGTCTGGTGAGTGAGGTACCCGTGGACCACTTTATTAGGTGTTTGTAAATGTCCACGGGCGGCGGTTATCAATTAACATCAGGTGAACCCGAAAGCTCGCTTGCCACCTTCCCACAAAAAAAAAAAAAAAAACCAAATTTCATTCCTGAAACTGTTGCCGACGTGGCATTGGCAAGAATTCTATTAATAGGCCAGAAGACTTCGTGTAAAAATATTTACAAAAATATTAACGGTGGTAGGGCCACGCAGCAGCCTCGGCTGTTGCACGAATGGGCAGGCCCGTCCGGGTAAATACCACGACCTCACAGAAGACCGGCGTAAAGTGGAAGAATAATACTTTCGCGTTTCGTCTGGTGAGTGAGGTGGCCGGAGCCCAATTTCCAAAAGGTTGTCAACCTATCTGGAACCCTCGGGCGTAGCGGATGTCCACGGACGGCGGTATTCACTTAACATCAGGCGAACCGTCTGCTCGCTTGGCAACATTTCACATAAAAAAAAAAATATGTCGGGTAATATAGATCCATTTCGAACAGTGGTCGATCACCTTGTTGAAGACCTCCTCGTCGGTGCCCCACTTGGCTTCGCCCGCGTCGTAGAGCTGCTGCGCGCACTCGGCCGCCCTGGCGGGGTCCACCGCAGCCTCCTCGTCTCGAGCGCCCTGCGGAGCGGTCTGATCACAAGCGTGCCTCCGCCCCATGCCGACCTTGGTGGCGCGCAACCGACGCTCCAACATCCGGACAGTTTAGTAGCATTCTCATGTAGATTTCGGTGATTCGCGATAGTTCTATCTTATCCGGGATGCGAAACTCACGATCCAATATCCGGACAGTTTAGTACGCTTTTTTACGGTAGATTTTGGTGATCCGCGAAAGGTCAATTTTTTTTTCTGAGAAGCGAAACTCATACACAACGTTAAAGATATATATAAAGTGGAAGAAATTGCGTATAGTAAAGATCACACGCCTGGCGTTCTTATAGCTGTATGCGAACTAGTATGACAACGATTTTCTTTTTGACAAAATATAAAATGTATGTACCGGATATTCCGAGTCGCGTACGCAAACCAAGGTCGATGGGAACATTTGGCATAAGCGTAGTAAATATGATTGAGGTAAGCGGGCGTAGGCACAATCAAACCTAATCAAATCACACACACAAACACAAATATGCACACATCCACACCACATACAGAAACATGCATTGAATAATTATAATACAGCAAAAAATGAATTTGTACAGTAAAACAGTGAAAAGGACTATATGTTAAAATATGTAGAAAAAGTGAGAAAAGATTGTCGCCGCTGTGGGAATCGAACCCACGTCTTCGGCATTCGCAGCCTGACGCTCTAGCCACTGAGCTAAACGGCTGATTGCCACACCGACGAAAATCTCAACACATTGTTTTCTTAGCATTTGAAGCAATGCTTGGCACCATCTATTGTTATATTCTTTCCAGCATACAAACAATTTCGAATATCGTTTTACACCGATAATTCGGACGAGAGATGTCGCCATTGCTTTTTTAGAAATTTAAATTGTTTATAGTGCTAATCTTTGCATTTAAGATTGAACATTCAAATATGTAGAAAAAGTGCGAATAGATTGTCGCCGCTGTGGGAATCATGTTCAATCTTATTAATGTTCAATTAACGTTTAATGTTCAATCTTAAATGCAAAGATTAGCACTATAAACAATTTAAAGGACTATATGTTTACAAACAAAGAATAAAATAATAAAAACGACACAATCGAACAGTTCGTGAGATCATTTTTCTTTTTAAAAACTTAGCCGTTTAATGAAATAGTTCCGTCTAAAAGTACAGATAATAAAATAAAAAAAAAAAAGTCCAGGCATTAATGTTAGTTTGGCGTGTTGAGAAAATCAATGCACAAGCAATCGAGGTAACATTTTGTTATTTATTAGTCTGTGATTGGTTAAACTGTTGTTTTAGTCAAATCAGATACATATCATATTCTGCATATTAAAAAAAACTCTAATTGAATTCACATTTAAGGTCTTAAAAGACACACTAAATCACAACATATGTTGTGTGCAAAACTAAATATTTAGTTTACAATTGAGTCCGGCTATTTTATCATTACATACATAGTCATATACTTTTAGGATAGAATAAAAAAGAAATACTTTAAAGTTACCATCATACACACTTCACATACTTCCCATAATGTAATGAATCTACATAAGACACTTTTTGGTATTTTCATTTTGTCAAAGTTAAACCACAGTAGATAAACTTAGACCATTCACTTCTACTGAAGATCTGGGCGCTCTTTAGAGTTCCGTCTAAGCTTACTAGTCGCTGGTCAGTTTTTCTTCAGCTGATTTATAGATAGATTTGATTGTTTAATCTAGTGTTCCCTGCCACATCACTTTGTTTCAACATTATCTTTACATTTATGCCTTGATCACATTCACCGTACACTTACATCATGTTACATACTTAAGATTTAAAAGTTCACATCTATCCTCTCAAGTACAAACATTACATGCAACATTGATATATCCTCAAGCACATACTGTCACGATGAGGGTCAGCAAGCGCCTGAAGTCGCCGGAGGTCTCTGAGCACATGTGCTCAGCTAAGGGCCGGTTGTACACTGAGGACAGTCAACCAAATAATTTAATTAAAAAAACTATGAACTTGTCGATACCTTGAATGGGGTGGAAGAAGAGACTAACTGATATTGTAATTAGTAGTAGTAGCAGTAGTAAGTTCAAACCCGTGGGTTCTGGCTGGCCCACCGGTTCTGCGTTCAATGAAGCTTTAATAGTCTAAAGACCCATTTACACGGTGCAAGTTTCTTGCCTGTTGTATACAATTAAATTGAAGCAATAAATGAGTTGCATGGTCTAAACAACAAATGGTCTAACAAATTATTGCGCGCAATTTATTGCATTCAATTATTGCTCTTGTATGTACAAGAAAATGGCATCATGTAAATGGGCCTTAAGAACTGTAACATCAGTTATACAATATCTCAAGATCCTGCTTAATAAATTCTGTGTATGGATAGCTCATCTTATGTACCCCAGTGAAATTAAAAGCGTCAGAGGTTTCATAGCAATAATATTAACATTGCAAAGGCTTGTCTCGCTCCCTTGCAACCGTTGCAGTTGAGTCTGAACGGATAAAAATATGTATGAAATGGAGTTCATTTTAGACAACATATTTTATAATTGTGTAGCATTAAATATATAGAATTTGTATACATATAGCATTAAAAAAAGGATAATACACCGCAGAGTTTCTTGCCGTTTCTTCTTTAGACAAGTTTAATTTACTGAACGAGTGGTAGTTTTCTTGAGGTTCAATAAGGGCTTAAATTCCGCCTATATTGAAATAAGGTTTTGACTGACTTTAAAAGTACAGTTTCTTTCGCCGGTTCTTCTTAGGTTGGTGGCTTTTTCCGAACCGGTAGTATGGTATTTTTGACAATCGATAAGTAAGTGTTATTAAACGGTTTTATTTAGCTCGACACGTACGGAATTTATTTGTTTATTTGGGCCAAAATTAGAAATTGAAATTTAAGCACCTTCCCGTTGTCAGATTGATCTGAAATTTGGTACACACATTTAATTTAGATGACAATACAATATTGTAGTTTTCAGTGCACAAAAAAAAACAGAAAATAAAACCGTTTAACTTAAAAGTTTTTAAACCGTTTTATGATTCTATATTGAATAAAGATATTTGAATTGGTGTTAAAGAAACAAGATAAAGGTGTACTATTAACAAACATACGGTGGTAGGGCCATGCAACACTGTTGCAGGAATTGGCAGGTCCGTCCGGGTAAGTACCACGACCTCACAGAAGACCGGCGTAAAGTAGAAGTGTTACACTTCTGCACGGGTGTTGCAAATGCCCATGGACGACGGTTATCACTTAACATAGGGTGGACCGCCAGCGAGTTTGCCAAAAAAAACATATGTGCACATTATTCATCTAATGAGTTCATGCGGGGGTGTAAATCACTCCAGCGATGAATGCTCCGATGGACACTTGCTTGTTTACAAGAGTTTTGGAAATAAAACTCCATCGATCTGCTCACGTCTCTCATAGGCCTGCACGATGTCGGCTATCTCCTTCTTGGTGCGGGTGCAGAGGATCTCGATGAGGACGTGCTCGTCGGTGCCGAGCCCCTCCATGCACTTGTTAAGCTCCCTGCACAGGTACTCCTCCGGCGGGAGCATCAGAGCCACGATGACGTCCTCGAAGTGCCCGCCCAGCTCCGACTTGAGGTCGTCGATCAGGTCCTGAAAGATTTTTTTTTGAAGCTATACTTCTTTAGGCGCGTTATGATATACTAGTGAAATCTTAAGATGCGCGTGCACCACTGTAACACAAAAATCACACCTTTGAAGCTGCCCGCTAAACCGCTTATTATAGATGGCAGCAATCACACTCGACCGTTACAGTTCCCAATAAAAAATGTTATTTTATTATTTAATTGTAATTAATTATTTGCCTGCAATAAAAACTATTCTTTTATGAACGATATTTTTAAAAAAAAGTATAACTTCTCACGAGCGTACTCGCTCGTCGTTTCGATTGGCTTGACATCAACACTATCTGATTGACGGTGTCCTTCAGTACGATTCAAACCGACGAGTTCCGTTCTCGAAGGACCACCAAACCCATTAGTCTAGCCCTTACTACATAACAATTAAAAGTTACGTATTCCACAAGATATAATGCAAATCAATTTGAGTAATAATCACACAGCCTTATTAGCACAGATGGATGTTTACATCATCCGTAATGACTCATACAAAAAAACGTTATTTAACTGCATGTAGCGTTAGTAGCGTTACAACAATTTTATGGCGCGAAACTCATAATGGCGGGAAATAAAAAAAAAATTACAACGGGTCTCATATTTACAAACGGTCTCACAGATAATTAATGCTTTCGAAAATCAAGGAGCTCATCAAGTTCAAAATGCAATTAGACATACAATAGATATGTTCAAGCTTTCGTCATCATTGAAAGATTAAAATTTACACTTTTGATTAGTTTTTTTTTTTTTTTTAACAAATGTATATTAAAACAAAGGTAAATATAAATTCACTTTCTCAATAAAATTATTGTTGCAGATGGGTGCATTGATCCACCAAAGTGACTTGAAATAGACAGTTTATCTCATGTTAACCCTGAGGGTTTAACAATGGATCTAGAGCCATCTTTCAAATAGTGGTTAAATTTTTAAAAACAGGGGTGCCGTTACCTTTACCACCAGACTAAACATGGAAGTATATTACTTCATGCTAGTCTTCACTATGGCTGTGGTACTTCTCTAGACTGGGTTCGGACACCACAGTAACCAATAAATCTACCCCAACATATTAAACTCAACATAATTTTCAGTGATTCTTTAATATTCACTTTCCATCTAAATTATATATATTATTAAACTTGCTATTAGACCCTTAAAAAAATTGAGCTTATTATTTGACTTTTTTATAAGACCAAGTCAGTCTTTACTTCAAAAAACATAATATAAATGCAACACACCCTGCCATACTCATGTGTGAATGCCTGCGAGATGGCCTGCCTCTGTGCATTGGAGCGTGTTGTGAGGATGTCAATGATTGCCTGCTCATCTGTGCCGAAGCCTTTCATGGCAGCTCTCAAAGCCGCTGCATCCTCAGCTGCATTGAAGTTGGCCACTCCCACAACAGTTGGTTCACGCTGTGAGGAATAAATATGTCTATGAATTATCTTTATTCACCCTATAAAGTAAATAGTCACAAAACAATGCCTTATCTCATGTTGTGCCAGTACTGCCATTAAAAACATTACCTATAAAATACTAAAAGATGGACTATTCTGCATCATATGGTTTTGCCAAGCCTAAATAAGCTATGAAAGAGTGAATCAATACAATAAAGTATTGCACACCAATAATAAAATAAAGAAAAACCAAAAATTTAATATAGAAATAATGGGTACAATGGGCGGTAATAAGGCAATAATCACATAGTACTTATTATTAAAAGTAATTTCCAACCTGCGGATACATAGGCAGATAGAAATAATATATGATTCGGACCTAAAATGAAACTAAGCTTTTTTACATCCAACTTATGTCGCTACATATATTCAAAGTATTTAATTATTTGAATAATTTGAAAGTGCAGTATTGTAACAGCAGTCAATATTATGGATGTGAGCTATAATACTATAGATTATTAAAAGATTAGAGGCTCCTTTTATTGCTGAGCATTATTTTAATTTTGTTTTTACATTCAAATAAAAGTTTGGGTTTACTCTTGAGAATTTTCAAGTATTTCTTAAAAGTTATTAGTCCCAACAAATTAATTTCTATCGAACGGGCATTAAAATAACAATTAGTATTGAATCTAACATCCATAACTACACCGCGTAATCAAGACCCGTTTCTAGCCAAAATATTCATCTCATGAAACTATTTAAAAATAGAGTCAAATCTGTTGTGATTCATATTAACATGTCTGATTATTAGTAATTATCACTATTTTTAATAATCCTACGTTTTAGGATAAGATTAAAAATAGCATTTTAACATAGAAAAGGTGAAAGGCCCTACGCCCCATTAACACACTTCCGACGTCATTCAGACGCGCCCTACAATACAAACTCTGAGATCTGGGCTATGTTTTTTATTAGTACCAATTATTCTAATAAGTGATGAGATACTTACATGGCCAGTCATTTTAAGAAACCTAAAATGCGTCACAAAAGTAGCAGAAGACACAAAACAATACAACCGCCAGTGGATCAATTGTGTGCTTAACTGCTTAATTAATTTCGTAAGAAATTTATGCTATATTAAAAAACGCTGTACAACTATACTACCAGCTCGCAACTCCTGCTGACTGACACAAACAGGGTGACCATCTGAAAAACAGCGAATCTGCCCGACACTAGCAAAAAATCTGTCAAACTTATGTCCAAAAAATGCCAAAAATATGCCATCACGCTAGTATCGTCGGAGACAGTACACCATAATTAATGAAATAGACATTCTTTCGCATAAGACATTTGACATCTTCTTCTTGGTCGTTCCCTCATTGCTGAGGATCGTGACTCATATTCAATTAATCAACAAGCTGTCTCAATCGGTTACACTCTGTTGCCTGGTGACGTGCAGCGCTTATGGACTTCTATCTATTTCTAGGTTTTCAGAAATTTTATCCGCCCACCTTTAGAATTAAGACCTCTAGGTCTTTTACCCTCTATTTTCCCTGTTTGACATTGGCAAACTTAAAAGAGCGTTTGCAATGTTTAAAATATTTAAAAAATAAGATAAAAATTTTGTTTTTACTGGAAAATCTCTTTCGGAATAATATTTGGTAACAACTGCAAGCACTGATGTAGTTATGACTAGTGTACATTTGCAAGCTTTGCAAAATGCAATATCAGGATCTTCCTTAGTTTTGTAAATTTAGGAAGGAAGGCAAAGGATCTTGTTGATCCCACTCATGTTGGTATGAATGCTCTTACTTTCTCTTCGTCGTGCACAGAAGACAACTACACACATGAAACGCCAAAAGACAAAAAGGTATAAAATTATAGAAAGTTCGACGTGAACCTAGATCAGTTATATTAATAACAGAACAAACCTTATTGCTGATTTGTTATCTTTCATAATCATATGACATACCTACATTAAAGTACAATAATCGGGAAATCCCCGTACTATGTGGGATGAAAGTTGCCATATCAGAAAATAATTTGCTAGAAGTATTCTTGCTGTTTATAGCTTGTTCGTATGCTGGAAAGGATATAACAATAGATGCGCCAAGCATTGCTTCAAATGCTAAATAACAATGTAGATAGAAGGCGTTAAGATTTTCGTCGCTGTGGCTATCAGCCGTTTAACTCAGTGGCTAGAGCGTCAGACCGCGAATGCCGAAGACGTGGGTTCGATTCCCACAGCGGTGACAATCTTTTCTTACTTTTTCTAAATGTTTTAATAGAAGTATTCTAAATAAGAATTTCAAAATTAATAAAGATTTCCTTGAAATCTGCTAAATTCTGCCACTTTTTTGAATTGTCAGCCTATTCTGCCACATCTAAAATTCAGGTGCAAAATCTGCCGAAATGGCAGAAATCTGCCACAAATGGTCACACTGGACACAAATCAGAAAGTCATAGAGATATCGAAACAATATCGATATATTTTTAGCCGATATATTTGGATCCGATATATCGATATAAAATATTCAATTTCGAAATGTCCGCAAGGAAACGCAAGTTTAAATACAGAATCAAAAATACAAAATCTAATGAACTGGAAAATACCAGCATAGCCTATAACAAAAAATGAAATGAAACTGACATTAAGTTTAGCGTGACCCAAATTTAGTCAACATGCTCTCTGGCGTGACCTAAACTGTATAGGTCACGCTAAACTTACTGCCGGCTGAAATGTAAGCTTACATCGCACATGCACAACCAGCAACCGCCTACTAAGAGCCTTTCATATCCTGCCCGGACGCAACATAATTAAAAAAATTATACCGTCTACACATCTACCACATCTGGGTTTGATATTTCGAGAGGAAAAATTTTAAAGTGTCAAAAATATAATATTTCATAAAATTGTCTTGTTTCGAATCATAGTAATCCATTTATTTTACCGTGCGTTGAGATTTTCTTAGCCGTCTACCTATAGCTTAGCTTAGTTATAAGCTAAAGCGTAGAGCGCCATCCGGAAGTCCGTCCGGGTAAGCACCGAGACCTCACAGAAGACCGGCGTGAAGTTGAAGCTGGTCAGTGAGGTAGCCGTTGCCCACTTTATTAAAAGGTGGCAACGCGTCTGCAACCCTACCTATGTCGCAAATATCCATGGGCGGCGGTTCTCACTTAACATCAGCAATGAACCGACAGCTCGTTTGCCACTTTCTCACATAAAAGAAATCCTTGAGTATTAAAAGTATCGGTACCGACGACACGGACTTAAATCAGGTGCATGTATCATCGTTATTACCGTTGGAAAGGTGGTAAATGAAAAAATAAAGAAATAGGTAAGTATGTAACTATTTATTATAATAAACCAATATTACAGCTAATATACTAGTATAATTCATCATAGCAGATTGGTCAAAATTAATGTACATATAGTTACATTTAAAATTAAGTTATCTTAGCATCAGTTACATTGTATATGCGTAATATTATAACCTAAATCTATTTCAAATTTGCTTTTTCATTTAATTGAAAATTAATTTTCTTCCTCATAGCCTCTGCACAATTGGCACATTGGATATTGAAACTATTTTGATGGAAAGAGATTGACCAAGTGATAAAACATATTTCATTTATGCTGAATTTGTTTAATTTCATAAAATCTATTAAAATACCTAAATACCTTGTCTCAAATGTTTTATTTGTCTTAATATATCCTAGGAGTCATAAATGGGAAACTTAAAAAAACACTTTTAAACAATATAAATGAAAAAAAAAATGTATATAAAATTTAAAATATGTTTGAATAGTTTTTATTTTAATTCATATAAAATGGATCCTGTGAAAATTTTAAATCAATGCAATTTGTATCAAAAATAAAAAAAAATATTTAAATGTTACTCCGAAAATCTTTTCTTAATACAGAAAATATTGCGCAAGTGTTAAATTAGCATTAAGCTAATGAATGTCAAAAACCGTCAGAGATATACATAAAAATGGTAATTTCAGATCGTATCCCATAGTTCATGAAACTTCCCAAAAATAACCTATACATTTAATTAACTAATTTACTTGTATCATTTTACATACTATGCCATATTTTAAACTAAGTATATATTTAAACAACACAATCTATCAAACCGCTTCTTGAATAGTTAAAACCATCGAAGATTAGCAGTAGGAGTATAAGAATATTTAATGTCATTTTGCTAAAATAGCTTATATAGGTACCAGAGTTAAAACATAATGTACGGATTATCGAAGAACAATGTTAAATTCCATGTCACTGCCATACGACAATGCGGTAGTCCGCTTCCACGTTGTCAACATAGAAGCCGTTCATGTACTGGCTGTTAAAAACTTCGCCGAGCTGAAAATAAAAAACAATATGGCGTTTATTTTAACCGAATCTTAAAACTATTGAACAAAAACAACTTTGCTGACTTATTTTATATTTCATTTAATTTTTTTAACTTTAGGACTATTGCTGTAACGACGTTTTACATACATAAATTTGACGTGGACAAACACCCAGATCCGAAACAATTTGTCTGTAGGTCACACAAATAGTTGTGCCGTGTGGGAATCGAACCCACGACTCTCAGTCAACACTGACTTTTAGCCGTCTACCGTGTTACGGTATATTTAAGGCTGTGTATTCTGTTTGTTGAATACCTTACATTTTAATACGTTCAGTGATAGCGACTGGCCCTGCGAGATCACGTTAATCTTATTCTAGTGCCGGTTAATTTGTTTCTGTAATATTTCCAAAATGCATCTGTATATTCTGTTCAAAATTAGGTTGTAGACATAAGATGATATTATTTAAACATTTACACGGTGGCACGAATGTAAAGGACATTTTTGGAATACCATTTGAAAGAAAAACAAATCATTCAGCATTGCCATGAACTCGCTAGGCGAGCTCACTGCCATATATTCTCAAAGTTTAAATACCGACGGACCAATAGCTGGGTTACTTATTATAGTATGAACTTTACGTTCATGCAGAATGAACATCTAGATAACTGTTAAAATTTAACAGTTTCATTAACAGATATGGATCCGCGAAGACATCGTGAAAACATTGAACATGTTAATCTGAGTTATGCAATAAATTTATACTGGCCTGGTGACCATGAACGCTGTAAAGGGTTCGAAACAATGAGAATTAAAACTAAAAAAAAGCGATAAATCCATGAACATAGTTTCATTTAGTTATGCATCAAATGTCCACTACATCTTGAATTGACGTAACGTGTGGTGTTTTCTGGTCTAGAATTCTATCGTTATCCAGATCCCAAGGCACTATTAGAAAACGACTCAGTATCCATTTTTAACAATGTCGTCTTTTCAGATTTGATGAAAACTAAACAGAAAATTCGTAAAATTGATTCCATTATAAATATATTAGAGAAATCATTATGGATCATTTGAATAGTAATTGCAGAGTTTGATTTGGTTTTAATTAAGGTTATTGGATTTAATTAATAAATTCAAAGAAAACTAAGAAATGAATTCTTTTTTAATTTGGGTGAAAGGATAAAGTAATACCTACTCAGACAATGAAGTATAATTAATCATTGCAAAACCTGATAAAGTTTTGGGACACAAAAAATACATGATTTGCATATTTGATATATGATTTATAACTCTGATGTTCCATATAGATAAAATTTTGATAATGTTCGTTCATCATGTTTACAAATTAATAATACACCGAGGGATTAAGAATTTGTAAAATTTTTAAAAACATGCGATAATTAAGAGGAAATCTATTTCTTTATGATAGGATCACCAATAAATATAACAACTAATTAGTAATCTAAACCTCATCATTTCATAATTTTGTATACAGAGTATGTAAATTTTTGCACCTTGGCTGTAAGAAATAGATGGTCCAAATAAAAGGCTTACAATTAAGACACTTTTTTAATACACAATTTGAATATTATATATTTAGTACTTAACACTAACTCTCAGTTGACATAGACATGAAGTATAGACTTTTAAAATAGGAAGAAAAGGAAACATGGCATTTGGGAAATATAGAAATCACTGTAATTGCCGTAACATCATCGCACAAAATGACAATAGTTATAAGTTAAAGTAAAAAAATAAATATGGCACTATTTGAAGTCATCTGGAACATTATGCATTAAATCAAAAGGATGGATATAGATAGTAGGCAATTAAGCCGATGTACAAATACTCGCTAAAATGTTTGAATTGAATATTATAAAGGTTTTACAGAAAAAGTTATGATGTATTCAATGTATTCAGGTATTGTTTTAATACTTAGAATAATAACAGTAGTTTAAAATGTTATGTACTGTATGGTATGGGGATCATATATGATGTGGATGAAACATGAACTTAAATACTTAGAACTAAATGAATGGTACACTGATAAACCTAATTTATCTGATACAGCTAAAATAGGTCAAATTTTACTTATCACAATTACACTTAGTTGGCAAGAACCGAAGGACGATAGATGCATGAAACCTAGTAGGAATGATTATTTACATAAAACACTTGAATACTTACTAATAATGTGATAAACATACAATGAAATAATTAAGTTAATATCTAGCATGTTGAATTTAATTCGTTTTACAATCTGTGAATTGTTTGCGCACCCATTGTAACAGTCTAGCTCTCGAATACATCTAATTTCTAACACTAATATTTATCCGCCGGTCCCCAATAGACAATGACAAGTCGGTGGCACAATTAGCGGGGGTCTACTGCCGCCTGACGTGCCAGGTCTGCCGGCCGAACTTGTCATTTTGCGTCACGTACGGTCTTGGGACCGGCCACTTGAATCATGCAACAGTGGGGCGCGTCATATAGATGGGCCGCGGCAGAATCAGCCAGTGCCTTCTCTTCAAGCCAGGGGACAGGTGCTGGGGAAGAATGGCGCACGTTAACACGCTGGCGGGCATTGCAAAAGATACGTGGCATATTGATGTATTGAATACACAAATCAATTTATGCCATCGGACCATACATCAGGGTGACAGTAGACCGGGACCATGGCGTATAGTTCAGTATATTGGGTACATTTAGTGTATTTGTTCTGACGACATAAATTATTATACGTAAGTTAGGTTTCTACCCATGAAATTGCCGTTTTATATTAAAAAATAAAGCAAATGACCGAATTACTTTTGCAAAATCGAAATGTGGGCTGTTGTGTCGAGGCGCTATTGTAAATTTAATGGAAGTTCGTTGTTGCCTCCACTACAGAAATTGTGGGGAGCGGAATGGATGAACTTTTTAAAGGCCTTTACGGGAGCTATCCAAATTCCGAAATAACACAAATCTACAACTAGGTCTAGTGATTACGATACTAGTATTGATATAGATGGAAGGTTTTGAGTCAATTTTTTTTTTAATGTGAAAAGTTTTCAAACGAAGCAGACGGTTCACCTGATGTTAAGTGAATACCGCCGCCCATGGACATTTGCCACACCCGAGGATTCCAGATGCGTTGACAATCTTTTAAAAATTGGGCTCCGGCTACCTCACTCACCAGACGAAACGCGAAAGTATTTGCCATACTTCCACTTTACGCTGGTTTTCTGTGAGGTCGTGGTACTTACCTGGACAGGCCTGCCCTTTCGTGCAACAGCTGAGGCTGCTGCCTGGCCCTACCACCGTAAGTATTTTAGCTTGGGACACGTTGTGGCAACCCCTATTAGTAGCCCTGGTGTGAAATTTTGTCATTTTGTCCTTTCGGGTTACAAACCAATTCTTCGTTCTTTCTTCCACATTCATTTCATCTTCATCAACATTTGTCTCCGATTGGCCACTGGACTAATATTTGGTACCAAATTTCTACAGTGAAACCAATACTGTACAGTGCTACCACTTGCCGTGGTATCTGGTTATATGCCTTTGATATTGAGTGCCGTCTGTGTAACTTGTATGCAAAAATAATAATTCACATGGGCACAGAATCAAACTAACAACTGACTTATTAAAAAAATGTCAACTGTATAATGAAATGAATATTAATTTGGTTAAATGAAACTATTTTACAGATTGTATTTTAAATTTCACACGTCGTGAACACTTACACACCATTCACAGTTAGGGGTAATTTGATCTCCATACTATCCAGTATTGGAAACGGCAATTTCTTAGGTAACAACCTAATATTAGTACATTTAATTCCTCTATATTGGGACACTTGAGAGTTCAAACCTTATTTATAATAATTTAAGATATTATAGTAGAATGTACTGAGCGGGCAAATTATTAATAGTGTTTTTTTATAGTATTCAAATATATTTATACCATTTATGTTAAAGTATATTGACAATATTTATGAGGCTTAGGTGTAATCTTATTCAAACACATGCATTTAAATTCTATAAGGTATTTGAACCATATCTTTTGCAATGACACTTAATATTATTGATTTTAAATAATCTCTGTTATTCAAAGATGATCCAAAAGCAAACAAAGAGATATCTTGCCGAACAACAAAAACTGAATTATATTACCAATAGAAAACACTATATTATATATAATTACATTATGGCTTATAATATCTGTGCACAGAGATGAAATGTCAGAGATATTGTAATGTTAAGGCCTTAATTTTTTCTTTAATTTTAATATATTTTTTGTTACTTTTGGATTATCCGTGTGTTGATTAGAATATTTGTATGGTGTCCCCTGTTATGTGTGTAGAAGAGCATACAGTGACTGATCTGCTAATGAAAAAATGTCTGTGTGTTGTGAATGAAAATGGCTGTAACAAAATCAAATGGAAAATAAAACGATAAGAGGTATTTATAACAATTACTGATGAGTTGGAACGTCAAATTTTTTATTAATGATAAGCCCCCAATTGAACCATATTTGACTGCTAAATTGTTGGGATCATTAGGAAAATAATAAATTGTCTCCAATTAAAAGTATTCCAAGGACTGTTCAAGGTCATCACATCAATTGATGGCAGTGCACAAACAAAACAATTGACAAGTATACTCAACAGTCAAACAGATCTTTTATAGAAAGTGATTACCTAAATTAGGCTTGTTAGTAATATTAGTAAATATTCAAGTATAGAGGGTTCAGTAATGATACTGAATTTTAGTGGTATAATTAAAAAGTTAAAACAGGAATGTTTATTTATTTATTGTTCATTGCAATTATCTCAAATAAGGATTATAAGGGGTGATCTTAATGCTTGCATCTGCATTAAGAATGAAATGATAATGCAGGGAATGCTGTACAGCGGGGGTGAGCAACCTTTTTGATCCGATGGTGTGTCAATTTAACTTTTTTTTTGTAGTGGGCCAATTTAAATTTCCAATTTTTTGGCGGGCCGCACATAATAATTTACGAAACTTTACTTATAATAAATATTAGAATAAAAAAATATAAAATAAAAAAAAAAAAATAAAGATTTAAGGTAAAAACAAACAAGACAAGAACAGAAAAACGAACAAAAAAATATTTCGGTTCGTACTACCATTTTATTATAATTATTTTATAACAATGTATTGATGGGAGAAATTCGATAAAATAAATTCAATTTTAGAAATGCTTGGCGGGCCGCATAAACATGTTTAAGGGGCCGCGCGTTGCTCATCCTTGCTCTACAGCAATCAAGAGCATGAAGATAAATTGTGACAGGTGCTATAATAAGATTTAATTACTTACAATAATTAAATTTTTAAATTTATCCTCGTCCAGGATAATCTGGATAAGATTTTAAAATGATGATTGTTATTTCATTTTAATTTTTTACTTTTACTATTATCATTATGACTAGGCTAATGACTAATTAAACACAAAAGTGTTAATGTATTAATTTTATTCCTTCCCGGCGTTTTTTTACCTAAGATCTATCTATACAGATAAATAAAATTTAAGTGTCTTTTTGTAATATTAAAATTACTGATTTTTACTAAATGCATATGTATGTATACACGGTACACATACCAAAATATTTTTTTTTCAATTTTTGTGTCTGTCTTTTTGTTCCGGCTAATCTCTGAAACGGCTTGACCGATTTTGGCGGGACTTTCACTGTCAGATTGCTGACGTAATAAGGAGTAGCTTAGCCAATTATATTTTAGAAATTTTATCTATTTTAAATCCACGTTGCACATTGAAGTCGCGGGCACAGCTAATTTATGATAATAATAATGATAAAATTATTAAGAGTTAATATTTACATTCGCTTGAGCGCTAACAATCTTCATTTCGCAATAGCAATTGAGGAGTTATTATGTAATTTTTACTCAAGCCGCATGTCATCAACCGAGCTACACGTTTTAATTTGTCTAGTCTAAATTGAAACCTGTGCATCGCGAGAATTATAAAAGAATTAATATGAAGGCATAATATGAGGGCCACGAAAACGCAATGATGATAGTAAAATATGCCCAAACAACACTTTATCGGGTATTAAACCAGAAGTATGAGATTATTATAGTGGTAGAGAAGTATGAGATTATTATATATGAGTAGAGGTATTAAACCAGAAGTATGAGATAAAAAGATTACTTATACCATTCTCTCCGCTCTATGTTATGCATATCAAGTTGAAACGAAAATATAGGTTAGGCAAAAACAAAAAAAAAAATAAACAAATTTAAATAAAATTATCGTCATGCAGATTAAAGTCATTGTGTATCAAATCTTAATATCCTAACAATTATTGTTGCTATGAAACATGGTGTTAATGTGGATAATTATTAAACTTAAACTACATGGTTCAAATTCCCAATAAATGGATTTGTCATAAGGTTCTTAAGGGTATTAAACTTACCGTAGTCGGTACTTGTTTCATCCTGGACTTGATTATGGGCATGTTGTCCTTCTCTTCTGATACGCAGCCTGAAATATTAATTATTGGTTAAGGACATTATAATATATACGTTCATATAAATAGTAATAGAAATTTTAATTTATGTACATTTCTGAATTCTTCAGTCTTTACAAGCCTTACTAATATTATAAATGCGAAAGTTTGTTTGTTACTCTTGTGTCAACTATGTAGGAAAAAATTCAGCCTTGCGCTAGATATTCTAGTGTATAATAAAAAACTCATTGTTAATTCCCTTTGGCCGCGCAGGCGAAGCCGTGGTCAATAGCTAGTCATAAATAATTTCATTATAGAACAAGACAACATTTTTTTTCGAAAATGCAATAAATTTTACGATATGTTATTGCCTCTACAAATAGCGACCAAAGGACATGATATTGAGAAAATTAAAAGAAGATTAAACAGTTTTTTTCGAAAATGCAATAAATTTTACGATATTTTATGAGAAACTCTCCACAGTCCAAAGTGTGAATGAGAAGACCATTTGTTCGTTGTCACTGTGCGTGCTTTAATTATCAATTAATGTTTGAAAATAAATTGTGATTTTAGGTCAAGTTATTGTACGACTTTTTTGCACTTGACACTTTAAGCAGACGTTTCACTAGTTGTAAACGGGATACCGTATTTTATTTAAATAAAAAACTGTGATAAGTCCACGAGACGGCTGATAACCGTTGCTACACGGCACTTGTTTATAAGGATGGGGTCATTCTACTTTTGATAATAAATGACTGTAGTCAAAACTTTTGTCTCGGTTAAGAGATATGTCACGCTGTTGCCAAGCAGTTTGCCAATAAAAAAATATGACGAATTGTTTTCCTCATGTGGAAGGTTTAAGGCCATTCAACTCAATATCTTCACAAGGTATTTACTACTAGCTGCTGCCCGCGACTACGTCGGCGTAGAATAGGCTGAATGCGTAATATTCAGACAGAAAGACAGATATACATAAAATATGTATATAAATTATAGCTTCTGTCTTATTCTGATGTATAGCTGCTATATTATTGTAAAGTTTCATTAAAATCCATTCAGTAGTATTTGCGTGAAAGAGTAACAAACATCCATCCATACATACAAAGTTTCGCGTTTATAATATTAGTAAGGAAGTAAAGATTAAGTCTATTATTACGCCCGGTTTCTGAAACATTTTGATCATTAAGAAGATCATTCTGATCAAATAACATTTGAAAATCCATTTGACAGCTGGTTAGTTGACTTCTACGATTATCAGTGTTTCAGAAACCGGGCGTGAGTTTGTGTGATTTTAGTAGTTTTTAGTTTTTGCTCTTTCATCTAATTTGCTTACGAAACCTTTTCGCTTTCGTAAATGCAAATTATTATATTCTACTTTGCTAGCAGATAACGGTCATTGAGTAATTCTTTTGAGCCGTGATAGCTCAGTGTCCGGGCGCTCGCCTTTAATTCAATATACTCGAGCAACCTGAGTTCGATCCCCTTGTGTGCCTTAATAAAGTATCTGCGCGTGTGCGTGTGTGTGCGTCGACTCATTTATATTGGGCAGGGTGAGCCAAATGTGTGTGTGAGTGTGTCTATGCTTTTGTGCGTATGTATTCGAGTGTCGACTCACTTATAGTGGGCAGGGTGAGCCAAAGTGCAATGTGTCTATACTTTTGTGCGTATGTATTCGAGTGTCGACTCACTTATAGTGGGCAGGGTGAGCCAAAGTGCAATGTGTCTATGCTTTTGTGCGTATGTATTCGTGTGTCGACTCACTTATAGTGGGCAGGGTGAGCCAGAACTGGGTCTTGAGCGTGTGCCAGAGCCCGGGCGGCAGGCGGACCTTGGACTCCTTGCGCACGCTCGAGGCCAGCACCTTGGCCGCGTCCACCAGGAGCGAGGCGCGCCAGGAGGCGGCGTATATCAGCCGCATCGAGGACTGCGCTGCGGTCGAGCTGATCATCGGGAACAGGGAGTCGTGCCGCCGGAGGTTGTAGATGCAAATGCCTGGAGGTGGAGAGGCAACGGGTTTATGAAGGACACCTAGTGACTCCGCAGCGTAACTATCCGTTGAACGCAACTATCGTATACCCCAGTGATTGCACCTCACCTATCCGTTGAACGAAGCTATCGTTTAGATATACGACCGTTATCAATATCGCATACTATCTGCGGATTTGTTAACTGGAGATAGAATTTTGACGTAATTATTATCGAACTAATGTAATAACTGAATAGAATATTGAAACTGTCCTTTAATAAATAATAAAATACTTTTTAGTATTCGGAAACCGTTCGATAGTTCTGTCAAACAATTTTTTCCTAGACTCAAAGTTGTGAAACTCTAAATACCTATATTTTTGAGATGCTTGAACTTTTAACAAACGTTTCGTTACGTTACCTATTTTTGCTCGAACAGAGTAAAATATATTACGTGTTATCTAAAATTAATGTTTACAAACTAAATGAGTTTTTAAATTAACGAGTTAGAAATGGGCTATTAGACGGATGGTACTACTAATGGTATAGCCGTGATAGCTCAGGCTCGGGTGCTCGCGTTTAGTTCAACTCAACCTACTCAACCTCAGTTCGAAGTGAGGTGAGGTGACAGAAGACCGGTGTAAAGTATGTTTTCGTTTTGTGTTTCCTCCGGTGAGTCTGGTAACCGGGGCCTATTTTTTCAGGTTGGCAACACATATTTATCCTATGGTACTAACGCACTAGGAGACAAATCCTGTGCAGCAGGTGGTTTGACAATTAGGAACACAAAGTAGACCCAGAGTTAACATCAGGTTAACCACCTCGTTCGCCTGCTAGGTAGCACTTATATCCATATCTTAGTAAGAATGCGTATTAACGCAATCTTTTTATGTTATAATACAAGCGATATTAAAATCGGCGCTCATAATCGCGTTAGATAGGATGTAACGGCCGATAAAATTTAATTGGCGATCTTAGTACTACAGCGTGAAAATTACGATTAAGCAAATGTCTTTATAACGAGGCTCCAAGCCAAGCTGGGGTCTAAATTTTCTAGTTTCAATAAAATACTTTGTCTATAATTAGTAACACTGGAAAATATCGCGCGCGAAGTAAATGTTATTTAATTATTTGTTTTAGTGGTCGCCCAGTGGTCGTAATACGACCATAATTAATCACATGGTAGTGTATTTAATTATGGTCGTTTTTTTATTAATTTAATACATTTTTATGCATAATTATAACACACTATAATACACTACTCTTCATATAAACTAAAAGTGTGGGAAATTTCGTACTCCTCCGTTCGCGCAATTTTCGAAAAACACAAATGTTACAAAATGTTTGCTTCACTTAGATAAATCTTATCCTTTAAACGAGCAATTCTTGTATATATATATATATATATATATATATATATATATATATATATATATATATATATAATCCGAATCTCGGAAACGGCTCCAGCGATTTGCATGAAATTTAGTATGTGCATAGATTCGGGGGCGAAGTTCTTTCTTTTGTGAAAAACATCAGTTCATATTTTCTTATTATTACGTCGGTAACATCGAAATAAATTATGCATATTTCATTACTCAGTAATTTGTATCTAAATGTAATTTCCAAAATACACGATTTACCAAAAAAAAAACCGAGCAAAGCTCGGTCCTCCGGATACTAGATGATAATATAGATAGATGAAATATCAACAATGGACCTACGCTGTCTGCTAACTCCTGATCTATTTCGATTGATCTGATGACTATTCTAGAATGTTCGAATCAATCCCGAGCGCAATCTATCCAGACGTGTCTTCTGCAGCCACGGTGGAATCAATAACATGGCACGCGTTGCAACGCGTCACAGAGATAGCGATGTCGCGGAGATGTTCGCAAATTGATAATGTTATGTGTTGGGGAGAAAATGAGAGGAACTGTCGAGATTTTGTGCATGTTGTGTTCGCTCATAGAAGAGCATTCACTCGCGTTTGAGTTCCGTATTATCTGTGTCTTTGTCTTTTGTTCTGTTATGTGTGTGTGATGTTCAGTTTGCGATCCTAAAAAAAGCGTACACAAGCAACGTAGTCCACAAAGTTCAAGCGGGATGAATTTTCAACGCAGTTTCGGTGGAGGAACAAAGAAAAGCAATAAATATTACAATAATGAATTCAAAAATAATTGTTGAGAGTACGAACTTAAGGAGTACCTAACTGGTCCATTCTGACTCACAAGGTCAAGGTCTGGTCACAAGAAAATAACTAGTTCAGAGTACAGCCGTGATATGACACAATCGAAACACGGGACGAATTTTACCCACGAGAGTAACATAGCTATCATACTAAGCGATATTCGCGATATAAGAAAAGTTTAATAGTGCCATCCACTTAGAGCGATCTTCTGCCACCTCATTTATTGTTAGCAGTTAGTACATTGTTCAGTGTCACCTTATCAGACCAGTTTACATGTTCATTCAATTTGTAATACATACGTTAGAATAATGATTAACGAGGTGCAGACAATAGCGTTAGAAATAATATCTATTAATAAATATTTCGGGACATTTTTACACAACGTTCTTTAGCCCCAACCTAAGCGACGCTTGTACTATGGGTTCTGGAAAATTAATAAACATACTTAAACATACCTCTTTAGAAATACAAACATATTATAGATATGTAAACACCCGGACACTGGAAAAACGCCATGTTCATCACACAATATTTTGCCAGTAGTGGGGATCGAACCCACACCCTTTGGCGCAAGAGGCAGGTGCACTACCCACTATGGCAATCTGGTCGATTTTGCAGTAGAATCTTCGTCTCGACCTCAATTCGTCCTTCATAGCTGAGACCTAGCCGTAACCTTTTTCTTATCAATGCAACAGACAACTTAGATATTGACTATATAGATAAACTTAATAGTTATAAATTATTTCTGGGCGCAACGTGCACAAATAACTGATAGCTTAATAGGATACAGCCGTGAACAAATTGACAAGTTGTTTGGTGTAACAATTTACGCGTAAATAATTTGGACGATGATTACGAATAGTTCAATAACATTCTGACATTGATAATCTTGATAATATTAATGGCACGTTGAACTTAATATATTTGTTTTTTTAACAAAGGCTTTCCTAATAAATTGAGGACGTAAAAACGGCTGACCCAAAATTATTAAGTTTCGTCTTTTCAGTGCATTTATATTTGTACTTTTTCCATTACTAGTGGTCGATCAATGGTCGAAATTCGACCATAATTATTTATACACGTGTAGTGTGTGTAATGTTTATTAGATAGTTTATTAAAGTATATTTGTGTATGTCCAAATACAGGTCGACGAACTCCAATTATGAAGTTCTATCAAATTGGTTCACGCAGATAAGAGTTGTAAAGGTATATTGCACTCAATTTTTACATATTTTATTTGGAATAATATTAGAAACCACGTCATCCATTGTCAACATGTACGGTTGCAACAATGTCAGCCTTAGACTAGAATACATTGTAATTATATTTAAGTTATAGTATAAAAGTTGGATTTAAGTTAATTAAGGGAATTGTCAAAAGATAGTTCTTATATTGAAAGTTTGCTGTAGGTACGAGCGCGAGGAAAACATTATACAGGGTGTCCAAACACGACACACTGATTTCTAAAGGGGGTGTTTTTCAGGTATCTTCATCGATAAATTCACTGGTTTACAGTTTCCTGCTCCCTTCAAATTGGCCAAAATTTTCATGTTACAAAAGTGAGTTCGTGAAAATTACATTATCTTAATAATTTTTTATTTGGTCTTACGACCGACATAATGGTAATCTACTAATGAACGAAATTTATTCATACTAAGGGGAAACATACTTAAAAACGTATGAAACAACAAAAAAAGTAAAGTGGAAGTATGACAAATACTTTCGCGTTTCGTCTGGTGAGTGAGGTAGCCGGAGCCCAATTTTCAAAAGGTTGTCAACACATCTGTAACCCTCGGGTGTAGCAGATGTCCATGGGTGTCGGTATTCACTTACCATCAGGTGAACCGTCTGCTCGTTTGGCAACTTTTCCCATAAAAAAAAAAAACCTTTTATTTACTCAGTATTGTGTGGGTATTCTTTTATTTAAATTGGTTTGTATCGAATTCGTGAAGTTTTTCTTTTCATGAGAGGCTTGTAATACGACGCTGTGGCACGAGTTGTATAGGATGCTACAAATTTTGTTTCTTTTTTATTTAATTAGTTTGTTTGAAAAATATTTTTTTTTAATTATGGATTTCGTTTAACGTTAATGTTTTTTTATGATTATTGGCAAGTAGCGTTAGACTTATGTTCATTTATTGTCGCGATGGTAATGACACGCTGTATATCCATACTTACTAACAAAAAAAAAAACAAAATCGACCTCAATTATCTCACCTTGTGTCCATTTTATAACTGATTTTCAGGAGTTCCCTACGTATGTCCGGACCCCAGGATCCAATACCGACGAAATTAATATGCGACCACATGGGATGCACAAGCTTTCAAATAAAAAGAGAATTATCAGAATCGGTACACCGGGGCAAAGGTTCTGAGGTAACAAACATACAGTCGAATTGAGAACTTTTCCATTTTTGTAGTCGGTCGAAAAAGGTCGTGTCTTTTTCAACTGAATAGAGAACCAGCTCATTTTTCGAAGTCGGTCAGAAGCGGAGCCTACCTTGCCGCTGCCTGTTGATATAGAAAAAAAAAAACAGTAGAATCGAGAACCTCGTCCGTTTTTGAAGTCGGCTCAAAGAGACACTACAACCGAACAGAGAACATCCACATTTTTCTAAAACGGTCAGAAGCAGTCTACCTTGACGCTGCCTGTTGCGGTAGAACTCGAGCCTCATTTTTCGAAGTCGGCCAGAAGTAAAGCGGAGCCTACCTTGCCGCTGCCTGTTGAGGTAGAACTCGAGCGTGCCGAGCCACATGTCCACGCGGACGCCGACGATGGTGCCGCGGCAGAAGCCGGGCGAGTCGCGCAGCTCCATCGCGTTGTGCCTCACCGGGCCCTGGTACGAGAGCCCGTACGACTCCTCGTCCTGGCCCAGCAGCGAGGTGAACTTGTACTCAGAGTCCGGCACGTTCATCCTGTCCGTGCCCATTCCGACCATCTGCCGGTGGAGGCGGCGATCAGACAAACGTTTAGTTACTCTTTAAAAACAAAGCGGACTTCAAATATTTGTAATTGATTTTCACGAAATCCCCAAGTGTCTCCGGAGCCCGAGATCCAATACCGATGGAATTAATATTGGACCACGTGGGGAGCGCCAGCTTTCAAATAAAAAAAGAATCATCAATATGCGTTCGCTCAGTGAAAAGTTATGAGGTAACAAACATTAAAAAACAAATACAGTCTATTTTTATTAACGTCAAAGCCGTAGCGTTAGACGCGTGTTCATTTATTGTCGCGGTTGTAACGACACGCTATATATGGTGCTGTGATTATTCTATTTCTGTTTTAAAAAAACGTTGCGCTTACTTTAGGATAACATTATCCTTTGTTGTAGGGACGTTATACAAACATCAATTTCACACGGAGAAACACCCAGGTGCGAAACAGCTATCTGTGGGTCACACGGATAGTTGTATCGCATCTGGGTGCCCCGTGTGGGAATCGAACCCACGACCTCTGAACCCGAAGCCAATACCTCGGCAACTGCGCGAGAGTCGGAGTCATCGATTAGTAACTAGCTCATTAGAAATCGTGCTCAAAATAGGCGTACCAGGGTACATTAGTGTTTACCAGTGTTTATTTTTTTAAGCTTATTGCCGGCACGAAGAGCGAGAGCTAAATTCGAACATTTATATAACTTGTGTTACAAAAACGACAACTTAAAATAAAACATTCGCTGCCTCAAAAAAAAGATTTGTGAATCACGGTGGACCATATGATTCACTAATCACAGAATCTCTGATCTCAAATCCATTCACCTATAAGGGTAATTTAAGATAACTAAGCTCTTATGTGCGTTGATGACAGAAGATGCTAAGAATAAACAGCCGCAACTAAAAGAAACACGAACTACCCACACACCGATTTCTAACAATTGAAGTGCTTAAAATTTAAACCTTTTTTTTATTTACCATAAAATGTATGGTGCTCGACTAATTAGAACGTATAAGTATTTAAATTAAAAGCCTATTCTACTCCGAGCCTATTATAATTGAGAGACGTCACAAAATAATCTTTTCTTTGTAATTTTTTTTTCCATACCCATTAGTATTGCAACGACAATAACAAGTGAATCTCACTTAGAGCGATAAAGGGAACATTTTCTAATAAAAATGAACACTATCTTAGGATTAAAAGCTTAACAAAGAGACAAAGACCTTATTATTTACTATTGTTGTATGTAATTATAATTTGTTTGTATCATTTACTAATCAAGGAAACTAAAAGAAAATTGTATCTCTTAGTATCTTCGGCGGAATTGTTTTTTGTTGTAAAACTTGATAATTGTTGATCAAATGGAAAGATAAGAAAATCTTTCCGAACCAAAACTCAAACAACTTGTGTAACCGTGTAAAGCCAGACTGTCTGTAAAAGCTCTATCTGTGATAAGCTCGTCACTCGGAGCTAAACAAGTTACACGCGATCAATACAGCCGACCTTAATGCACGATTCAATACATTTCAATATGCATCCATCCCGACCAGTTGCGTGTACAGTCAGCCATTTCAACTTGTGCGAATTCTGTGGACCTTAAGCCGAGCGAATACGGCTCAAGATCGTTCGACAATTCGGAGCACCCGACTGTACCCCGGGGAGCGGAAGCCCGGGCGAGGTACATTGCACGCAGATGCAGAAATATTGATTCGCTCGCATCGCAAATAGCCCAACATATTACCCTACGAATGGAGATCTAGGTACGAAGTAACAACATCAGGGCGTAAAAATTTCGACCAGGAAATATTTTCAACGGACAAATATTATTTTCAAACATGTGTTGAAGAGACAAATATGTACATGCCCGTATACTTTGAGATACGTCACAGCTTTTTTAAGTTTTACAATTATTTAATGTCTTACCACCAATTATGCGTTATGTCATTGCTTTGTTTCGAGTCTCGGTCATGACTGTATATGGATCACATTATCACGTTTTCGGGCGTTAGTCTGTGAAATGTGGCCAGTGGGATACATGGACAACGGAAGCAAAATGTGGTAACGTTGACATTAACGTGCGCGCCGCTAGTTACTTGACAAACGCAGTTGAACGGGGCACATTGCCAAGTAGGAAGTACTGTGTAAAGGAACGTCGAAGAATTATAGTATCGAACTACCCCGCACGACCCGATTTTGCACGGATATTTGCACTCCGCTCACCTCCTTCACCACTCAAATAGTAGAAAATTCACCGCGTACGGCGCCTTAAAATCCGTTGCGTAGTTTAAAATATCAACGCGTACTTTGTTTTATACTATGTAGTAAAGATGTGACAGTCACGTAGTCCAAGGTGATATTCAATGAGATTTTACTTATGCAACATTTAACAGATAAGAATCGATGTGGCTATATATCCAGATTCGTGTCTTTCACCAGTACATTACGTCTGCTCCGAAGAATAAAGTCCGATGTGGTTGTAAAGCAAAAAATAGATATTTACTATTCCTTGCAATAGCGTTCAAGATCTTTTTACTTCTTAAATTTTTTTTTTATTTTGACTGGTTACTGAAATACAGAGTCGAACAAAGTCCTATTTGATTTTTATTACAAAGAGTAAAGGCCCATTTACACGATGCCATTTTCTTGTACATGCAAGAGCAATAATTGCATGCAATAAATTGCGCGCCATAATTGGTTAGACCATTTGTTGTTTAGACCATGCAACTTATTTATTGCTTCAATTTAATTGTATACAACAGGCAAGAAACTGGCACCGTGTAAATGGGCCTTAACGTACGAAATACACTTAAGACCTTCGGGAGGCTGTGTTGTATGATAGTTTACAAATCAATTGTTAGCGCTTTAATTTACGTCGATAAAAACCCGAATTACTGTTTAAATTATATACTAATAAGTTCAATAAAATTTCCAGATCGCGTAAAATATTAAGTTTACTAAAATATTACACAAAACCTAATAGTAAATTAGAATCGCAAAGATCCTTTTCCGATATTTATTCAGTTTCTATGGATAAGAATGTAAAATCTGGTAAGTTAATGTTTATTATATTAATCTATAAAATTATAAAATCAGTAAAAACTAAAATAATCAGTATGTACCGAATAAATGCTGCGCAATGGCATAAAATAATTATATAAAATAGTGGTTAATATAAAATAGTGGTGGTAGATGTTTACATCGGACGTTATTTTACGAAGAAAGATAGTTAGGGCACAAAATTACTATTAAGTTGAGTTATCTTGTTTTATTATAATTTTTTATTACATAATATTAATGTCAGAAGTTATTAATTGCATTTAAAATTTTGTAGAAACGTGTGACTTTGTTCTAGTATTTTATTAAAGCTTAAGGGGTATTATATCGGAACAGATTCTAATTCGCAAGATAATAAACTTAAGAAAAAATTGATTAATGAAATTTAACAACACTAATTCAAATAGCAATATACAATAAAGGCCCATTTACACGATGCCATTTTCTTGTACATACAAGAGCAATAATTGAATGCAATAAATTTCGCGCAATAATTTGTTAGACCATTTGTTGTTTAGACCATGCAACTCATTTATTGCTTCAATTTAATTGCATACAACAGGCAAGAAACTTGCACCGTGTAAATGGGTCTTTAACTTGAAATATTTGGTTGCTTAGTTTCGATACTATACGTGTCTACAGCTTCTACTACCTATCCTGTAAGTAACACTTTTGCAGATGGGACTTTATTCTTCGGAATGGACGATTAATAATAGCTAATGACCAAGCGTTTCACTTGACACAAAGTTATTACCGCTGCGGAATATGCACAACACGCGTATGACTGCAGTTGCGTTGCCAAACTTTTAAAAGGGTTGACAAGCCACTGTAACTCGTATACTCGCGCCTATGTAAGTATGTTGCTAATTACGTGTTTCTTAATTAAAACGATCTCAGCCCGTAGTACAAACCATAATCGAACGTGGAACTTGTGGGATACATCGCAAGAGCTTGACGAACCTTGACGTTTGGGACGCGAGCGTATCTACTAATGGATGATTTGTGCAGCGGTGGTAATCACTTACCATCAGGTTGTGTTAAGGCCCATTTACACGGTGCAAGTTTCTTGCCTGTTATATACAATTAAATTGAAGCAATAAATGAGTTGCATTGTCTAAACAGCACATAACATTCTTGACTGTTGAACAAGACTTGCTTCAAGTTTTGTTTCAAAACTTTCCTTGGTGTAAACAGCACACACAATAATTTCTTAAGCAATTCTTGTATTCAATTGCATTCTCTCTTCCTTTGCAAACATGAGTGCGATGAGTGAGGGTGTTTAATCGTTGCTGTTCTTTTGAGGCAAGAAATATTGAGAAAAGGTCGTAAAAAAAGTTGGATAAAAATATGAATAATAATATATGGATCATAATAAATAAATCTCAATGAAATATATTTAATCGGCATAATCTAACTTGAACCATTTTTTAAAAAAACAGCCCTTTGTAAAACGTTCAACACTTGCATGAAAAATTTGTCAACGCAAATACGTGCAATACTTGAAGCAACACGCCAATAAATTGTACACGCACATACAAGCATGTGTTTAGACAAGTCAAAACTTGAAAGCAATAATCGCCTAAATATAATTGCATTGGTGTAAACAAAAGACATTTGCAATTATTTCTTGTCAAGACTTGCATTCAATAATCGCATTCAATTTTTTTTACTATACCTGCGTGTAAACTGTTGCTTACAATTCTTGATGGTCAATTATTGCGTGCAATTTATTGCATTCAATTATTGCTCTTGTATGTACAAGAAAATGGCATCGTGTAAAAATGGCCTTTAGTTTATCATCTATGTCAGGGGTGAGCAACCTTTTTAATCAATGGGCCAATTTAAATTTCAAATTCTTTTGGCGGGCCGCCCATAACAATTTACCAATAAAATTTATTTATAATATATATTAGAATAAAAAAATATAAAACTAAAAAAAAGTAAAGATTTCGTATACCAATTTTAATGCAAGGTAAAAACAAACAAGAAAAGAACAGAAAAACGAACAAAAAATATTTCGGTTCAGTATCTACCATTTTATTATAATTAATTTTATAACAATATATTGATGGGAGAAATTAAATTTAATAAATAAAATACAATTTAATTTTAGAAATGCTTGGCGGGCCGCATAAACATGTTTAAGGGGCTGCAAGCGGCCCGCGGGCCGCGCATTGCTCATCCGTGATCTATGTCATAAAAGTCCAGCCGGAATGCGGACATAACATGCTATAGCGTGCAGTCTAGATTTCAAGTGGTCAATGTCTCACAATGATCTCCTATACTGAAAGAGTCGCCAACATACAAACAAACTTCGTCTGGGAAGGATAAGGAATGGCCACTGGTCAGGGAACCATATAAGTCACCAATATTTGGTTACTAGCGATAGGTATTTGACATAAACTCCATAATACTAACGTCAAAACTTTATAAGTCAACTAGGGGTAGTTTGAGACCGAGGAACAAATCAGGGAAAGAACCGAAACACGAAGAGCGCATACATATAATCTACTAACGACCCGCCTCGGCTTCGCACGGGTGCAATGTATTATACATAGAAACCTTCCTCGTGAAACACTATCTAGTAAACAAAACCGCATCAAGATCCGTTGCGTTGTTTTAAAGATCTAAGCATACGACATGATAGCGACAGATAGACGGAGGGACTTTGCTTTATACTATGTGGTGATGATACAGATAAATAAAATTGGAGTGTCAGTGTCGATAACGCGGTCCACCACCGACAAGAGAACTGGATCGAAGTGTTCGCGAGGGAGTGTACATTGTAACTGTAGGTTGTCCGCTAGAGACTTTGCTTTTTCGGGGTCATCGAAGGCAAAGGTCGAAATACAGGTGGGAAGGATTCGCGGGGCCCGGCTTTCCTATTTAGGGCTAACTCTCAGTAAGCAGTGCGCTATGGCTCGAGATAGTAGAGAATCACCCGGCAGGAGCCGCGGAGAGACTAAGGGAGCTCCTGGAGGAGCCTGGATATCCACCCTTAAAGACCAGGGCGCAAAAAGCCTACGCGCGATACTCCCCCCTGATACTTAGAGCGGCAGGCATGGGGGTGTCTGCCGCTCAATATGAGACTCGTGAGAGAGGAGGCCCAAGAAGGCAGTGACAGACATAGCAAGAGTATCAATTGCTACGGGCCCCGCATATTTAAACCCTTAAACTTATTAAATAAGAGGCATTGATTTGATTTTTTACCAATTTTTTCTTAAGAACCCATAGCAGATCGAGGGCCGTTTGAAAGAATTTGCTACTGACAACGCGCTTGCTTAATCCGGCACTGCAAGATGGCCATATTCTGGAAATTGCGGAGGATTGGGTCTTGTCCCACCGTGTCACCGGTGGGACAGAGACAGGTGCAACACGTTTGTTTTAGTGCGTACCCCTTTCTAACCGTGACTACCACATACGCCACTTTTGACAATTCGGTGTTCGAAAAAAATCAGTTGTCGGAGATCGGATGGAAAGTTACAGCATCGGTAATCCGATTTGCATATACATATAAATGTGTTTTGATCATCTTAATACTACAATAGCCGTTGGTGAGAGGATATTGACTGAGGAGGAGAACCCTAGGAAACATAGAGAAAGTGGTATCGCAAGGCATTATTAAATGGTAAACAAAGACTTTACTTACAATGTCGGTACCATAGGTTTCAGATAGCATCTTCACCTCCCAGTAGTATTGGTAGTTGTGCTCCATAGGAGCATCACCTCGGACCGCTGCCGTACCAGAACTATAGTAGGGATGGAATGTCACTTGTTTCCTGTCATCTGTCATCAGAACTTGAGTTGTTGAGTTTGTTTCTGGCCTTTCCCATTTCCATTCCGTAACTGTTGGGCCAAAAGATAAAAATTAAACCCTTCAAATCATTATTGTATATCAATACACTGTTTGAAGCTGAAACCACAGTTGATAGGTCTCTATCGGTTTCAGCCTCACTTTTTTATTTTCGGTATTTCAACTGATTGTCCAATCATTTGAAGTACTTAAAAAAAAAGTAAAGTAACAGGCTATACATGTATAGGCTTTTACTTTACTTTTTCTTTCAGAAGAGTCCTTTGTCCAGACCTTTTCTAATCAGAGGGTATTATAGCGTAGTACACCATGTGACCCCACTGCAAATTGGCAACCTTCACACATCTTTGAAATATTATTTCATTATTAACGAAAATATTCACATATTCCCACAATAGTAATAATATAGCCTAAATATCCCGAAACTCATGTTTATATATAATCTGCTTATAATATGTCCCTAAGTTTGGCGTGCCTCCTGGCAGGAGGCCTTTCCTCTCACAATTTCTACTGTTTTCCATCCTTTGCAACTCTCCTCCAGTTACAAACCACTGTTAATTTGAGTTTTTCCTCCCATCTATTGCATTGTCGGCCTAGTTTTCGTTTCACATTTCTGGACGACATATCTGTCATTGTTTTGCTCCATTTATCTTCAGGGTTACATAACATATGACCCATCAATCTCCAATTTGTTTGAACTATCTCAGTAAGAAAATGTGTCACACCTATTATGGCTCTTATTTGTATTTTTGTATTTGTTTATCTATTTTTCTGATATTCAGCCTACTTCTTTCCATGGCTCTTTGTCAGTGTTCAAGCATATTCCTGGACTGTTTAGAAATGCCCAAGTTTTGCAGCCATAGGTAAGGCAGACACATATATGCTCTAAGAAACAACAATCAAAAGTTTTTCTCAAATACAATTTTGGTGTGCCCACAAATTAAAGCTGAACCCTATCATACATTCCATTGGAACTTATGAATAAGAAGTATATAAAAACACTCTCCTGTTCAATAGCTATGTTGTAAAAAAATATCCAAGTCATTCCATCAGCTATTTTTTGAGTTTTGTTAACCCAATCACACATTTTTATTTATCTAATTTATTTTTATATATAAAGATATAATATATTTATAAGTTGTCATATTGACAGAACTTTTCATTGATTTAGTCCATTTATTGATGAATAACACCACAACTGTTATTTTTACTACCTTATTTTCGCTCTTTGTGCATACTAGAAAATAAATTAGCAATTGAATATAAATAAAACCCATCCAATGATGATTGACAAATTTACAAGTATACAACCATATAAAACAAAGATTAACAAAAACTATGATCCTACAGCCTAAATTGATATTCAGGTATTTATGAATAAACCAGTATTTTCAAAGACACACTATTAATCAGTATTAAAGTCATACTTACGGTCAACTTCTTCCCCACAAAAGCAATAGCTTAACTCATCCCATTCTATAGGTCCCCTCTTATACCAGCATAAGCAATAAGGTCTTGGACCACAATCAGGTGCCGTTTTAATTCTCACAGTATCGCCCATCGTGTTATAACAATACAATATATTTAAATTAAAGTAACAGGAAATTTATGTAGTGCAGATAAAGAAAAACAAAACATTAAAATCCCTTAACATTACAAGTCTGCTTCAAACACCATTTACACGATCATGGGTTCACCGTACCGTACACGACAGTAGTTAAAGTTAAACGTGACACTGGTAACAGCAGGTAACACTTTAATTAACCATGGAACGTAAACCACATTTGAACAAAAATCTCATCTCTTTTTCAATCAATTTCAAACCAATTGGTATAGATGGCGACTCACGTTATTTATACTGTTTGATACATGCGTTCAGAAATTTAAATTAATTGTCACTTTTTCAATCAATTAAGCAAGGATATTCTGAAAATTATAATATGATTTAGCTATAACAATTGCTGATTAATTTGTTAAGTACTTTAAGGTCACTTGTCAAATTGTATTGTATATTGTAAAAGAAAGCATTTTACTAAATAAATGAACATTGGAATCCTCAAAACAATTTCTAAACACATGCCGTATTTTCTGGATGGTTCCGGAATTGGCTTTCTGAAGTAGGGGTGGTCGTTGTCCAAATTTTGACAAACGAAACGCAACCGTTGTCCTGACGAGTGGAACGGTTGCAGAAAACGGTCGTCGTTGCAACTATTTTAAAGACGTCTTAAAGGACGAAACTTAACCAACGTCAAATATAATTGCGTTATCCGAGTTTTCGTCGAGTGAAACAGTTGCAGTTTCTTAGTTCTTACAATACATACAGGTTGGCTTTTCTAAAGGTGCCCAAATTCACACAGGAGGTTCAGACTCGGTAGTATAATCGTTTATTGAAATAAAAACAAAAAAAATTGCCATTCCATTCACTAAAAAACAGAACTTGTTGACAATTCCGTAGTCATTCATAAATGCGTCGTATACTTTTGAAACGAACTTGTGTGCGTGATAGTTATGAATGATCGCGCGTAAAATAAATGAGTTGCCCATAAATCACGCACTTTTTGAGATAACTTCAAATTAATGTATTTAATTAATTACGAGCGATTTTAAGTATTTATCATTTTTATATAACATTATTCATGTCTAAAATTTAATAAAAAAAATGGATACACTTAGAAAAGCCTCCCTGTATAGGGAATTTGCTAGTTTTATTTCTCTATTAGCAAAAGGTAAAAGTTTCCTTAAATAGCGCCTGAAACTACGCGTTAGGAAAATTAATTTACTTTTCGTAAATTAAATTTCATAATCAATTAAGATTAAACCATTTGTGTAAATACAAGATTTAAGAAATAATCAATTAACAAGAACAATCAGTGTAAGTTTAAGAAATACAAGTTCCGTATTTAATCATTTTACTATAAATCGATCGAAAGCAGACTGTTAAATAAAACTATCAATACTATGTAAAAGCGATTCAAAAACAGCCTGGCGCACACGAATATTGGAAGTATTGGATATCGTTTCAGGAATATAAAAGTACTTCGATATCGTGTGTATACATTAGGCAGCAAATTTGAGACCTCTAATCACACTCGCATTACACTATAATGTAAAATATAGTCGGCTGATGTATGGTAGGAGTGAGCTATACTAGGTTAAATAAAAAAATGAGCCGTAACGGGACGCCTGGCAGATGTGAAACATCGACATTATTTTGTAAAAGTAATATGCAGAAAAGAACAGAATGTGATAGGAACTAAATATGTCATAATGATAAAATAAAGTATTACGATTTTTTTTCCAGATAACGATGACTATTTATTGAATAAACATTTATTTTCATTAAATACAAAAATTTACGGACTTATTTCAAATCGTGACTATTACTTCGTTTAATTAGTGACTTCGGTAATAGTACACACAATTAATTAAAGTTCATTTAATTAATTAATAATTATTAACAATTAATTTAAATTTTAGTAATTAATCGTACACACTACTGCATATAGACTGTATATTTATATACCATCATATAGCATGCGTCGCCACGCCAGAAATTAAGCTTTTACGTGCGGCTAAAGATGTTTCACATCAATAAGAAGGTAAATAATTTTAAGTAATAGGATCAGACGTAGGTACTCATTTGATCCTGTTACTTAAAAGTAACAGTGACAAATACCTGTTACAAAATAACAGCCTATTATTTCATACTATGTTGTGACAATTTGTGTAACTGTTACCTTAGAGTAACGCACTGTAACAGCTGTTACGTTCGTACGTTAACGTCCGTACTTCTCTTTGTAATAAAGCTAAGACCAACGGAAGAAAAAGAAACAGCTTGTGACAGTGACAATGTTCAGTAACAACTGTGACACAGGGAAACAGTTTTATCTCTTTCTATCTAAGGTAAGCAAAGTCGTAAGCATGAATAAAGAAAAGCTTTTGACAGCGTTTTATTTAAGGTTTAAGGAACAATTTATGTGGAACAGGAGCTGTTATTTAAGTTAGTTCGTAACAGGTACGGTCTGTTATCTCGAAATACCTGTAATATTTACCTGTTACGATTAATACGCCTCAGTCAGTAGAGTTGTAATAAAAATGAAGAAATCTAACTTTCAAAAATTCTCAGTTTATTCTAATCAAAGATATTTTTAAGGAGAAATATATTTGCCTTTTCTTAACATTCAAACGTTTAATATGAATAGTCTGTCCATTTGTCATCCTTTATAAAAAAAGGGTTATTGATTTTACAAAAGTAGGTATATAATTCCTTTAAGTTGGTATTTCCGATTGTTTTGCTTTGGTGCACCCCGCCCACTGTAATGGTTGTCATTTTCATTCATTTTCAAATTCATTCCTAAGTGCGATTGAAAATACGTATGTAATAAAACGGAATATCCTCTATTTGGGACATTTAAAGTCTTTGTATGTAAAGTAAAAATATATTCGGTAAATTCATATTAGAAATTAATTTAATTAGAACGAAGTAAAAATTATTCTAAAATGTGTGAGTTGTGTCTGTCGGATTGATGGGAATCTCCGTGGGGATTTTCTGTTTGTATTAGATTGCCGTAGATGGGTCCAGTGAAATAGGTACCAGTGTTGAAGAAGAAGCTGCTTGTGTGGGGCCCTTGTCACCTGAGCACCGATGCATTTCTGGATAGATAAACGCAGCCAGTGCGCTTACAGCGGCCGCCATCGGGTGCCGTCATCGCTGTCGGCTGGTAAGCGTTTGAGGAACTTCTTCATATTATACACTGTCATACTATATACAATCTTTTAGCTGTGACTCTATTCGCATGAAGTCAATCAAATATATAAGAGAGGGGAGAAAAGAAAAATTTAATCCATTGTACTAAGAAAGTATAAAAAATGTCAAAAAAACAGGTGATAGAAAACAAAATAGTTACTTACATTATAAATTTTCTGTGAATATCTTTTAGTAAAATAACAGTTGTACATTTGGTGATATTGTTTTGAAAAATTTCTAAAAGCACCACTATTAAGGCTTGTGCTATTCTGGTTGCTCACTTGGAAAACCTCAGTGCCAGGACCAATAAAATTGTGAATTGCAATGTTATCTGCTGATTTATCATATACTCAATGGTAAAGGAATATTACGGAAAACTGAATATGTACCAATCCACAGAACCTCTGTGGGAGCTACTACATGCTATTATTCGCTGCAGAGAGAGAGAGAAGATAATTATGAAAATAATTCATACTTTGGATAATATGTCCAAAGTAATGTCCAAATTGTGAATTATTTTTATAATTAACGAAGTAATAGTATTAGAAAATCTCAGTAAAGCTATCAAGGTGGTGATTTGTTTTTTTGTTGTTTGTTTGTGTTTTGTTTCCACTCTTCTCATTATGATGACTGTTATATGAAATTTCAAATGAATATAGAAAAAGTTTCTTATTAATATAACTTGTCATTTAAATTTAGAATAGCACTATGCAGCGCAATCTGCAGATAAAAGCTGGTCTTATACTTTAGTTTTGTCTATTGTATCCATATCTTTATCAGGTGTGGGCCGCGCTCACGGTCGAAAGGGCATGGCTGCACCTGTGCACCGCTTTGCATCTGTCGACTGTGCACCGCGTCGCCCTCACCGGCCAATGAGGCATTATGCGTTAGTATACCATTGTTTTCTTAAGCCAAAATTTATAATTTTGTTGTCAATTTAGATGTGACCTATATGTATATGGCACCTGAACGTTTTTTCCATGAGCTATGAGCATGACTAATTGTTTTAACTAATTAATTGTCAATAGGGAGCTTTTGCACTTTCCATAGAACTGTAGTGGCTGCCAGAGCTTAGACTGATAGATACTGATAGATTCACAATTAAGATTTTTTTTGTTCCATTACAAGTTAAAAGAATGTTTATCTTATACATCTTTGTCACATATTATCACATATCATTCATATGAGTGAAAACTTAGGGCTAAAATGATAGATCGGGTGAACTTGATCACTGGTCGCCTTTCGTATAAAATACAAAATTTAGCTAAAACTATTACTTCATGTGATGTGTGCGTTCCTTCCAGGCCGCCACCGGTGCCGGCGGTCCACTCGAGCCGGAGGCAAGCCGAGGAGCCCAGCCTGTACGTGGAGATTCCGCCGGAGCCGCCGCAGCCCACCATCGCCAGCTTGGCGGCCGCGCGCAGCGTCACCCCGGACACCTTGCTGCGCACGGCCGCCCTGGGCCTGCACAACTCGCCGATGATGGCGCCGCACCTCAAGTTCGGAATGCTGGTCTCCTTCGCCCTGGCGACGGTGTTCCTGGCCGGCGCCAAGTACTATTTCGACAGACAGGTGAACAGTTGCTCGAGGCTGGGCTATTGAGAATCTTAACCGAAAAAGAAATTCCAAACAATTGGAAAATTTTGAATAATGTATGACTAATCCCATGTTCTAAGGATCTCTTTATATTTTCAATTTAAAAATAATTCACTAAAACCCACTTAAGAATATTTGCTTGTATTATATGTGTAATATCACAACAACAATCTGTATTTCTTCTCAATTTAGAAGAAAAAATAATTAAAAAAAATAGCAATGAGAAAACACTGTTCACATGATTTTTAATTACCGCACACCATTGACGTCCATAATAGCCCGTTGTATGTAATTGCATCGCCGAATTTTAAAAATACGATGGTTTTAGCTACTTCGTCAATGGTGACGCGAGAGATGTCTTTGTCCTATGCCCGTCCGTACCTTGTTGGGCGAAGACACACCGTGACTGGCTGGCAGTGGACGTATTCGTCTAGCACTAATTTTAAATTCGTCGAGATTTTCTCGCTTCACAACTAAGTTTTTAGTTTCACGCCACACTCAGTTGGTGAAGCGTGTGGCCGCGAAACCGAAAGACGTAAGTTCGAATTTATCTAAAAAACCGCAGTGGGTGTTGTGGACTATGCCCTAACACCCTCTGAATGGAGTAGGCCTTTTCCAGCATTGGGACACATACGCTAATAGCCTATATTACTTTAATGTGAAGTACTTTAATCGATACTCGCCCTGCACGAGGCCTGGACCCTGGTGCATGAGACCGCCCTCCACAGTAGGGATGTCGGAAGTGAAGAATCGTTATATCGATAATTATAAAAATATCAATATCGACTTCGACATATCGAAGAGAAAATATCAATATCTACCTGCGACATCCCTACTGCGCGGGGCTGGTGACCCCTGAGCTTTCCGGCTCGTAAGTGTCGACCTGTCTAAACGAGAGCCGTAACAGTTGCTGGTTGTCTTCGCAGGTGGTGCGAGCTGGGGTGTCGAGCGAGGCGGGGATGGTGTGCGCGGCCGTGGCGTGCATGTGCGGCGTATGCTGCGCCCTCTCCCTCTGCCGCACCCGCGCCCCCCGCGCCCCTCCCGCGCCCCCGGAACGGGTCTCCTCCACCGCGCAGCGCCACGCCCACCAGGTCCTTTGTATTTTGCATTTTGTGCGGAAAGTCAGAAAAATCAAAATCAAACGTCTTTATTCAACATAGGAGAATTACACTCGCTTATTGATAGTCAAAATACTACCAGGGAAGGGTTAAGTACCGTTGTAGGGCAACGCAATATCTTAACGAATGGGTAGGTCCGTCCTGGTGAGTGCCACAACTTCAGAGAGAAACAGCGTGAGTCGTCTGGCGAGTTAGTTAGCCGCTGCGCATTTTGTTAGAAGGTGGCATCGCATCTGACGTTATCTTGCGTTGTATGATGATGTTTCATATATATAAATTTAACGTAGACAAACCCAGATCTGAAAAAACTATCTGTGGGTGACATAAGTTAGTTGTTTCGTTTGAGATTGTACTGTACCGAAGACCCCTGTCGCCGAACCCAACTGTTCAATGGCATTATCCACCAGGGCATTTATTCCCGCCAAAACTTCACGTAGGCCACACCTTTAAAGCCCCAACCGTTGTTGCTGTTTCGGTTCAGTTCGAACGGAACACGTAGCAATGTCACGCCGGCTTAGAGTAGGAGACTCCATTACTAAATTAAGCAATACACAACCAGGTCCAGATGGCTGCTTATTTTATATATTTGATTTGATTTCTACTTCAGTCACCATTACTCTCTAACCACTAAGCCTTAACCAAGATTAGTGGTAAATAGTATGTCAAACTTTAACACTGACATCATATTGAAAGTGCAAGTTTTTTCAATTTAAGTCTTTTCAGGCCTAGTAAATGACAAAATCTACCATCTTTACATAATCCCAAGAAGTGCAGGCAAAACAATATAGTATTTGATCAACAACACTGCTAAAGCTACTAATGATTTTGACATTGTCAAGAAACAACCTAAAACGACTAACTTTTTTGACTTTTTAAAACAAGGGCCAGTTTTAGCAAGCTACATAACATTATGTACTTTGGCCTCTAAGTGCACAAATCTTTATTTAATGTTTCGCAAAAATTATATTGATGAAAATTATATTATGATATTTTCTAAATAGGTCACTATAATTCGAAAGGTGCGCTTATACTATTCCAGATAGCGGAGATAGCAGAGGAGCTTCCCGCGCTTCTGCCCGCTTCAGAACGCTCCGAGCGAAGGGCGGAGAGGCTGGTGGAGAGGGGTGCGGAGAGAGTACCAGAAATGGTACCGGACCGAACTGCGGAGAGGGGCACTAGTGAGGCGCCCCCGCCGTACCACATTGCGGTACTTCTACCGGGCCGCGCCGCCGCCCCCCCGCCTGCCTACAGCGCGATCAGCTAGCCCGACGAGTTTATCATCTAGCTCGTCGAGCCCGCTGAGTTCATCATCTAGCTTGGTGAGTCCACCGAGCTCATCTAGCTCAGCTCGACGGTCGAGCGAGCCGTGAGTTGCTCGGAGAAGGTTCCGAGTTTACTCAAAGACGATTCTTCTAATGTTTGTGATCTATTCAATATGTCGAATACAAGAATTCATCGCTATCATCAAGACTGTTTAGTATAACAGTTGCAAAGACTGGCATAGTCACATAACATAATTATATAGAGTGTATATCATTATCATGACTTTGAATTTCGATCAATGTGTCTGGTAATTTTTTAATATATTCTGTTTAGATTAGCTAGTTTTTCATGTATACACTGCCTCATCTTATAAAGTTACTCATATAACATGTTAATATAGTTAATACAATAGAGTTTGTCTAGTCATTTTCTAATAACTTAAATATGTCCACATGTCTTTGGCTTTGTATAAATATTTCCTTTATTAAACAATGATGGAGCTAAACTGACTATACATTTAAGACATAACAAATTGTAATAATATTATTACCTATACATTGGTTAATGTAATCCATGGATCACAGATTACATGCTTTACTACGGAAGGATTGTATTTGATATTCTTCTATTAAAACAAAAATTTGTGAATAGCAAAGTAGCTCTCAAAGCAATATTGTTAACTAAGAATTATTTATTCCTAGGCTTATGCAGTTGATTTTATCAAACTGTTCATTCTTGTCAACATTCTACTTTTATAGTTTTATTAATCAAAATGTAGTTTAATTCTAGTCTATTTAAACAAGTCTCGTCTATATATTCCGGGCAAAACAATTGGTCCCTTTTTTTATCTCTATTGTATATTCATTGGATCTGTGTGATCTGTGTAGATTGCTAAACATTTGTTACAGTAATTCTTCTGTATTTGTTATATCCTGTACATATTAGAAAAATAACTAAGATATATCTCCAATTGCTGTAAACTGATTATTATTTCGTTATTTCCAGTGATAAAGACTTGTTGCATCTCTAATAATCATTATGAACAGATTAGAACAATGTCATTCTTTATTACACGCTTTGAAAAGTTAAGAATATTGCTGTGTAGGACAATTGTGTATTAATTAATTTTAGTTATTGATGCAGCCTAAATAATTAACACCAAATGTAATCTGCCAAAAAGATTTGATGCTATTCGTAATTTTTAAATCTGTATTTACATAAAAATAGTAATAGTAATCTTTATTCGCCTTTAAACTGGGTGAAAAAATTGTTTACCCACAACTTCAGCCATAATATATGTAAATGTTTTTAGTTAATACATGACATCCATACAGTGTATTGGTTTATGTCATTACGTTTTGTTACTGCACTTGTGTTTCATACACAAATTCTTACTGTATGTTATTGCTTAAGCATTGAAAAAATTTAAACATTTGAACAATTAATAAAAATAATATCATACTCAAATTGTATTTGCCCAATTTTTAATAAGACAATGTTATATACCAAATATAAAGGCCAAAGGAATATGGAGTTAGAAAATTAATGTGGTTTAAGTAATACGGTGAGATATGTGTAGCTAAATTTCGATTAAAAATTTCTGATTGTTCATTCAACATTCAAGTAAGTTGTGACATTCAATAATACCCGCTAACTTCTTAGTAATAAGACTCGGTGTTCAATGTTCTATAGTGTATAGTGACATAGTTTTGTATTGCGTATTATATCTTTAGCATTTGATGGTGTCGAAGTAGTACCGTAGTTAGATATGAATGTGACTGTATTAGGTAATTATGTTTAAGAGTAACAAGCGGTAAAGTGTATATATATTACCATAGAAATGTACGAACTCCAAAGATGGAATTAAAAAAAATATTTATGTAATGGAACAAGATTGTTGTAAGAACTTACAACATATGTATTAATTCTCCGTTTTTTGAGCCAAATAATGATACTTGCGTCATAATATGACAGGCTACACTTTGAAGCTTGCTAACACTAAATATATATTACTTTTATGTGTATTCTAATTTATTTGAAAACGGATTTAATGTGTTTTTAGCGTGTTTTGCATTTTTACCGAGCCATATTATTATGAATATACTCATGCAACCTAATAAAATTAAAATTGTTCAAATCCCAGCAATGGCACTAATTATTATTAAGTGCCAACATATCACATACTCAAAGGTAAAGGAAAACATCGCAAGTGAATTAGTTGCTTTCCAATTGTTTTTTATTAATACCTCTACATTTTTTAGTACCGTAATTCTAAAGGACCAATCGGTAACAAAGGCCTAAATCGCGATAGTGAATGTAGGCAATACAACCTCCTAACATCTTTACTAATATTATAAACGCGAAAGTTTGTATGGATGTTTGTTACTCTTTCAAGCAAAAACTACTTAAGGTATTTATTTTAATGAAATGAAAATTTACAATGACTAAGCTTATACATCAGAATAATACATACGCTATGATTTATAAAGATTCAAGGGTCTCTTAAACTAGCTCTGTCTGTCTGTTACGCCTTCACGACTACCAAACGCAGAACTACCGACGCAGAACCAATTTTGATGAATTTTGGTTTAAAGATGGATAGTATATACCTTGGAGAATAAAATAAGGTACTCGAAGTACTAATCTTGTATAAACGAAGTCGCAGCTTGTATATAATTAAAATCTACTCCACAACATATACAAGCGGTAGACCATCTCAAAACTTAACGATTCCCTATAGCTTATGTGTCAGGAGAACTTTTATGTTTTTTCAGCATTCCAAACTTTAGCGTAATATATTTTAAAAATTTTACATGTTGCTATGTGTTAAATATGTAAACATTTTAGTTTAAAAAAATATATGCTTTTCTGAATGGTAATATAAAGTATTTAGATAATTGTGTAAATATAGAATGTCGTCCAGTGTAGAGAGTACTTTTTTATTTGAAGCAATGGAACGCTTTTAGGTTGGGAATCTCATTTTATTTTATGATCTTTATATTTTTTTTAATAAATGCGAGACTAGCTTTCTGTGAAAATATCGCAAATTTATGTTATTTTTATTTATATCCATACATTGTTAAAGTAGAATATGTTGTGACCTGAGTTTATCACGATTTTTTTTATTATACTCAACTGCATTTTATTTTGGTAAAATTCCAAAGATATTATTCTTCATTACTAATGTGGGTATGAATAGAGTAGTTAATGCGCGTTAATATTAAGTGTGCAAAACAAGTAACAAGTAAGTTTAACCTTTTTAGCCTTTTCTGTACGATATTAGACCATTTCGATAATCTGTACTTATAATACTGTTGATCTCTTATGAGCACAAATTAGTTTTTAATTATTTAAATATTGGTGTTGTTTCTAATTTGAAAAAATCCTTTACGGGTCGTTAATTAAAAATTAAACTGTAATATGTGGCAGGCTTTTATCCAAAGTTGTTATTTCGTTGTTAATATCCATGGTAACAAGTTGTCAAATGACTGCTGTTTTTAGATCTCCAAACTACCACATATATATTTTTATGAATAGCCATTTCATTTATGTGATATGAATTTGAGAGATCTATAATTTATCGGGCGCATTGATTTGCGAGTATAATTTGGGGGTGATTTGTATTTTTTTTGTAATTGAAAATTATTGACCCGTTGTGGGTCAATAACACTCAACGACTCAACTAAATATTGAAATTTAGTTATTTAATATTCTAATTAACTTTTGCTAAAGCCTGTCATTTGTATTATATCTGCTCTCTAGTCACTTTAGGCGCCTCTGCCGTAAAGAAATATTGAATGTTTCTAAAAATTATTATTTATTTTTGTAATATTGTTTACTACTTGATAATTTTATGGCTGGTTGTTCTAAAATTTTATCTAGTCTTTGGAGTGAGTTGCGGCTGATGTTATTTTTGTATGGTACCCGTTTTGCGGGTTTGAATTGGTATTTGTAACTGACGCCCAATAAAAGATATCGTCGATGTGCTACATTTGTTTTATTTAAGCCCGTCGAAACGTTTTTCCAAAACAAGCCTTGGTAGCTAATCTGATATTTTTATTGTAATTGCAGCTTGTAAATTATTTTTACTTCATCCTTTTTCTTTGCTGTAATAGAACCCACGTCCCGATTGTATTACAGGGCTAATGCAGGACTTGAAGCTATACTTTATGAACGTAAGATACAGACGTAATTATGTAGTACAAATTTAATAATAAGACGAACCCTTTTCTTAAGCTGTAATCGTATTTTTTTAATTGAATAGTTGGCGAGCCTGCTCGCTTGTTCAACTTTATTCAAGTTTACTTATGGTTCAAATTATGTTAAATGATTACCGCCGCCTGTGAACATACCAGCATCTGAGAGGTTGTGCGTTGCGTTGCCAATATCAAACAATATTTCACTCGTTCATATCTGTGAACCACAAAAAAATAATCTCCATAAAATTAAACTATTATTGTTAATAATCTCCATAAATTTTTCAGAGCGAAATTCTTTTCTTTGTTCTGTTTACTGGAATTCGAAGAATTTATCTGAATTATCGTGTGGCGACACAATGTAATATGATATATTAGTCGAACGCCCCATGCGCCTTACATTGTGCAGCGCAGTACAGTTCATCGCAAGTAGCTAGCGAACGCACACTGTCATGTGAATATCTTGTAGAGTTAATAATAAATAATATATAATAGTAGCGTAGTATTTATCTCATCTCCTCGTCACAATTTGGAACAAATATAAATATCTCTAACCCTATAATCGTATAAAAACGTTCTTCGCCCACTCAGGTTGGCCTTGATTTAGTTATTAGTAAAGCGTTAAGAAAAGGATATTCTTATAAAGATAAATTTCAATACTTATTATTACCAACAGAAGGCGTCTTTAACTTTACAATTTAAAAAAAGCTATATCCAGTTTGGATTTTTCACCGATAAATAAAAAAACAATATTGAAGCTCGTACTCGTTATATATTTCAATCGATAACATTAAGTACATTAGTGACGAAATAAATAAAATATTTAGGTATACTAAATTACAAGTAAAAAATACGATTGGTTGACATGTTCATAAACATCGTTTTTATAGACTTTTGGTGAAGGTAATAAATAGTCTGGTAAGTTAATTTATTAGCGTCAAGTGCACAGTGCTTATACTAAAATTAAATTGTTTACTTTGTTTCAATATGATTATTTTGTAGACGTATACATGCCTAAGGACCAATCGAAGATCAAGTGGACCTTCATTTCAATTCATGACAAAAATAAAATTTCAATGCGAAGGATGGCTAAAGTCATATTTAGGATAGATAATTAATGTCATTGGAAAAAACTTAGGCATATTTACACAATTGGAATGAAATAAACCAAATAAAATTACAAACAAACAAATACAATAAAATTAAAAATAAAAAAAGCGGCTCAAGGGCGGGAAAAATATTGCACGCGCCCACAGATGATACAAAAAACAAAATATTGGTACGAATGTTATATTATTTGAGTGCAAAGCGAATCTCGAAAGGAATACGAGCAAGCGTAACTAAATGACTAGCAAAGTCATGATACAGTCGACCTTTTACATTAAAAGCATGATCATAAGATAAGTTCATTATTTCATATTAATTAATGGTTTAATTGAAGAAAAAGAAAACAAATACATCATATCACAATATTGTCATTATTTAAAGATAACCTAGCATTCCGCTTTTATTTATACGCTTCGAAGACTTGTTATTCGGTTCTTGACAACGATAGATCTCTAAATATTTTTTTTATTAATTATTAATAATCCTTTAGAAATTTTCGCCATTGGCTTAGGTAACAAATACATAATTTAATAACATCAAGTAATACTTAGAATTGGATATAAAAATGTCTAGAATCCGTAGACCAATTTTTTTTTCGTGATTATTCGTAATAGGTACTAATCATTCGTTTATAGTTTTGGTACATCGATTATAAGTAAAGTTTCGATTATTTGTACTAAGTAATATTATAGTCTGCAGTAAATTTACTCTCGCGTACAATTTACTAAAAGTCGAAACATGATCTTAACTATCATAAGATTGGGGAAATGCAGTTATCGCAGTTGTATTTCCTAAGCGTATATGACAACTTACAAAATTTACGTATAAAAGAACCATATAAAAACCACATTTAATACACATATATTTTCGAGGCTTATTGAATATATTTAAAGGGGAAATTTCATTTAAGCCAATTTTAGAATAATTATAAAGATAGATAAAAAAATCAAAGTGAAATAACGATCAATAATAAATATAATTTTAATAATATTTAATTATTAAAAAATTTATTTAATAGAAATTAGGAAAGCTATATTTTTATTATTTCATTTTTCATTTTATATGTTATTAATTGTTTATTATCAGTACAATGGATGCAATAATTCAGCCTCCATTGTTACTTTATACGTAAAACGGCATTATTATTTAATCATAATTGCAAGAAGCATTTTGTAAAGTAAATAAGGAACTGCAAAATTATAACAATGACCTTATGTAATTATACACTAGGATAAATCCATGTACGGTTGGTAACTACTGGAAAATATATATTTATGTAATCTCAAACATAAATTGGAATTAAATGCTTGATAAATAACATTTTTCTAAGACGTAGTCGTACGCAACCATTAGATACATTCCGGTCATCTAAACTCGGTACGAACTACTTATCTCAAATGACATTTCCGTCATACGTACGGTGTCCAAAATGAGTGCGTGTAATCTTTACACGCTGTTGAAGTAAAACTAAAAAAAAATCTTTTAAAAAATTAACAATAACTTGGTTTAAATAATTTAATATTAATGTATTATTTTGTCCGCCAATCCGCAGTGGGGCCGCGTGGTGGACTATGCCCTGATACCCTCTGTATAGAGGAGGCCTTTGCCCAGCAGTGGGACATGTATTGGCTGTTACTTTACTATTATTTTAAATGTACAGTTAAGATAAGAATCGCGAAGAAAGTATGGTAGGCGCGTACCGTTGAAAAGTATGCTAACGCTACTGCTCGCTTAAGGCCGTGTACTTCTCGAGCCAAGTACAGAGTTTAATTTGACCGGGTTTTACATACAAGACAAACATGTCAATAAATAATTAATATTCAAAAAGTTTCATATAATAAACTTGGTAGTACTCTAACAAGAAACAGAAATAATATAAAAAAGCTTTTAAAGGTCAGATGAATATTGCAAATTTGAAAAACTCAAATATTCAAAAATAGTCCTCAATAATTATATTAAGTCTCTGCAGTGAATTCTTTACATATATTTTCAAATATTTCTAGATCTAGTGTTGCCATCTAAAACTTAGATTTCCATAACTTTTTTTCTTTTCTTTTAACAATATGCAACCTGTTTTAATTAGGAATTATGAGCTTTAAAGGCATCTCTGACGTCGTGAGAATCTTTCTGGTGAGTGGAATTTGTACCACTTATTAATACTTTTCCATACTACTTTAGTAAAAACATAACCAATAAAATTAAAATTATATAGATTTAATGCTTAATGGTTCAGAATGTAAGATCTAAGATGGCAGTACTAGCCTGAGACTATTACATAACGTTTTACATATAAAACTAAAGAAACTAAAAGATCGAATCTCTAACCTAAAGTACAAGTATGCTTTTAAAATGCTAAACTGTATCAATTGGAGCGACAAAATATACAATGATAGTTTTAAAATAGCCGCGGGAAATGTATATCCCAACGCGTAACACAATACAGCAGAAGTGTTGTCGCAAACGATATCGATAAAATTAACGTGTGATGAGAAAACAACAGCATTAGGGCCGAAACGCGTGCTATTTGCTAGGGTATTGGCTAAAGGTCCGTAGGTGCATCGCCGGGGGTCAAACCCGTTGGATCTCGAACAGCTTCACGTCGGTGTCGTACCATATGGGCGGGTCCACGTTCCTGCGGAATGCGAGGCGAGATTAAACAAGTTAACGAGCAGTGTGGACGAGGCAACGCTGATATATTTGACGGCGTGGCTGTTAGCCGTTTGGCTTAGTGGTGCGACTGCGGAGGGCGCGGGTTCGATTCCGGCGGCCGTGAAAAACTTTTTGTCCATTTCTTTCTATTTATTTTATCATAATGAATAATTCGATCCGTACGATTTCCTCGTCGTCGATTGGGTATTTCGCCATTGATATAGTTTGTTTGATGTTATAAAAAATTCAACTACAATTAGGTTATATATAACGTATATTAGGTTATAATATAACGTATATATCTTCAAGAATGTACTGCTCCAAAGCAAGGATTGGTCGTCAAGGTAAATCAAACTTACTACGAAGGTTAAAACTATATCGTAGTATTTTGACAATCAATAAGTAAGTGTCAGTATTGCTTCTTTTATCTAACACACCAGACAATCATCAAAAGAGGCCAACGCGGTTATTGTATTGAAACGTAAACAAGCGGAACAGCAGATAAATAGTTTAACAAAATCATCAAATCGGATTGAAGTTGTGTAGTAAGTAATGACAATATATTCTATTAGTGTATTTATTTTAAAGAAATCAAATTGTACGTGTGTTAGCACCCTGCACGTTTGCGTGCGTCTATTCGCACGTTGCGTGTGTTCGTATGCGTCTATTCGCATGTGTGCGTTCGCGCGTTGCGCGTGGCGTGTTTGTGTGCGTGTGTTCGTTGTGTCATTTCGCAAACTGCGCGTGTCGGTGTGCGCGCTTGCATGTGTGGCGCGCTGCGCCCACCGTATGTAGATGACGCCCCACATGTAGGTGCGGAACCAGGCGGCGGTGCCGGCGTTGGCCTGGTACTTGCGGATGAGGATGGGGTGCGGCACCGGCAGCAGCCCCACCAGCGTGCCGTGCTGCAGGAAGCGCAGGATCTCCGACTCGTCCGTCAGGCCCCTGGGCAGACCGCCTTCCATAAACCGGCCGCTCTCTCTATCTACGTACACACGGCTGCGACTGCGTGTTATTCTGACGTGTAAGCTACATTATTGTAAAGTTTCATTGAACTCCATTCAGTAGTATTTGCGCGAAAGAGTAACAAACGTCCATCCATACATACAAACTTTCGCGTTTGGGCAGTAATAGGTAATTAATATGACTTTGACTTGACTAGACTGGGCGCTTTAGTTAAGTCAAAATCAGTCAGTCTGTCGGAGAGACCGACGGGTCTATAATGTACTGTCTACTATGTAGGAGGCCGGGGTCTAGGACGCACTTGTCGATGCAGATCTTCTCCACCTGCGGCACCAGCACCTGCAGCAGCCGCATGATGGTCTGCAGCGGCAGACGCCCGCGCCAACTCGCCACCCACTCGCCCGTCGCCCGCCAGCCCTCTTTCTGCAAAACTCACCCACTTTAATATATTTCCACTCAAAACTGTGAATTTCCGCAAGAAATGAACGTCCTCACTAAGCTAAGCGGCCGATGACCAGAACCCATAACATTAGAATTATATCGATGTTCTTTTTATTGCATTTTTAGCAAAGTTTATTGATGACTCCGTAGCGCAGTTACCAAGGTATTGGCGCGGGGTGTCGTGGGATCGATTCCCACACGAGAAACTATTTGAGTGATGCATATATAATTGTTTCGCATCTAGGTGTTTGTCCACGTGGTATTTATATACGTAAAACGTCCTACAGGGACTGTTATCCGACAGTAAGAGGTGATGTTTTCAAAGGGTAAATTACAATCGATCTCTCTAGGTCACAGTGGTCTTTGGGACTTGCTACCCGACCACTTCTCCACAAAATACAAATGCAATGCTTATTTGTGCTAGGATGAAAAAAGCTCTGATTATAGCGCGTTATAAGTGTATCATTTCTGTAAGACTTCAAACTGTGGAAGGGATTAAGCGATTTTAAAAGTAAATAGTATGTAATGCCGTTCAAATTTAAACCTTAACAACAATTACTTAAGTTTGATTTTTTACTCAAATTTGAACCGATCGCTGCGGTAGCGACTGGCCGTCGTTTTTTTTAAATCGCTCGTAACTGATGCCGTTAAAATTTAAGCCTTAACACTGATGGCCTAAGGTTTAGATTTCAATCGGCCGCTGCTTAAGGCGCTCGTATCCGACGCCGTTCAAATTTAAGCCTTAACAACAATAGATTAAAGCTCGAATTCGAACCTGGCTAACGTTGTTCACGGCGCTGTCGCCGTCCGGGCGGTCCTGGTCTCCGCGGTCTCGGCGGCCGGCCGTCCGGTCCTGGTCTCCGCGGTCCCGGTCTCGGCCCTGGTCCTGGCCCCGGTCTCGGTCCGCGTCGTGGCCGTCGCCGCCGCTGCGCCGCGGCAGCAGCTGGTCCCGCGGGTGGGCGGACTCGCGCTCGGTCATTGCTGTTATTGCTGCCATGCAAATTTCGACTTTAAAACTCACACAATAGAGTCTAATAAGGTAATGGCGAATATCGCTAAGCAAATTTCTACTTTAAATCTACGCGAATAGGGTCTAATTCGTATTCAATTACCTATTTATAGATTTGGCTACTGGATATATAACTCTGACGTAAGTATTACGGAGGTAATGTCAAATACCTATCACTGGTTGCCAAATCTACAGATAGATAAATTACTAAAAACGGCCGTAATAGGGAAGATGCATATTTTATATTTTTCAATATTTTGTGACTAAAATGTTAAAAATCATAAAAACGTGAGCAGATTTTACAGAACGCGTAGATTTTTAACAAATATTACTGATTAAAGTTAAGTAAAATGGAACGTTTTTTAAAACACCAATCAGCGTCAAGTGACGTCATTTCTTTGACAGCATATAAAAAATAAGTTTAACTTTAGAAATGTAAACTGTGTTTTTCGAAATTCAATTGCAAATTTTGAATAAAACTCGAGATATGGTTGTGTGTCGTTGGTGTGGAAAGTGAATAAACATGTAGATACATCGATATATTTATTCACATCGACATCACTAGGAGAGGCTGTTAATGTGTGAATGTGCGTGTGGCGCAGTTGTCGATGTGTGCGTGTGCGTGTCGTTTCACGATGGTGTGAGAGATTAGTATAGGTGTGGGTGTGTGTGCGTTTATAGTGTTGGGTACCGGGCGTGTCCGGCAAGGTGGGGTTGAGGGTGCCCGGCTCGGCGGGCTGCGCGGGCCGGGAGCCCTCCATTGCCGCCTCGCGCACAGACTCAGCGCTGCGGGACCTAACGGGAGTTTAAAAAAAACTAGTACTTATCTGTGAACGGTCCACAAATCCCGGAGCTGTTAACGGAGCGACGTCGTCACCGGAATGTCGCAAAGTCGATTACAGCGGTTAAGCGGTTAGCTGAATTTCAAGTTTAAATTAACTTAATTGCTAAGAAATGTCCATCGAGAACACTTGCCACTAAAGTTTAGTCAAGCCATTTAGTTAATCAAAGACGGATGTCGAACAATAGCGTGTGGAAGTTAAATCGGGAAACAAATTCACATTGAGATAGTTTTTAACGCAGAAGTCTACAAAATCCACCCGAGAAATTTACAAAAAAGTACCCTAACAAATAATAATAAATAAATAGTCGATGCGCCAACTAAATTTTAACTAAAAACTGACAGCCGCATCCAAGTGTTGATCCCCGGAAGGTTTGTATTAGACACGATCAACGTATGATTATTCCTGGGCTCACATATGTCCACACAAGAGAATAAAAATTGGGGACCCACCTGGGCAGGGGCCGTGCGGGGCGCGCTGCGGCCAGGGAGCGCGCTATGGCCTGGTGCTCGTGGGGCAGGTTGGCCAGCGCGTGGAACACCGCGCGCTTCCTGATGATCGTGTACACCAGGTTCGAGTTGCCTGCGGAAGGGGAACCCCCCGTCACCATGGCAACATCCCGCCCCCCTCCCTCTAAGGCTGCGACGGTCCCAAGGGACGGTGACACCCCGTTACCATAGTAACTCCAATGATACGGCGACGAGCTTCGTTACCATAGCAACCTCCCTAACCCAGTGCGATAGACAAGTGACAGGTCAAATGACCGGTAACACCCGGTAGAGTGAGACAGTTTAATATCTATTGAACTCTTGAAGCACATGGTGGAAAGGATCACAGAGAGCTTAACCTCGAAACGGAATTTAAGGTTACCGCATTCGTCAGATCTCTGTTAATCTGCGGTACTTCATGAGTCGCAGATCGTGTGTTGTCTTCACATATAGGATTTTGCTCATCTCTTGTCATGCTTACCAGTTACGCCATTAAAATAAACAATCTTGACCATCACACACACACGCACACAATCTTGTCAGAAATGTCCCGATTACACGTAAAGAAACAAACAAGGTCATATCAATTAACATGTCGTTTTGGCTCACCGTCAAACTGGTACTGTATCATGTTGTTGAACATCTCCAGCAGGAAGAACACGAGGTGGTGGTGATGGGGCTGGGAGAACAGGAACCATGGAGTGCTGAACGCCTCCAGAAGATGCAGCAGCTTCGTGGAGGCCACCATCGACAGGGTCTTCAGGTACGGAGACACTGCCATTCATCAGTTCACCGGTTTACGATTTTTTAACGTTGACATCAATTTTATTGTTACAACCTAGAGATTATCTTATAATTTGAGATATGTTTCCTTGAATTTTTCGAATAATTCGCATTGGTAAATAGAAGTATTTTATGGACGTATGAGAAAGTCACGGGCTAGTTTAATAGTACTGTGAGAGGGGGCTGTAGCAAAGTTTGCTACAAATCGCATGTTCTTCCATCAGAACCCCGTGCCTTGAGATCACGCGTTGTATCTTGTATTAGCTGATATTTGCTTTCAGTTTTTTTTTTTTAATGTGAGGAAGTGGCAAACGAGCTGGCGGTTCACCTGATGTTAAGTGATAACCGTCTGCCCATGGACATTTGCAACACTCGTAGGGTTGCAGATGCGTTGCCACTTCTTAATAATGTGGGCCCCGGCTACCTCACTCACTAGAGGAAACGCAGAAGTGCAACACTTCTACTTTACGCCGGTCTTCTGTGAGGTCGTGGTACTAACCCGGACGGACCTGCCTATTCGTGCAACAGCGGACACTGTTGCGTGGCCCTACCACCTAACTGCGTGGCCCTATCACCGAAAAAGTCAGTCACGAGACTATTAAAGCTTCATCTGACGCAGAACCGATGGGCTAGCCAGAACCCACGGGTTACTTGAGATCACGCGCGAAGATCTACCATCACCGACCGTTGACGAGGATGGTGAGCAGGCAGTCGAAGAGCGGCTGCAGCCGCTGGTGGCCGGTGGTGATGATCTTGTGGAACACCACCACCAGGAGGTCGGCGTGGGTGCCGGTGAACACGGCGATGTCCATGGGGACGGTGGCCGTGTATGGCTTGTTCAGGCGGACGCCGAAGTTCCTCTCGCCGGAGAGGAGCAGCAGGATGAATACTCCGATGTGCATCAAGCCCACGCGGGCTGCAATATGAAATTTATTTGTTTATTTATTTATTTATTTAATACTAGCTGTGCTCGCAACTTCGTCCGCATGGAATTTAAAATAAAAAAAATCTAAAGTAAAAGTAGCCTAAGTTACTCCTTATTACATCACCTATCTGTCAGTGAAAGTCCCGTCCAAATCGGTCCAGCCGTTTCAGAGATTAGCCGGAACAAACAGACAGACGGACAGACAAAAATTGTAAAAAATGTTATTTTGGTATATGTACCGTGTATACATCCATATGCATTTAGTAAAAAGCGGATATTTTAATATTACAAATGGACACTCCAATTTTATTTATCTGTATAGATATGGAAGAATTACAGCTATTCAAACCTAACCAACCCTAAACTAGATATTGAGAAATTTGACAGTTCGTAGAACACTCACATTGATCAGCTCGCGAGTCGTTCAAGTGGTACAGTATCGGAACTAGAACTTCTAGCACGTCGCTGCTTTTGAGTACGTAGTACATGAATTTCTGAAATAAGTGAAGGAAACGGTGTACTCTACCTATGAATCTAATAACTATCTTCACATGAGAATCATAAATTAATAGATTTGACTGAAAACTAACCATCATATTCAACAATAATAAAAGTCGTAAAGAATTGTAAAAATATAGAATAAATTGTAAACAAATAAATTCGTTATGTGCCTTTTGGTCTTAGAAACGCTCCACCGGACTCTCATCCAAGTTTCAACACTTTAAAGATATCGTTTGCAAAAAAAAGAAATGATTCATATAATATTACTTTGATCAGGGAACATAAATTTAAAGTAGATGTTGGGCATAATACAAGTACAAACAAGCGACTTTTATTTTTCAAATACGAGACTATAGTTCGCTAACTGATATCCACAATATAAAAATTGTTTTACAATGAATTTTATAAAGCGACTTGCTGGCTGAACGACCTGCATAACAAGTTTTAATGGTGTTTGAATAAAATTGGACCACGGAATGATACAGCACCTTGTTGTAATCGCACATCTTCCAGAAGAGAACTAGAAGTTCCTGGTGGAGGGCGACCTTCTTGGCGGAGTTGGGGAGGTAGGTCTGCGCCAGGGGGTTGTTGAGGAGGCGCGTCACGCCCCTTAAGACGAACTGGAAATCCTCGTCGCGGTGAATCCGAGACAGGTAGTTGATGAACAGGTTGTCGGGGAGGTTCTGTGAGAATCAAAGACTCCGACATAGTACCATCTTGCCCATATTTTTTCCATGCACACAACTATCACTGCAGAGTAAGCAATCGCGCAAGTGCCAAAAAAACAAGACAATAAATTCCTTATTACAGATTAAATAATGACAATAAGTAAAAATATAAATAACTTGATGACTTATATAATATAACCACTAACAGCAAATTTCATAAATATGCATAGAGATACTTTAAAAAGGTTTTAAATCTAACTAGCATTAATGCAACGAAAAATATAACAAAAAGGCATCATGAATTATATAAGCCTAAGGATGATTTGGTTACTGACTTCATCAGATTCCTCGTTGACTGCATTGCTGGTATCGTGGTCCAGGGTCACAATTAGGACCTGCAGCGCCACCTGTCAATGATATTAGGAACACTTAGAATTATCTGACTGCAATATCATCATCATATCAACCTGTTTTCGTCTACTGTTGTACTGTAATATGCTCGTAAGTTATTGATATGAATATTTAAATATGGAGACAAGTACTGGTATTACTCGAAAAACACAAAATATGTTAAGAATTTACTATATAATGCAATAAAAAGTTTTCAATAGAGCATTCCCGTTGTGGTCTCGACTAATTTTCATCCGGCTCCAAAAAAAAAAATAAGGTTCTCAATTCGGTTGAATTAACTTTTATGTTTGATAACTTGGAGCTCCGTCATTTATGAATCGATTTTAAAAATAATTTTTGCATAGGGTTCCTCTTTAGCTCCCATGTGATCACATATTAATTTATAAGACCTTGGACTCAGGAGGTACATCATGAAACTCCTCAAAATCAAATATAAAATGTATAGTGATTGAGGTAATCGTAGTCGGTTTTGTTCTATTGACAAATGACAATTGACAGTTGATAAATGACAACTGACAAATGAGAACTTTAAGATTATAGAACGTAACAAATAGGCAATTGGAAAAAGGGTAAGACTAGAATGATTGGAGTATATACCAACCTCGACAAGGGGTTCGAGGGTATCCGCAAACAGGAGGTGGTTGTACGGCAGGCCGATTCCCACGGGGTCGTATGAGCATACCGTGTTCAGCAAAGAGGTGAAGAGCGGCAACGCGTGCCGGTTCTCAGGGCTGGTCAGATACCTGCGACAGGAGACTAGTTGATACCCACGACTTCGTCTGCGTCGCTTATCATATGAACAATGTATTTAATGCGCAGGGGAAAAACACTGACCACGCAGTGCCTATAAAAACACTTTGTTCCTTAAAACTAATAGCTTAACATTAAATGAATTTATTTGAATATATTTTTATAAGGGTCAAGTAACTAAGAAATAAATAAGACTTGGTATATTTATTAACATCTATATAGCAGTTTTTGCGTGGATTACGCACAACGCAAGACGTCTCTAATTTTATTTATAGATCAAAAATATGGTTAGTATTGAAATTGGAAAGTTCTCTTCGAAACGTCAGTGGAAGCGAGATAGGATTGGCTCTAACATATGAGTGAAAGAGAAAGAAGAGGCTGAATTATTATTTTTATCTGAATTATATTACGATCATTATTGTACACAAAAGAACATTTTGATAACAGAATTAGTGGCCAATTAGCAAAAAGTAGACAATTTGTGCGTCGTATATGGGACCGCATGTTTGTAGTCAGTTACTGATTGCAATTGTGTCTTAGTCTCTGTTTGCATCTAGTACATGTTTGGTGTCAAATCGTTTTATATATCAGTGTACTACTAGAGGATTGGAGGATGGTAACTTACTTACGAACATATTAATTTTTATGGAAAATTTCGACGTTTCATAAGAACGCGCAAGCGTCTATGTGAATAAAGATATTTTGAGGTTGAATTTGACGGAGGAAACAATTCTGTAAAAAGGTATCATATAAATATCGGCAGCATATAAATGAGCGTGAAGCAAAAGTATTCTGACATGGAGCCAGGACCTTTCCGAAGGCGTAATGCCTGCATGGTTTTTTTTTATGTGAGAAAGTGGCAAACGAGCTAGCGGTTCACCTGACGTTAAGTGATAACCGCCACCCATGGAAATTTGCAACACCAATAAAGCATAGAGCGGGCCCCGGCTACCTCACTAACCAGACGAAACGCAGAAGTGCAACACTTCCACCTCGCGCCGCTCTTCTGCGAGGTCGTGGCGCTCACCAGGACGGGCCTGCCCATTCGTGCAACAGTGTTGCGTGGGCCCTACGCTGCCACTTTTGGTTGCGTGGCGCTACCACCTTTGGCACCGGATCGCTCCCGCCTGCCGGCCACCGTTTGCAACTCACGCGATCCACTTGTTGTGGTGCGTGGCGGCGTGTTGCGCCGGCTTGTACACCGTCTCGCTGAAGCAGGTGAGCAGGAGCCTGAGCAGCTCGGCGCGCGCCGCCTCGTGCTGGGCGTTCCGCGCGGGGCTGCGCGCGAAGCCGACCCCGCCCGCCCAGATGTACTCGCAGCTGTCCAGGGACGATAGCTCTTCGGCGCGCTCCTTGAGGGGACGGAGCGTACGGTGGCGTCATCGCCTTCCTGGACTTTTTTGGGGTACCGTACCCGAAGGGTGGAACGGGACCCCGTTACTGAGACTCCGCTGTCTGTCTGTAGCGACCCTATTACCGAGACTGCGCTGTCTGTCTGTCTGTCTGTCTGTAGGGACCCTATTACTGAGACTCCGCTGTCTGTATATCTGTCTGTAGCGACCCTATTACCAAGACTTTGCTGTCTGTCTGTCTGTCTGTAGGGAACCTATTACTGAAACTCCGCTGTCTCTCTGTCTATCTGTCTGTAGAGACCCTATAACTGAGACTCCGCTGTCTGTCTGTCTGGCCGTCTGTCACCAGGCTGTATCTCATGAACCGTGACAGTTGAAATTTTCACAGACGATGTATTTCTGTCGCCGCTATAACAACAAATACTAAAAAGCAGGATAAAGAAAATTTTCCCGTTTTTTTGTATTTTGCGTGAAACGGGTTGCGTAGTTGGGTCTAGAAAACTAGTCTTCCCTTCGAAAATGTTGCACCCTTACTGTAGAATAACGTTCCCCTTGTTGTATGATTTACATACCAAAAATTCACGTGGTCAAGGTCAACCACCCAGATCGGAAACAATTATCTGAGGCTCACACAGACAGTTGTCTCGTGTGGAAATCGAACCCACGACCACCGGCGCCGAAGCCAATGAAAACCGTGTGAGAGGTTGTAAAACCCAAGTGCTTTTACAATCTGTCCCACGTTATACGACCTTGAGAAGAATTATCTAGTGAAACGATAATTGAACCGATTGTCCCAGCGTCTAAACTAATATATGTAGCTTAGCTACTCTGAGAGCCAATTATATTAACACAACTAAGATTGCTAAACATTATAAATAACACAAATATTACTAACTAAACTCGTAACTAAACACAATTATTAATACAATACATAAATATCGCAGTTTTTCTGTTTCAATCGTGCGCCGTAGGCATAAATAATATAACATACTAACATAACGAACATCTAAAAAATAAAATATTAATATGAACACACGATAAAATTGTTCCATGTTATCGTTATGTTTTACATCTACATCCTGAATCGATGCCAGTATCTGGCTAACAGTTCGAGAATTTAATGTGAATCGGATTCAGCTGTTTCGGCATGGACAGATACTTTCGCATTTAGAAATATTATAGTGTGGCAATTGCATTCACTCCGGCAAATCAACAAACCAAAAACAAACCTCATTGCCTCTCAGCCCGGTGCACTAAAAAAACCCCCATCATAGGGCAAAATTTCACAAATTCATTTCATTCACATTCATTCATATTATTAGATTCACACCATATTGACTTCTTGATTTTACGCGAACATTATACATATTAAATTAAACTAGTATACGGATTATATCGCGTTTTTTTTTTGTTTTGAAATTGCCGACGTTTCGAATCCTTTCTAGCGTTCATGGTCACCAGACAGACTAAGTTGTTAGACGTGTTGATGTCCCCGGCTACAGTCAATTATTTCAAAACAAAATAAAAACCGCGATAAAATCCGGATACTAGTTTCATTTAATATGTAGGTTTTTTTTTATGTGAAAAGTTGCCAAGCGAGCAGACGGTTCACCTGATGTTAAGTGAATACCGCCGCCCATGGTCATCTGCCACACTCGAGGGTTCCAGATGCGTTGACAACCTTTTGAAAATTGGGCTACGGCCACCTCTCAACAAACGAAACGCGGAACGAACTTGCACTTTACGCCGGTCTTTTGTGAGGTCGTGGTACTTACACGGACGAGCCTGCCCATTCGTGCAACAGCCGAGCCTGCTACGTGGCCTTACCACCGTAGAAACAATCCGAATTTTCATCACACGAATTAATTACACGGAATAATCCGAATACTATAAAAGCATAAAGGTTTAGACCATAGTATGAGACTCTAGATTAACTAAATCAAGTGAATGTAATGTCCGAAGCAGCAAGATTAGATAAATTTTATCGGACGATCTATACTCACTGGGCCGGATCTTTTTGAGCTAGTCACTGTGAAGTCTGGACAGAACAAAAGATCCTGCAAGAAAATTTAAAATCATCCATTAATTTGTCATATTATCAGTACACAAAAACTTTAGACCGCAACATATTTCATTAATTCTTCGTTAATTCTACACTGCTCTGAGAATGGGTGTCACTTTCTTTATTAAGCAAGAAAGCTAAGTTTTACCTATATTTACATTGTACCTTGACTAGCAGCGAATTATTATTGACTATACTTATTTTGAATTTAATATATTATAATTTGATATAATTATAGCTAGTAATATTAATGTATTATTACTAGCTGTCTGCAACTGATAATATTTGCATGCTATTTGTAATGGCTGAACTTGGAGTTCGAAAGCTATAAAATATTATATTATCATCACCTTGTTAAATACCCAGTACAATGGCAAATAAAGATTATTATTATTATTATAACCCCATGAACGCAAATAAACATGGAAACATTATTGTCGCTCCAAAATTACATAACGAAAAACAATACCATGACGGCGTGGGGTTTATAAACCTTAACGCAAGGCGGTTTTAGGGATGTAGACTTAGTTGAACTAAAAACTAAGTTCATTTTGTTTGACAATAATTCATTGTATTATTGATTAGTATATATATATGCACATTATAACTGTCAGTAAGAGTACCAACTATTTATTAAAAATCATTTGTATGAACAGGCTTCCATGTTTTATTAGCGTTCACTGATGTATCCACATTTCAATACGGACTTCTTATATCTATGCGGATACCTTTTTTTTTACTTACTCGGATAGGCCTGCCTATTTGTATACCATCAGTCATAACATATTCTCACATACCTCACATTTAAATAAATGAATATAAAGCATTACATTCCGTTTTATAAATGAGAAGTTACAAAACTTTTTGTATTACAATTGCAAACATAGGGAGCTTAAAACGATAATGCAATGTGAAATATTTGTATGGAAGAATAAACTTACACAAATGGCGTTAATGAGGGACTGGGCCAGTGGTACGGATTCGTTCTCGGCTGCAGCAGGCAGTGATGACCAAAAAAAGCTGTGCCACTCCGGCTCCTCCAACATATATGGTAGTACTCTTGTCAGGAGTCTGGCGCAATTTAAAGCTGCAAATTTTTATTTATTACATAAATTCATTGAAGTCTAAACAAATCCTTTTTTTCTTTACTAGTCAATATTTACTATGATTTTATTGGACAATAGTTTATCTAGACACTTATAAAAACTGAAATACATATTCTTATAAAGAATAGACTTTTATATTAATGTGTTCTCCAGATTACTCCAGATAATGATTGCCAATATTGTTAAGAACCATATTAATTATTATTGTAACTTGCAATATTTATGTGAACATGATAGAATTTTTTAAAATGCACCATCAAATTTGTGAATGATGAAAGAAAATTTGGTAAATTTTTTATTAAGTTATTCACCATGTAAATTTTATCATATTGTTGATAATCTAATGTTTTCACAAAAACCATATAATATGTAATACTTATTGAGTTTAAATCTCACTACTATACATGTTTATCTTATCTATGACAATAATTTATACCATTAATTTTAAAAACAGCTGAACATGATTTATACATTAAGATTAAGTGATACAAAAGAAACTCAAAAAACGCAATGAGCGTGAAAAAACTATGAGTACATTACCAGTCTGTTGTTCTCGCAGGGTCCTACAGCTATTGTCTACTGTTTTCACCAACTTTTCAACAGCCTTGTATACAAGAGTAGCCAAGTTATTTGGAGACTCTTCACGTAATGCCCGTATTTCAGCTCCGGGTACCAAGGCGAATACATCTTGCACATTTGTAACACTCTCTGACCAGAATTGATCCCAAAAACTGTCGTCGGTCGCGTCGATAGGCTACAAATAAATATAAATTGATTAAATTTTCAAACAATGTAGTGGCACCGCAAGTACAAAGTGTTAAAACTATACCTGAGTTTTTGAAGTAAGCTGAACAACGGCCTTTCTAAAATTTAATTTTGTATCAGCGTTACCCATTTCGTATTGCTTAATGAATAAAAAAGATTAAATTCATTTCCAACATACGTACACACAAAACAAATTAAAATTGACAACTCAACTGTCAAGTTTATACAAATTTTTTGACAAGACAATGACAATCATAAATACATACTCGAAAGTTAATGTAAGATTTTAACTTTTGATTGTCGGTTAAATGAATTAAATTAATAAAAGAACGCCAAAATTATTTAATAAATGTAATCCTTTTTTTTTTGATGTAAATAGATCAAATTTAATAAAATATCATAAATAAAAAAACAAACAATTATATTGATATTTTGTTGTGGATATTGTGTGTATAGTGCCAGTGAATTAAACACAAGAAAAACGAAATAATATGAATGTTTCATCTATTCTATTAGTTCTGCATACAATGTTGGCACTGGCAATGCATTTGAAATTAATTAACATCTGTGAACGGTGTATAATTGTAAATCTGTGGTGCTGTGATACTTCTTGTTCTTGGTAGTGTCAGCGCGGATAAATTGCATTTTTCATTTGTCTATGAAACTATCGTATCGAAATGGCTGCTGCGAATCTTGTTCGTAGTGCTTTTGGTGGATTATTACGAAAATCTCTAAACCATAGAACTCCGGTGGTATGTAGGTTGTCTACCGTAGCCGCGGTACAAAAATTTCATATGGTAAAGACTATCGCTAAAATAAACTGTCCGACACAAAATGGGGTAAGGATCTTATCAATCCGTAATTTTAATTTTAACAAATATTTTTTCAAGCGTTCAAAATTTGTGTCAATTATGAAAATCGTTAAACTGTTCTACAAATTATTAAACAGGGGTTTGTTTCTTTTAAACTATGCAATATAACCTCAATTTCATTATTGCATAACTAATGTGTATATATCTGCTGAAATTGTTTAGGTTTATACACGTCTGTACTCCTCCGACACGCAGTCTAGGCCTTCGCCGCAAGAAATTGAAGATCGAGTGATGAAAACGGTGCACAAAGCTCTGAACTTACAAAATAATACAAAGGTACTGAGCAGTTTTTTTTTAATTTTGTTTCAGACCGAGAAACTTAGCTCTCGCAACTACAGCGGAGGTCCTCCACTCACTCTAGAGCTAATTAAAAGTAGAGTACTGCTTGTACTCCAGCTTTATGACAAAGTTGACCCTGAAAAGGTAGCTTTACTCTACCTTACCTTAAATAATAATTGAATAGGGCAGTTTTTACGTACATATTTTGACCATTTCATATTTGTAATCAATCAACTATGGTATTAGCAAAAGTTTGTAGCTCCAACTTCAGTAAAAGTACTTTCATAAAAATTAATAGGCCCAAAGAATATTAAATTTCTATAAGAATAAAATATTGCACAAATAAAAACAATACATCTCCTAATTTATTTATTGATTGATTAATTCTTATAGATTTTGCAAACTAAGTCAAACATTCATTGAACAAAGAATTCTTATTTTCAGTTAACTGTAGACACCCATTTCGTTAATGATTTGGGGCTGGATTCCCTGGATCTTGTTGAGTTAGTTATGGCTATGGAGGATGAATTTGGTTTTGAAATTCCTGATGATGATGCAGAGAGATTACTGAGACCAAAGGACATCATACAATATGTAGCAGACAAAGAAGACATTTATGAATAGATGAACAACAAAGTAGTATTAACAAATCTCAACAGTCTTAGATCAAATGTAGAATGATCTTTGCCTCAACAAAAGTGAATGATATAGACACATAATTTACTTAAAATTGTTCTAAGACAAATTGCGATTCAGTTTAGTGTCCAGTTTTTGTTTGTTTTTTATGTTATTTGAACTTAAATAACATCAAAATATCCTTCTGTGGTGATGTAAAAAGTGTACATTCTGTTTTTATTCATTATATGCTTGTTAGAATAGATCAATTGTTTTTCATTTGATCTTGCATTACATCATCGGCAATTAGAAAAAATAAACAGATACAAATGACAATACTCTTTGAACTTTTCTAAGATAAAGAATGTTTTTATTTTTAACAATTTTGTTTTCTCATCATAACATTAGTTTATTTTGTCAAAATAAATTGGATTGCAATTTTTGATAATATACAACATTACAGTGATGCACGTTTTATAAATTTTTTCAATGGTGTATAATATGTTAGGATTTTCTTCAAACATATTTTGAATAGTCAGACAGATGAATCATGTAGGTAATGTGTCTGTCAACCAAATCCTTGTTAAAAAATTGGTCATCAGTCATATTTCATGCAGCTAATGTACTTATAAATGGCAATCTTGGAGAAATTTTATCAGTCCTTAAGAAAAACAAAAATATAGCAAGAAAATATACAAATTATTCTTAATTGGATATATAACATCAAAATTGAATTAAAAGTGTAATTGAAATTAAAGTATATACCATACTTTCATTTGCCCTTAATTGATTAATAAATATTTAAAAAAAGCCATACTTCCTAATAATAAACAAAAACCATAATTCCTTTGTAGCTAAAAAGATATTTGATATTAAAGTAGCCTGCTTGATTTGATGATTAGAGTAGATAATGAGGACACCTATGAATTGAGAAATAAATAAACAAACAAGATTAATGAAAATTATGATCAATATTCATCATCATTTTAGCCTGTTGTGTCCACTGCTGAACATAGGCCTCCCCACTGACTGCCACGAAGTACGATCTTGAACCACCTGCATCCATCAACTGTCAAACAGGCTGAAATGATGATGATAAATATTCATTCTATGTGCGACATTTTCACTGATAATTATGGAAACGCAAATACTTAGGTATACATTTCAGGATTGATTTCAGTAGTTACCATAGGTGATGAAACCGTTTATTTAAACTGTGTATAATGCCCACAAATTTTACTGTTAGTATAGTACAGTTTAGACTTGAAAAGTCGTAAGTACGTAAGTCTAAAATATGACGTAGAAATTTCACAATCGGGCCGCGTGGTAGACTATGCCCTAATACCCACTATACAGGTTTGCCCAGTAGTGGAACTACGTATATAGACTACTATTAAAGACTGAAGACTGGTTGGTCGGCCAAAATAAAATAGTGAGGATAGCGTTAACAACTTTATGTATTAATTAGACTAATTCCTACTTATTAGGACAGAGTAACACCCTATACAAAGGATAACTGTGTTCTACCATATCACTTTTTTTTTTTTTTTTTTTTTTTTTTTTGGCTGGATGAGCCACTGTTGGCCTTAGGGGCCTTCACAGATCCGACGGACTTGAGGTGGCCGGGCGCTCGAGGCGCCTAGCCTGAACCTCGCGTATTTACTATTACGCGTTATGGTGACTAAGCTCGAGGGCTCCCGAAGGAACCTCGGCTCGGGCCGTCACGCTATTTAATTCACCGGTTTGGGAGGCCGCCAAGCTCTTAGGGCGCTTTGGCGGGCGCTCCATGGAGTGATCAGGCTCAAGGGTCCCCGAGAGGGGACCTCGGCTTGGGCTGTCACTCAGCACGCGTTTAGCATTCCGATTCGAGGGTGCCCGAGAGGGCCGGACCTCGGCTCGATCGGTAGCTATTATCTGACTGGGGGAATTCCTAGAGCTAACATTACTACCACTTCGGAGAGCGTTGGCGCTGGGAGAAGAAGTGGCGGAAGAAACTCCAGCAACGCTTCTATCATTGATAGGGGAAAACCTGCCAGGTACGTGGCGGAACCTAGTATATGTTTGCCGCACTCGCCGGCGAGTGCGGTGTGTGTTGGTGTGTTTCTTGAGTTTTTTGATCCTTTCGATGGCGATAGTCGTCTCATCGTCAGGGAAGTCGAGAACGTGACGCGGTCTTCGGTAATCGCGGCGGAAAATGTTTAGCGGCAAGGGCCTGTAGGTGACGGCACCTACGATAAGTGGGTTGGGATGCGCGGCGGCGGAATCGAAATATCGGCGCGACGCCAACTTCAGGAATTGCGCGATGGTGGGCAATTCTAGGTCGACATGTAGGTCGATATTGCGCATGAACCAGGGTGGCTCTGCGCAAGAATCGATTTTGGATCACCTGAAGCCGGTGTATTTGCTTCGGAGCAATGTGAGCGAAGACGGGACTCGCGTACGTCATGATAGGGCGAACTACTGCCTTATATAAGGTCACCTTGTTCCGAAGGGACATTTTTGACGTTTTATTGAGGAGCGGGTAGAGGCGACCGAGTACGAAGGCCGCCCGGTTCCTGACCTGGGTCACGTGCTGGGTGAATTTAAGCTGGGAGTCGAGGACGACGCCTAGATATTTGACTTTATTACCCATTGTACTGGGCTGTCCAAGAGTTTAACGGGGGGGGAGGAATGGGTATGTTCTTTTTGTGCGCGAAAAGGACTGCCGCGCTTTTGGCGGGATTGATTTCGATCCTCCATTGCCGAAACCAGTCACCGATGGTGATGGCCGCAGCTTGGAGGCGTCGATGGATCAATTCGGGTGCTCTGCCTGTGGTATAAATACAGGTGTCGTCGGCAAAAAGAGCAAGTTCTACATCTTTGACACGCGGCATGTCATTGGTGTAGAGAGTGAACAAGACTGGTCCCAACACCGACCCTTGGGGCACCCCGGCTCGAACGGGATGCGTAGTCGAACACACGCCCTCGACGCGATAGCGAAAGGTTCGATCACTTAGGAAGTCTACCCTATCACTGAAACATTATAAGCTTATATACAAAAATATAATGAGTCATCACAACTACATTACAAATCAATGCACTTATTAAATTACTAATACAGTTAATAAGATTGACCTATTAAATTATAAATTATTATTAAGTATGGTTTATTATATAATATTATACCAGATATGGTTCAATGACTTCAATGTTTATTAAGTATAACTGTTATTGCTCGTATATTAAGCAGTGTTGCCAGTGGATTGTAACACTACGTTTTTATGTTATAGAAAATCCGAAAAAATTAGCTTGTTCGTTTCAATTTTCGCGTCCGTGATATGTAGTAAAATAAAAACAGATAAATCTTCCTTAACCAATTGTGGATTTTGATTGTCGAATTTGGTATTTTTTGATTCAAAGTTATTGTGCCTGCCCACTTATTAAGTAGTTATCGGGTAATGTCCTTACTCTTCTGATAAGCATACAACAATGAAGCTAGCTTAGTTTAAAGTTTGACCTTTAATCATTTATTCCGAGTACGAGGAAAACTTGGGAGATGAATCATAAATATGTTACAAGAGTGTTTTCGTATTTCTGTACCATCTCGTACAAATAATTTGTAAATGTTATACCTAGGTACAGAATTCATTTCAGTTTTTATGACGACACCATCATCAAAATTGTCATATGAGGTCGTTGACATCATATGTTACGAGCACAAGTGGTCGAAACATAATTTTACGTTGCGTTGTCTAATTTTACCACGACGATCATAAATAATGTTTTATTGTTTTGAATTAGGAGGTACCTAAATGAATAAGCCGTTTACCTGATATTTATTGATTACCGCCGCCCATGGACATCAAAAACAACAACACCTGAGGTTTCGAATGCTTAGGCAGCTTTTTCAAAAAGTGAGACCCGTTTATCTCACTCACCAAACATTAAGCGAAAGTATAATTTCTTTTCACGCCGGTTTTCTATGTTACATTCTTGGACGAGCCTGCCTATTCTCATAACAGCAGAAGCAACTGCTTGGCCCGGCATCACTAAATATTTTTTGATATCATTTTCTCCCTCGGTTGTTACTCGGTAAAGCGAAATGACCTCGACACATGGTGTTTCTTGATTGGCAGATGGCTAGACATTAACACGTTCATTACCACTACGATTTTCATGATGTCTTCTCAGATGCCGCCTACATTTTCCGGTGGACTCACCAGGTGAGTCGCCGGCACTGCTATATAAATTGAATCGACTCGCCACGCGAGTTCACTGGCACTACTTATGGTAAATTCTATGTTTTGTTATTTTTGTGGCCGTCACAGTGTACAACGCAATTAAAAAGTGTTTTAGGACTTGTCTTTTTTCTTTAAAAAGTGTTTTAGCTTGTAAAAATGGCAAAAAACTCTTCGGATAAAAAAAAAGGTAAGTGTGTTTCGTAATTTAAGCAGTGGTTGTCAATCTTTTTAACTGTGGTTACTGTTAAGGTTATATTTTGAATTTTGTAATATGTACTTGTAAATAGACAATTTTACCCTGAAATACGGGCTCTCAGTTTTAAGAATATTGTATCAGATTAAAATATATAATTTTTATTGCGAATTTAATTGATAACAATTAAAAAAAATAGTTTTTGAAAACGTTTAAAATCTGTCGAATTAAAATTAAATGATAACTTATTAATATGCAATAATTATAGTGTCTTTAAATGAAACAACATTTTTATTACGTTCGTTTGTTAAGAAGTGCCTGATATTTTTTTAGCGCGGTTTGTGGCAGAAACGGAGCCTTACGACGACGATTTAACTCAGATGGAGGAGGAGAGACCTACAAAGCGACCATGCATAGAAGGTAACGTGTTTGTTTTGTTATTGATTATTTTCATTTTACTTATCTTAACAACGTTTTACCAGGTGGTAGGCCTTTTATGCTAGGTACGACTACCTGTGGTGGACACCAGCAGTGCCAGATATTCAGCCGCCAAATAGTAATGCTCTGTTCCTGTTTGAATGGCACTGTAGCTAGTGAAATAACTGGGCACATGAGACTCAAGAACTGACTTCTCACATTGATGAGCGCAGTGCAGTGCATCCAATGACTGTAAATCAAAGCAATGGGTAGCACTGCAACTGTTATGAGCTGGCATGACGCTTACCATCGTGTGAATGTCCAGCACGTCTCATCACTTGTTTACATAAAAAACATGTAATATTTAAAAGCTGCTTTATTCCTATTTTTATTTTATTTTAGGAAATCTCCAAAATTACACTGAAGACAACTCGATGAAGGTTCTGTTTGAAAATGATTCTCAAGACTGGGATGACGACAATAATAACTATCAAACATGTGACATTTCAACAAATACGAAAAACTTAAATCTTACTGAAAGCAGCACTCAAACTAATACTACAGGTGATAATTCTAAGTATATAGAAATGGCCAACGAAAGCTTTGGCATTTTTATTGGACGTGAACTTGCCAATGTGCCAATGTTTAAAAGGCGCTTTGTTATGTATCAGATTATTAGACTGATTGAAAACAATTCATAAATTAATAATTAAGGTCTCTGATAATTGGGTTGAAAGTTATGTAATGATAGAAACGCAAAAGAATCTATGAATGATTATTAATAAATACTATCAATATATTGATTAGTTTTACTTATTAATTTAATCCACAAGACTGAGTCTAAATGCTGCTATGTTAATGAATAATAATTTGTGATATTGTGTTTGTTAAGTGGTGGAAATTAGTTAAGTAAATAAAACATTATGTAAATCAACTTTTATTTTTATAACACAAAACAATTTAAATCAACATTTTTAGGCAACACAAAAATTTTTAGTACGATCTTAAAGGCTTTTACTAGTAAGTGATGCTAGTGGATGGTATAAATGCTCTTAATATTTATGGTGCGGTCTAAAACACTCAATACACAATCCTGGCTGACCTGGGCAATCTTCGCATGCGAATGCAGTTTGAACCCTTTTTTTTAATGTGCGCCAACATTGATTACAACGCCTTCTCTTTGTTTTGCCGTGGGTATCTTTTGGTAGTTTCATAATACAATGAATTTTATTCATTAAAGGCCTTTGTAATGTGGGAGGCAAATGAGGTTCTATTATTGACTTAATTACACTTAAGCGGAAATCATACAATGTTAATTTTTTTGAATTGTATTTGTTATATAATAAAAAGGAGTTGACCAATAGAATTTGCATAACATGTATGATTACCTTTTTATACCATCGCAACGATTTGTGCTCGCATGAATAATAAGACAACATTTGGTCATGTCGATCGATTGCTTTCATACATTTATTGTATTTAATAACCATTTGTGGCTTTAATTTCAAAGTACCCCGTCGATTTCGCGTGAGTTCTAAATCCCCATTATATTTACTTGATATAGCCCTTATTTCTCTTTGGTCTATCCATTTTAATACACAAACATTATTCTTGTGAACAATGCATAGTTCTCCTTTTTTTAATTTCGCGGATTCAATTTCTTTTGGATTATTTTTTTCTCTTCTGACGAAGCGTACCTGTGCAAAAGGTTTTATTAGAAAATAATTTTTCAACTAAACTGACGCTTGTATAATAATTGTCTACGAACAAATGATGTCCTACATTAATAAAATCATGAAGCAAGTGGTCAACTACTTTTTGCACGTGATTTTTGCCGCCTACGAGAGCATCAGATGCACCGCCGTATAAATGTAGTTTCATAATAACCCCGAGCTGGTCAGCCAGTGCGTAGAATTTTAGGCCGTATTTATGGCGCTTTCCCTTCATATATTGTCTAAATGACAATCGTCCCCGCCATAACATCATTGATTCGTCAATGGTAATTTTTTTTGTTGGATAATATAAAGAAAATATTTTTTCATTAAAGTAATCGATTATATTTTTAACTTTATCATAACTGCACGTCACTTGTCCTACATACACACATAACATTCTCAAAATTAAAATAAATCGATTCCGTGACATTGCCCTTCCAAATATAGGTTGATCAAAATACGCATCGTTTTTCCAGTAGTCATTCAAGCGATTTATCTTTATAAATCCCATATGAAATATGAGACCGAAAAACAATTTCATTTCTTGACTGGTTACAGGCTTCCAAGATTTTTTTCTGCTTTTTGTGGCCGCGGTAGATTTTTTTTCTATTTCTCCATATTCATTGGAGCAGTCTTTAAGTAATTCCAGCAGATTAGAAGAACACAATGCGTCGAAATAATTAATAGGCTCATCAACAACATCTTCTTTCAGTCCGGGGGTCTTCAGGAATTGGAATTCGGTTATATTAGATGTCGGGTTTCCGGGAAACCATGCTTCACCAGGCGTAACATAGTCTTCTTGAGCATTTTCATGTGCATTTTCGAAAAATTCGGGATCAGAGTCACCATCATTATCTGTCTCCAATTCATCCAATACATTTTCTGACAATATCCCCAATAATTCAGAATCCGTGATTGGATATTGAGGTGAATGGATAAGTAAATTTGTTTCTTCTCTGTTTGGTTCTTCGATAAACGAATCCATAACTGCGAGTGTCTCCTCGATGTGGAGGGTATTCCAAGCAGGATCGTCCCAGGAATGAGAAGTTCCAGGTACTGGGTTGTCGTAAGAATCCATAACCTTGGAACAAAACATTAATTTGTACTACTTTAATAAACTTTTTTAACATTATGAAACAAACAAATCAATGAATCTCTCTGGCTTATACAGGTTAGCCGGAAGATTGACGTCCAAAGAAAAAAATTAGGTCCCCCGTTTCACGCGGTCTTGAATCACCCCATGTAAGTTTTGCACAGTTTTAAGGCCTACTTAGGAATCATGAAATGACGTTAAATCAAGGAAAGATTTAGATAGAGTTACACTCTGATAAAGTAGACTTTCCATTTAATAAATAAACCAAAATGGAGAGTACTCACCGATTTTCAAAATTCCAGCTGTGGCAACTTAAGGTAGACACGAGAACACTCAAAGTCCAGTAAACGTTTGCCAAAGTAGTTCAAACAGTATCTAACAGGTCCGGTAATCGTAAGCAAAGGTATAGTCGAAACAGCACTCAAACAAGTCCAGTAATCGCAAGCCAAGGTAATCAAAACACGGGAGTCCAGTAAATGTAAGCCAGGTCACTAAAGTAGAGAACAGATAAACGCATGCGATGACGAAAGGGTCGTACAGAGCACTGAAATTGAATATTTAGTTGCAAGTGCATTCTTGGAGTGCGATTTAACATTAGCCAATGAGAGCTTCGCAAAAAACAATGTTATCAGTGCTTTTGTTCTTCAAAAACAGCGGCGCGCTGTTGTTTTTTTGCCAGCAGCTTTATCAATGCCGACCCTTTATAAAAAAACATTTTCAACCCTTTGCAAAGCCACAAGATTTATGTGATCTCAAATATTATGATAACTCTGTATTTCTTAAGCTTGTTTTTTATTCTAATGAAACTAAGATGGAATCTCTATAACTCGAACCTCGTTAAGTCGAAAAGAATTGCCATTCCCTTCCACTGAACCCCTAGATACGCGATATCTTAAATTATTAAGACTATATAACTTGAACAAAATGTTATTTCCCTACGAAGTATTTATATATTATATATTCTTACTTGGCTTAATAACAGGGTAAAAAATTAAATCTATCTTAAAATTACAATTAAATTAAAAACTATATTATTACTTATATAAAACATTGTGTATAAAAAATCTATTTAACTAAATTTATAAGGAAAGGAAAAATAAAGGAAAATAAACTAGATATAAAAGGCAGCATCCAAATTGCTGTCGCCGGGCCGTATAAGGCTGGCAACGAAGTATTGATAGTACATATTTATGTAATACTCTATAACTCGAATTTCTAAAAGGAGACTCCGTAAGTCGTAGTTAGTACAATATAATGACGTCTTACTTGGAATTCCCCGAAATAATAGCAATAAAATCCAAAATGAATGTTCGGGTTCGGGGCTTCTAATCTATTGTTTTTGTCTTATACACGTGCAATGAATGAAAACAATCATAAAACTTTATAAGTAACACAGCTGTGTTATGTTTGTTCCTTGTCGACACGATTACTTTTAACGGAGCTTGTCCGTCAGTATTAATTTTTAAGTCGAAGTTTCAGCGCATTTAAATCATATGTATCTCGAAGTTTTTGGTAAGTCGAAAACTCGTTCGAAATTGTTAGCATTTCCCTTAACATTCGAGTTATTAAGATTCCACTGTAGTTTGTGGTATATTGGTTCCATATCACAAGTATGTAGGTAGTCCTTGCTACTATGTTGACGTCGCGACATATTTACTTTAAAAGGTTGAGGATCTATGGCAGCGAACTCGCCTAGCGAGTTCAAGGCATTGCAGAATAGTTTTTTTCCATTCAAATATAAACGGGGTCTCCGCACCCGGCCCACCTCGTAAATCTTTAGTTTAGCATATATTTAGTCTAAACTATAATTTTGAGCAGAAAATACGGATGCATTTTCGAAATATTGGTGAAAAACACTGAACTCGCCAGGCGAGTCGTCGGCACTGGAATAAAATTTACGTGAACTCGCCGGGCGAGTCGGTGGCACTGAACGTGTTAAAGCAGAGATTGAACTATGGACCGGACGCCATGAGAAAGATGGTTTTGTAGCTTATGTTCAGAAAACGAAATATATGCTTTGTCCTAAGAATAATGGTTGATGTAACATTGTCATCATGTGATCTTTGATTCCCAAAATTTCTCTTATAATACCATGAGGACACGCGTACGAGTGAAAAGCAGTGGAACGTACCCTGATCCGACTAGTCGCCAATGATAAAATGTTTATATACCAATTGTTTGCGATCACATCACGTTGACAGATTGCATGAGATTGTATTCCACACTCATCATCAGATCTTATACTCTTTCAGTGCCAGATTCTGGAGGTGACTCCGTGGCGCAGTCGTCAAGGTATTGGCTTCGGCGTCGGGGGTCGTGGGTTCGATTCCCACACGGGACAACTATTTTTGTGACCCACAGATAGTTTTTCGCATCTGGGTGTTTGTCCACGTGAAATTTATGTATGTAAAACGTCCTTGCAACACAGGATAATGTTATCCTAAAGTGAGGGCAATGTTTAAAAAAAAAAAATATTTCTCATCCCCGTATTAAACTTATTTGCTCATCTTACTTTGTTTGCCACGCACTTTTCGTGGTTTCACTGCGGTCGCGTTAACAAAATATCTGTAGTATAAAATATCATCTTTAAGAAGTCTTAAATGTCTTCTGGAGTTGCAACATTATTTTGTTAATTTTATTTACTTGCTGCAAATTCACTGAAACAGAAAACTACAAGAATCAGATTAGTAAAAGTTGAAGCAGGCATGTTACCTGTCACTGGACCAAATGGAGTATGTAGTTTTTGCTATACCGCAGTATATTTTAGATCATGGATACGCAATAAGTAATCATCAAAAATTTAATTCAGAATATTGTTTTAATTTTCTTTTACAACTTTTACTGACGAAACAGATGGACTAACAACTTTCATCCATTTGTAGGGAAATTCATACATTCAAGGCATACAAAAAAGTCAACTATTTACACTTGGTTCGCGCAACAAAACGTCCGGATACACTTCCACAGTAATGTTCTAACAAAAACATTTAAAATATTTTACAGAGACCTATATACATTGTCACGAGATGACAACCAAGACACTTTATGCTAAATTTATAAATACTGTTCTTCAGATATTCACTTGTAAAAAAAACTTGTCAGTTCACAAGACAAAAGATTCAGTTATCAAAAATTTACAAAATAAATTATAGTACATGTAAATAAATTACAGTAATATCTTTAAGCATTAATATTTCTAAAGGGGGGAAGGAAATGTTTCTACTTTGATTTACATGTCTAGAGTTTCACAACAGCCACAGAGAAACTACAATTAATCATCCTTTTGGATGTCATTGAATCTAAGCAATTTTAATAAATTATTTTACAAAACGACAACTTCTTCGCTCTTTACACAACAATGGTAATAAACAATAATAACGAAAAGTTCAATTAATTTAAATCAAACAGAAAAAAGATCCTCATCCGGTGGTTCACAAGTTCACTGTCCGCTATCTATAAAGGTTAGTTCTAGTTCTGCCAGCCGAGCGTAACCGTCTAGCACAGTGCGGATCCATCCTGGACACCCTGACTATTGGCTGCAACCAATCGGAAATCGCCAACGGCGTTGGTTTCTTCTTAACACTCTTATCCTTGTCTTCACTCTCGGAGGCTGACGAACGCGAGGTCCGTTTGGAGTCTTTGTCATCGGCCCTTTGTGCCTTTGGCTTAACTTTATCTTGCACCACCAACTTTAAATCCAGCTGGACTGGCTTGTCCTCAGGCGGCTGCGACGCTTTCTTATCGTGACAAGGGATTTCGATCTCCATTTTCTCACATGGATTTTCTAAAATAATTGTCTTTTCCTCGAAATCTTTAGCGTGTTCACTCTCTTCAGCGCCGCTCTCAGACTTTGTCTTATTTTCTATTACCGTGTTGTCCTTCTCAGACTCTGACATATTGGCGTCTTCCTCAATGATTGTGTCTTGTGTGCTTTCATCATCAGCCGGCTCCGCGGAAGACCTGCCTAGGCTTTCAGCCTTATCGTCGACCTCCATGCTATTGTTCCGCGAATCCTTCTTTGCTTGTTTCCGTTTACTTGGCCACCCTGTCTTGTTCTTTTTCTTGAACTTGCCCTTCTTCGTTCTCCCCGGGACGGTGGCGCTCTGCTTTATTTCGTTCCTAATGATATCACAATTCTCACACTCGGAGACTAAACTGGAAACATCTGGAATGTTTGTGGACGTGGTTACTGTCGCGTGCCCCTCCATAACTTCCTCAGAGACGTCGTAGTCGGTCACGTCCTCGAATACCTCTGAGAGAAACTGCTGCAGCCTTTCGGAAGCTTCTTGGGTTTCTGAGAGCACTGGCTCAATTTTCGTATTGCTCTGGGCGTCACTTATCGTATCCTCCGAAGCCGTTGACTTCGCGTCGTCTGCGTGCTTTCGTCTGTGCAACAAACCGGCCGAACCGAGTATTGCTAACGTAGATGCATGTTCTCTCGGCGACTTTCTCGGGTGCTCCAACGCCATAACGGCCAATGTGCGTTTTCTAATCTTACGTTTCTTCATGCCCCTTGTTCCATACGAGCGCGAAGGTCCAGGCTTCTCCTCCCGCTTAGCGAGGTCGCTGAGCGGACAGCAATTTGGTTTTAATGGGGGTAACTGTCCAATTTCGTATGGTAACTTTGGAGATTTCGAGTATAAAGCTGTAAAAATAAAAGAAGTGATTAAGGAATAGAAACAGCCCAAACTAAATTTTAATTTTTTAAACAACAAATACGTACCGAAATATTGTGGCACATTCCTTATCAATACTTTATCTTGGTCTTGACGTTTGAACGTCTCGAACCAAGGCTCGCTATGGGGCACCGATTCAAAAGCGAATTCTAGATTTTCCACTGCTGGAGTATACTTCAGTTTTCCGTTTTCCCACTTCATGCACTTCTCTGAAAGCTCTTCTTTTAACGGGCTCACCTCGGCTTCAAGCCCTGCGGGTTGTTGGATTGGTGGTGAAGCCAGTGGTGCTGTTTGCTCTGACTCGGGGGGTTTTGGTGGAGGATCCACGGTAGGTGTTTTGTACTGCAGCCGCCTACCGCGCTTGGTACCGACGGAGCCGCGTTTTTTTCGCTTCTTGTTTTCTTCGGGCCAACTGTCCTCTTCAGAGGACTCCTCTTTCAAAGCCACCGGCCTAGCTAGCCTCTGGCGGTCGATCGTTGGCGGAGGTTGCGGCGGTGTTTTCTTCTTCAATCTAGATGGCTCCTTCTCTACGGCGTCATCATCATCGTCCCCGTCGTTATCGTTCTCCGACGATGACGAGCTCGTCGAACTTGCGCGTTTAGGAAACATGAACTGTTCCGCTTCGTCGCTCAGTACCGACAGCTCGGAGCGTCGCACCTTTCTAAACTTGACGACTAAAGGCTTCGTGCCGTTACAGGCACCGGGGGAGTCCTTCCTCTTCGGAACAAAGCCACCGCTCGAGCGGAGCTTCGTGCTGACTCCGACCACTTTGTAATACTGGCGGTCTTCTGAAGTCTGCGACTCGCTGGACTTCTTACTGCATCGAGTGTTGTGCTTCCTCTCGTCGTCCAGCACGCCGTTGAATCGCTTCGGGCTTCGATTGCCATTGACGGTGGTCTCCGGGGATTGGGAGCGTTTCGACCGCTTGCTCTTCGGTTCCACATCGCCATTGCACAGTTTCCTTAGGGATCTACGCTCGCCGTTGACAGGCGTCGCTTTGTCCAGGAATGTGGAAACGTCCGCCCCGGAGCTTATTAAGGAGTCCAGGGCGATAAAGTTCGTGTGGTCTCTAACGAAGGCGAGATGGTGAGGAGACCGTCGGTGCAATGCCGCATCAACGTAATCCGTGTGACACATCTCACAGTAGCCACCCTTTTGTTCTTTTTCCTCTTTATCCTTTATTCGAGGGCGACTCTTTCTTGTCATTCTGAAAAAAATTAAAGCATTGAAAGAGGATTGCACTAGAACAAAGCAATAAATATAGTTCAATCACTTTTGCACTTACTTCTGACCTGCAGTGTTCTTAATAGTATTAGTGAGATTTTCAAGTGATTCTTTCTTCTCCTTTTTCTCTTTTGGTGGATCAGGTTCTAATGATATTTGAGGCCATTCATCAAACTCCTTGTACACCGGCCTGCACTGTCTGAAACATAACAGGACAAGGTGTGAATATGTGCCCTGGCAAGGGAAGTACAATGCATATACTGTACAATCCAATATTGTGATCCATACTTGTCCAAAAATTCAATCTTGATAAAATGTTTACTGAAGAGCCTGACATGCGTTTTACGCGGTGCCGTGAAGAATGTGTCATATAGCTTATCCAATAGACTTATAGCCTGAAAGTTTAATAAATATGCTGTAAAAATATATAAATAATATGCAAAATAAAAAGAAGGAAAACAGTTAAAGATAGAGATGTTAGAAGAATTATTAATAAGAAATAGCTAGTAATGCCTAAAAAATACAGACATTTACAGTAAGAGAAAAACATGCATTAATAAAATTATTTACCACATTTAAAAATAAAATCATATGTATATCAATATATACATATAATAAGCAAATTGATTACATGCAGGGCCAGTAAGTATATCATAATTAAAAATCAATCACAATTATTTATGAAGAGAACATTATTAGATTGTTAAACAATTACAGACTACAAACATTAAGAAGCAGATTAGGTTTAACATTGTCCCAATGTTATTTCTTAATTTAATACCAAGAAACTTTGAGGTACCCAGACGGTGAGAATTTAGAAGCAGAAAATCTACCAGTAACTCAAATAGGGGTTCTTTTGTGCGGTGTACCTTCTGAACGGTGAGGTGCACGTAGGCGTGTCGCTGGGGCGGCGCTGGCTGGGGCTCCGGCCGCAGCCTCTCCAGCATGGCATCGGCGCGCGCGCGCACTTCACGCCGCGCGCATCGCGCTCCGCCCCCGCTCGCGCCGCCCGCCCCGCCGAGCGCCGCACGGGACCCGACCACGTGGGTCACCCGCGGCGTCAGGAACACCTCCTCTTGCTGAAGACAATGTCACATATACAGTAACAATGGTTAAGTTTTACGTTAGAATATCACGGTAGTCATTGTTAATTTTACTTAGAGCTTGTTAAATGGTTAAATTTTAAGTTAAAAAAACAATAATTATGAAACTAAATAGATGATAAAATGAATAAAAATATTACTGTATTACTAAATAAAGAAAGCAAGGTTTCCTCACAATGTTTTCCTCCACTGATGATTATGAGGTAAGTAAACACTAAAAATTGCAATTAACAATTTCATTGGTTCTGTCATGGGGGCTAGATCTCGAATTGTTCAAATATATTGAATTAAAAGCAAGTGCCGGGCATTCATTTACCATAAATAATTTATTAAATGGTTCTGACTGAAGTGAACCATTAAATGCCATAGATCATTTTGAAATTTAACATAAAATCATTGAACTGCATTAAAACTTTGCCAACTAAAGGTGTGAAGAATTACTAGTTGTAAAAATAATCACAACACTCAAAGTAAGTACCTTTATTTGATCGGTAAATGTGCTTAGACATGTTGAAAAAAGGATCACATTAATGGTGTTCGTACAGAAGCTAAGCTACCAGAGGTCAAATCTGAATATCTTTTTAATTTAATTTAAATTTTATCAGAACGAGAAGGAACATACATAAGAGAAAATTCTGATATGAATATATACAACATCCAAACTTCCATTATGAATTGCATATGATCATTTAAGTCCAAATAAAGCTACACATTCAATCTATCCTTTAAATTAAAGTAACTAAATTGGTTTAGAACATTTTATGAACCAGCAAGGAAACTAAACATTGAAATACCAATAATTACATAAATTTGCAGTATTGTTTTGATATTAGTTGACTACCCTCAATTTTTTTTATTATTTTGAAAAAATAAAAATGCAGCTTGTGCAATTTATTTTCAAAATATAATACTAGAAAATGTCTAAAAAACAAGATGTTATAAAATTGAACCGATTAACTTAACTCTTAATTTCCATGCAAAACAGTTAACAATGTTGCCAGTTATGAACATTAAAATTAACAAATGAGAATTTATAAATGCTTAAGGTAACTCTAATAAGATTTGTCATATCACAAATGTTTTTTCTTTGAATTGGAAGCATAATGTACATATCAGCAAAAACGTACGTGTCAACCTAAAACGTAAAATCCAGGTTGCAACTCTCGTGATTTTATTGAGAATGCTGACGAAGAAGAAACATGGGACATAATAAACATTGACTATATCACATAGCCAGCACTATACTCGGAAATAATTTATTGTTAGGCGCATGTTAGTGAACGCGGGATTATCGACGCGGTACACTCGTGGGGAGATTTCCTTGAAATACAGTCCGCATTACCGACGCCGGCGGCCCAAAGCAACGCGCTCACGGAGCGCGCCAACCGTCCCGCGCAAAAAAAATAACACATCGAAGCACCTACGTACCAATCTAACCCTTAACCTTATAAACTTAAGAAACATAACTCCTTGACAATCGCAAAGCCATATCAACTGTCAAAAATTAAGTATACACACGCGTAAGCCAAAGAAAACTACATTTCAAACGACTTTTAAATGGATATAGTGCAACGCATCGCGATCGGACGCGACGCGCGGCCTCGGCCCGCTGCATTTTGCGTTGCGGCGACGACTCTAACGCGAGCATACAAAAGATGACCTAAAATCGAACACGGACTACGCGCCTAACTGGCCACTTATTGAACTCAGTTTGAAACTGTTTTTGAAACATTTATGACACGACCATTATGTCAATTTGAACATGTGGACAACGAATGGCGTATATACTTACACAAAAGCCGTTCGCGAGGCCCCCGCGCGCCGCTTATCACAAAAATAAGTAACTATATACTAGTCACTGAGACGGGCACTTCGTCACTGTTGAATTTACCTTATATTGTAATTTACAACAAATAACTTTATATCGCTAGAAGTGTAATCCACTCGTAAATATTTTAATTGGTGGTAATAGTACTTTTCAATGTATTTTATCCACATTTGCTATAAAAATTCGTGAAAGCAACAACAAACACAAATCTGTCACACAAGATGGAGATATTTGCTTAGTTTTGGCATTGGCCACCAGAGGCGCCTGTTATTCAATAGAGGGGGGGAAAAATTTCATTGGTTGGTCAGACAAAACCGTTCCGTTTTGTAAATTGTTTTGTTCGATTTGAATTTACAATCATTAAAAATATTTTTTCTTATACGATATTGACTTTAACAGCCATTTTTACATAATTGAAAAAACGTACATAATAACTATTTAATTTAGAAAACATTAATTTCAAGATTTAAAGTTACATATCTAATCTAACACTGCTCTTAAATGGAACGCAAATAATGTGACTAAATAAAGGACAATCCAGTATAAGGTAAACGTTAATAATTTAAAGACTTGTTAAATTAAACGTATTACTTTAAAGTAACCAATAAATTAACAACAAAGTGTACCATTTTTCAACCCAAAATAACACTTGTTTTATATCCTAAGAACTTATTTACTTACCAAACCCATGTCTTGTAACCGTCTTGATATGGATCTAGAGAGCCCTGGTTCTTGAATGTCCAAATAGAAGCAGAAATTTTTTCGAACTGTTAACAATAGAAAGATTAATATTAGGCTTATAAAAAGTGTATATTTAAATACTGGCAAAATAAGTCACACCTTTATTATATTTCTCCTGAAGGTTTAAAGTCGACACCATGGTTGAATAAAAAGTATTATTCACCAGTAAGATAAGATGTCACTAAACACTTAGAAATTTGTTTCATATTCGGTACATTTAAAGTTTATAGGGCACCCGTTTGTGTAACTTTCATTACGTGATTATGCAATGATTGAGGACAATTTTTTTGAAAATCTGCATTCTTTTGCTTACTATTTAACGTTTCGACCCTCGTATACTAATGTCACTGACAGCTGAGATCAATAGACTATTCTAAACACGTCAATGATCTATGGTTAAAATCGATGCAGCAATCGATAGTTTCTTTTCTTAATTATATCGGGAAAAGTTATTTCGAAATAGTTTCATACTATACATTTTCTTGTTTCATATAAAGGCCATATACTATATAGTATGGTATAGAAATACAATAATATAGCGTATTTTTTTTTACAAAAAATGTACGTTGTTTTACGTTCTTCGTAATATAATCATTGAGAATATAATTCACTGAAAATGATAATTTTCAATTTTTCTTCATTAACTTGCAAACTGCGTATCGGCCTACCTAATGTTTCACATCGCAAACTAGTAGGTAAATAAATTCAATGGTCTACTCTATCCATTTCGATAATCCTTAAATGCTAGCGGACGGCCTGTAGGCATTGGATACGTCGGTACATGGCAGTTATATACGTACGTACTCTATCGATTACTCATGTCCGTTATGTACTAGCATGTACTCTGGACGTCATTCGTGTACCTAGATAGGTAGGCAACGCTCGACCCGTTTATTTTGTAACTCGTACGATTTAGGTCACATTCTGAATGCAGTTTCATTATGAACATTGTGTTTGCTTTTTTAAGCGAATTTAATGGACATTCACCTTTTAAAGCTATCACGTTGTTTATTAAAGAGATAATGGATTTCATAAAAAAATTTAATTAACGTATTCTTATCAAAACGTTACACAAATTAATTTAGGTTAACAGTAATATTCATATTATTGAATAATAAATATAAAGAATTTATTTATTACGGTGTTCAAGTGGTAGTTCAAGTAGTTCAATAAATAATCGGGACACAGGCTGGCCTACATAATAATTGAGAATGTATCGTTTAGATGTATGTTTTTCTTTACAATTAATTTTAATATAAACGTATCTATTAATTTTCACTAAAACACGTCTAATATCAAAATATTGCTGACAAATAAATTACTGTGTTTATATAATAAGTAGGTATTTTCCTAAAGTTATTGATTTAATGCTAAATAATAAACAAGAGGCTATGTTTGGAAATGAGATAATAGTTGTAAACTCAAACGCTTTAGAGATGTTATACACCTTTAAGTTGAACGCGTTATTGATAGATGGCGTGAATGAAATGTACGTGATCATGGGAAATGGAAACATTCAGACATTTTAGATAATATTAAAACATTTGGGGAAAATGAATAACTAAAAATGGTTGTATAAATTATCAATCTTATACAATAATCCAATAATAATCCCCATGAAATTATGTTGTTGATTATAACAAGATCTCATTCAAATAATTATCCCTAACCTAAAGCGAATTATACAGTAAGTAATTCATATTGTTTTTATAATTCATATTAGAGAGGCTGAAAACCAGCGCTGCTCCGAACTACTGTCCCGATCAGCACAAGCTGAGCCACCGCCTTTTACCTTTATTCTATTGTATACTTTAACTTTAAGAATGCATGTTTAGTTACAAGTTATAAGGAAGGCAATAAAGTGATTTTTATTTATTTATTTAAGTACTATAATGTATAATGTAATATTCTCGTTTAGAAGAGAAAAGTATATATCAACTAGTAAAATTTCAATTGATATATTTAGTTTATTTTGCGATGTTAAAATTTACACATAAATTATGGAAAGTTTGGTGTAAATTTGAAATACTTACTACTAAAATTTTCATGAATAGCTACTGTTGAACACAAAACATCATAGAAAAAAGCTTCCCATTTAATTTCAAAGATATGAATATAATTAAAAAGTCCCACAGACTGATGGCTGACTGATGGTGGCTTTATACCATTGTGCTTGGCTATTTAATAAAAAAAAACCGTTTTGTTTGTAATTCTCAACGTTTCAAAAACTCCACACTTTAAAATATTTTATAGCATTCATTATCATGGAACAGCTTGATTAACCCTTCGTATTTGTTGATTGATTACTGTATAGTAAAAATTTCGTAAACATGGAACATACTGTAAGATCGAACTGGCCAGATGCAATAAAAAAGTATGTGCGTACTTATTGCACGTCAGAAGAAAAACTTCTTCGTAACAATATTAAAATAACTAAGAATTTTTCTATGCCCGTATAAGCTTGTGAAAAAGACATTAAAAAAATAAAAACAATCTAAGAAAACATTAATAAAAGAAAGACATTAAAATAAATGTCAAAAAGTTGTTATTGGTTGGCATGGTAATACCGTGAAGTTGGTCGCTTTGCAACCACGTCGCTTTTTGGATGTCACTGTGAGTGTGCGCGCGCATCGTAAAAATTTTTCTACATGTTTGTTCCCCAGTGTTTCTAGGTAAGCTGCGCATACTGGCACTCTCTATGTCAGTGCAGTTTAGCAGAGGTTACTCTGAAACACTTGTTTTTTTTTTTTATTTCAAAATCTTAACGTCACCATACAACTTGCCCAGACTTGTTATATACACACTTGATATATCACGTCCCTTTTAACACTTAATGATCATGTTGACAAAAAAAATTACTCATATTTTTTCTTATTTGAAAAGTTTCCAATCGAGCAGACGGTTCACCTGATGTTAAGTGAATACCGCCGCCCATGGACATCTGCTACACCCGAGGTTTCCAGATGCGTTGACAACCTTATGAAAATTGGGCTCCGGCCACCTCACTCACCAGAAAAGAAACGCCAAAGTATTATACTTCCACTTTACGCCGGTCTTCTGTGAGGTCGTGGTACTTACCCGGATGAGCCAGCCCATTTGTGAAACAGTCGAGGCTGCTGCGTCGCCCTACCACCGTATAATGGAAATGTATTCTTTAGCCATTACTGTGATGCCACTACAGTTCCATGGTCGGTAAGGGATTGGTGTAATATTTTTTATTTTTTTCCAAGCACGCCAAAAGTTGTCCTTGTCATTACAGTTTAACGTCTTGAGGATTTCTCCATACAGACAATTCATCATCACTTAATACCGCCATTTTTTATTTCTAAACAAAATAGAGAATTTTAAAATAGGAATATGTTACTTTTTAATTTCGAGACTGTCATTTGTTTTTCATTGTTCGGCACCTATAAGAAATTGTGTCGCTATGAAATATTCATAATCGAATGCGTGTCGACCGCCGTTTCTATCATATCGTGGCCGGTGACCAATGAACAAACCAGCCCCCGAAATGTCTTTCCTTCTGAATTTTGAAGGCTTGCCTGTGAAAGTTAAGAAAAGTTGCAGCACCGGCAAGAAAAAGGTTACTTTTGTAGGTAAGTATTAGTATATTAAATAACAATGTCTCTTGAAAATCAAAGAATGGTAATTAAATTGGTATGTAAACAATAAACAATCGATAGTCTAGTGTCAGTCATCGTACAATTAAAGATTCATGTAAGCTTACTTTACAAATATAACGAATAAGATAACTTTAAAGGAACGGGCTAAGATGAACTGAATCTTGTATTTGAAACCAACAGGAGCAAATAATTGTTAAAATAACATTAAATTTTGGGATGGCCTTTCTGTTCTTCACGGTAACTAACCGACAAGGACAAAGACGGTAAATGTTGTTTTGGTTTTGTGTATTAAAATAATATTTATACAAAAAAAATATTTTCTTAAAAACATTGCCTTACTTTAGGATAACATTATCCTGTTACAACATGGACGTTTTACAAACATAAATTTCACGCGGACGAACACCCGGATGCGTAACAACTATCTGTGGGTCAGACAAACAGTTGTCTCGTGTGGGAATCGAACCCACGACTCCCGACACCGAAGTCTTGGCCACGGCGTCACGGATTCATCAAATTGTAAAAAATTTTAAAATTGTATTATTTTCTAGTTGTAATAGGTTTGGACGGGTGGCGGAGTTTTTGATGGGGGGGTTTTCTCCCGGCCTCCGTCCCCCTCGCGTTGCCAATGGCAATTTATTGATTGTAATCAACGTTATTCTCGTCCAGGGTGCCTAGAATTTAAAGTGAATATTATTTCGAAGTTGAAGTTATTTCAAATGAAGTTTGCGAATGCTACGTCCTAGAGAGTAGAGACGGCATTTAGTATCCTATTTCAGCAATGTTTAAGTTATAATCATTATAATGTTCGATTAAAACTATTTGTTATGATAGTAAATTCACTTACATCCTTTTACGCAAATAATTTCATTACTTAATCCGTGAGAAAGAAACCCAGACAAATAGTGGTGAGATAAATGGTTAAATGAAAGTAATTTAAGGGTTTAATCTTGCCTTCAATTTCGAATCTTGAACACTTTACAGCTTTCTTAGTCACGAGACAAACTGGCCTGCATATAAAATGTTCAAAAAGTCGGGAATTAAAAGAAATTTGTTAAAAAAATATTTATTTTATTTTAAACGAGTAAAACCTCGAATATCAAATACCTATGAAATGAATGGGATCTAAACAGAAACTAATGTAAAATAAAAATTAAAATTAGTTCGTAAACGAAGGAGGTCTGAGATAACAAACATATATAACAATGTAATAAAAGTCATATAACAGACACGGAACAGTAAAGCAGCTATTTTACTAGTCCGTGGCAAGCGAATTGAGAACTTTCTGTTTTGAAGTCCTTTGACTTTTCAATACATCAACATAATATGGTTTGGTGTTATCCAGGGTACGATTGGGTAGGCTTATTTTATGTTACGTTAAAGGGTTATTGAGATTGCAAAGGGCAACGGAGTTAACATGCATGGCGGTAGTTATATTATAGATGCATCTATGTCGCTACGCTGTCGATATATGTTTATGTAATTTCGTTCGGGACGCCGCGTGTGCGCGCGCACTCCCGCAAACAATCGAAATAATACAGCAATATATCCGGACGACCGGCCGACATTCCATGTATCCATATGCACTTTTACTTGCGTACGAACAGACTGAAAATATACAATGGAAAATAAAGAAAAGATAATATGTCATCCTTGCTATATAGGCATGTAGGGCCGCTAATTTTATCCTGTATGATTTATTTTATTCCGCTATGTACTTCATTTAATTCTACGATCTGTACCAAATTCAGAGCGGTAGAAACACTGAAATTGACAATTGAATCAAGCCAAAGCAGGATTAGGGCTGCAAACACTAGGTGCTGTAAATACTAACGAATGTGGCCTATTGTTTGCTAAAAGTAAAAGCATTTAAGAAACCGTTATATCAACTTTCTACGTATCTTGTGTTAAGTTCCAAGAGTTAAATGTATGACTGGAAATTCTATGATAGGTTCGTTGTCCGGTATTTTCTTGGCGGGGAAATGTTGAATTCTGACTTCCGCTATGCGGTCTGCAGTTCTAGTTGCCATCGGTACCTGAGATAAGAAAATCATTCACAAACGCGAACATTGGATTTTTTAACCATAATGTTATATATTTCATATGATAAGTATTAAAGAATTCGATTGGGGCTCAATACATTATGACTCTAGCACCATCTGTTGTTTAATTTTACAACTAATACGACGTTCTGCGCGCCTGTTAAAGAGTAGCGACATCTAACGAGTTATTACATTGGATAGTTTAATGCATAATGTTGTTGAGTTTTCCTATTCATATAAATTGTATAAAACGTGCGGTAGCAAATTCCAATGAAGAAAATTGTGACGATTTTAAATTTAATTAATGAATATATTATAAATTTAACGAATTTAAGTTAAATGTACGATCAAGGGCAGCTGCTACAGCTGTGGTCAACTCGTTTTGAAAATCTTACTCCCGAACCGAATCGAAGCTAGAATAGTAATAAGACCGTACGTTATCTACTGCGTTAACGTTAATTGTATCCGGCCTATTACGTCAAAATGTTCCATGTTTACGGTTATAATATCTTTCTTAGATAAAATGTTAATTGCTTCCATCCGAGCCATCACTCGATTGAGCGCTGGTGTCAGATTCAGTGGTACGACACTAACTGCCATGAATTCCAAATTCGATTGATTCAGAATTCTAATCTGTCTTCAGATAAATTAAAAAGTGTAGTCTTTATACCTTAGGTTAATTTTTTGTACGCTGTATGACTTTTTCAAATTTAAGGCTTAAATAAAACAAACTCAGTCCCGTTTATATTACAACTTATATTTAGAAAAAATTAAATTAACCATTACAATATTTTATATAGCCACTTTGTAAAAACCTATTGTTATTAGTAGTTAAATATATTAATATTAATATGGTCGTAAGTATGGGGGAGAAGGGACACTGAGACAAACTATAAAAAATATACGAGCGCCGAGCCACCCTGAAATATCCCGATACTATCCCAATGAGATATATATGGCATTAGTATGACATAAAAAAATATTGTAACAAACCTATTAGCCGATTTTACTATATTGGTGGAAGGCACATTTAAAAGATCATGCAAACGTATGATTATTTGAATATTAAAATAAAATAGAAAATCGGAAAAAAATCCTAAATTTACGCCTAAAAAGGCATTTAGTGTTATCCAGTAGGATTGACACTATACATTTTTGAAGCCATTTTGACATGGTTGTTTAATCAATAAAAGTATTTCGTTACTTTTGTTTTACAAATAAAAGAACCTGTGCGAATTAGGAATCCGTAAACTTTGTTCCACTTGATCAATTTAAACATTGCAATAACAAAACAATAAAGTATTTACAATTTTTACATAATTTTTTGAATACCTACATTTTTTTAAATATTAAACATGGCTATATACATATCTCTTATTACTTTTTAGGAGAGCGAATAAATAGTATTAAGACTGAAAATATACAATACACACATAGTATGTAAATACCCTAATATAAGGCAATTGAAAACTTCCGAAGAAAGAATGTAAGTAGACAAAGCCCCTAGCAAAGCTATAAATTATTGTAGTGCCAATTAATATTTGGAGTTTAAACTCCTAATTAGATATTTAACTTTACTACCAAAAGCTGCCAACTGCGAGCGCGTTGTGAAGGGGTTATTTACGTCTTTTAATTATAAATCGTAACACTATACATATATAATTTACAGGTAAAAAAAAAAAATCATATCTACCGCCGTTGTAACTCGGCGCTTCTCTGATATAAGAATGACGAATGCAGATGAAATTTAATTTCATATATATTTCTTTAACACATTTTCCTTCCATTACGAGATAACATGACTTAGAAAACTAAACTCACTTATCAGTCTCAAATTCACCGCCTTTCCATGCCGTTGTCACAGATTATACACAACGTATTATTTTTTTCATATTTCGTCACCATGGATTTGTCAAGCCGGACATACCGATTACCCATATAAATTAATATATAGCTTGAATGAAATGTTAACATTTTTTACATAATTTCGTTTCTAGTTATTGCATTATGTAATGTTTCGTTAATGGGATGGCTTTTCAATGTCTTGTTTGCCATTGGTGTCTCCGTTGAGAAGAGGAACCGGTGGCTTTATAGGCGGCGCTGGTATCACCTGCAGATGAAAAATAAATATTATTGCAGATTACATGTAATCCTGAGTGAGCTCCGATCCCGGAACAATAATACCAAACACGCACACAATTAGAATTGGATCCCGATGAAAATTAATGAACGTATAAATATTCAATTTTATAAAACAACGTTAAATACGAATAATCTGAAATAACTTACAAAACATGTATTGTACAAACATAACAGAAACAATGTAATATTTTATATACTACAATGTGATATCTACATATAAATTTAATATGGCACATCAGAACAAGGTTGGACAAAGATATAGTTTTGGGAGTCTATTTAAGTGCTTTACATAAGAAAATAAACACCTTTACAACAGACTATAAGGCAGAAAAAGTAGAAACAGTAGTCTAATGCAAAATAAAATCCCCGTTTAGTTTGAAGCCACTGATCCCAGCCACCGCCCGACTAATTTCACAATAATAAACACCCACACCTCTAAAGATAGGATAGACTTAACTTTCTACAGGCATCCTTGCAGACGTTTTAGAAATGTTAAATTGCAATAATTTGTTATCAATTGTTTAATTATGGGCTGCTGGCAACATTTGTCATATGATAAGTGTGTTTGGGGTAAATTTATTATTTGTAAGATTCAATTAAAGAATTTTTAAATAACAAATAATAAATTTACCCAGAACCACTAATACTGACCGTTGGTTATAGAAAGTAGGGGACAATAAGACAAAAACCAAAAAGAAATACAAAGGTCAGATATAGGAACATAATTAAAAAAATGTATTTTAGAAAAGTGTAAAATATTTATTATCATACAAACAACATTTAACAAGTTAATTACATTTATTTGTACCAATGAGTCAATAATCAATATCTGACATTTGTTCCTAATGTAGCGTTGGGGCCTACAAGCAGAAGATTAAATTAGTGTCATTTAATGTTTTCTTGATTTTACGCGAATATTATACATATTAAATGAAACTAGTTTAAGGATTTTATCGCGTTTTTTATTTTGATTTGAACTCCCGACGTTTCGAACCCTTTCCAGCGTGGTTGGGAGTTCAAATCAAAATAAAAAATGCGATAAAATCCGTAAACTAGTTTCATTTAATTAGTGTCATTTACGTAAAAAGTGAACTTATACGTCCTGTTTCAACATTCTATCTAGATTTGGTTACTGGAAATAGAATTTTGAAGTAATTGTTATGGAGCTGATTTCAAATACTATTGCTTGTAAAAAAATCTAAAGTAATACTCCATATTGAAGCCGGCCGTTAGTATTTCTGATTTAACTTGTCAAGTGTATGAATTTAAATGCTTTTTAAATTCCTGGATTGTCCTTGCAAGGGTGGTTAAAAAGCCAGGTACGCTAAGTTAGTTTTAGATATTACTCTATTGTTGGAGATGTTGTTAGATTTTTTTAACATTCCATTATATATATTAGATTTAATATTCTACATTACTATATAAATTGCAGATTCGATAAGTCAGTACTATTTTAATATTTTTTTAAATTTAAACTCAGGAATGCTGTTAAGTTTAAATTAAAAATAAAACAGTGATAAAATCCGTGATACTGTTGTATTAAAATTATTGATGTAAATATTAGAAGTCAGTACTATTATTAACTTTTCGGTGGAACACATTTAACGGTCAATTACATTAACGTTCAGTTAATAAGACGGGTTAAGAAACGCGACGCAATGTTGCCCGCAGCACGACTTTTTCGAATGTTAGGCTACTATGCGTACGTTTTTGTCAGTGGCACCATCTTCTTCGTCCTGTTAATAATACAACATGTATTTAGTAAGTCATTACTCAATTAAGTTTTAATAAAACAAACTGTTTTCACTAAATAGTTACTCAATTTAGTTTTAGTAAAAATTTTCAAAAGTAATTATACGTGAATTTTATTCCATAAAAATAAGGATTGTCGTAATGACAATTGAAAGTGGTTCATATGTTTGTTCAACAGCATTTTGAGCAGTGTTTAGAAGTTTTTACAATGGCATGTCGTGGTTATATGCACAGGTGTGTTTTAGTGTTAACTGAAAAAGTCTAAGGAGAATACAGAACATGAAAGCAAAAATAAAATCTGTCACATAATAATGGGCTATCTCTAATAAGCTAGTTACTTAAGGTTGCAATCAAATGAGTTTTATTGATGTCGCCTACACAGGTCAGTCTTAACAACAGCTCTTGCTACTCAAAAGAATTATAGAAGGTAGGAAATTCTATAACGTGTAATGTATACCATGTTGGTTACTTTAAGAGGGTAAGTTTCTTTCGAGTTGCGAACAATCGATGTGGATCTAAGTCACGCACTATTGCCATCCTTGTCACACGGCTAATCCGTCGATCGCAGCGTCGCTGGCGGATTTCTGCGTAAAGATATTGCCCACTCAAGTGACTCCGTGGCGTAATTGCCAAGGCATCGGGGGTCGTGGGTTCGATTCCCGCACGAGACAACTATTTTTGTGACCCACGGATACGACGCCGTTTGTCCGCGTGAAATTTATGTATGTAAAACGTCTTAACAACACACTATAATGTAATCCCACAGTAAGGGTGCAATGTTTTCGAAGGGAAGGTTACAAAAGATCTTTCTAGTCGCAGTTAGTTGGGACCACCCAACTTCTTCCACGCAAAAATACAAAAGGCCGTGGTGGAGAGATGTTGTGATGTGAGACTAGACAGAGTCTGTTGCGTGGTAGGGCCACGTAACAGTCTTCGCTGTTGCATTTATGGGCAGGTCCGTCCGTTCGTACCACGACCTCACAGAAGACCGGCGTGAAGTGTTATAGTGAGTTTTCTTCTGTTAAGTGAGGTAGCCAGTTCGCTGGATAGAATTAGCCGTTGCACTTATGGGCAGGTCCGTCCGGGTAAGTAGCGTACCACGAACTCACAGAAGACCGTGAAGTGGAAGTGTTACATACATCTGCGATTCTAATGCACTTTATTAAAAGTTGTCAACGCATTCGCAACCGTACTGTGGCCGCAGATGTCAATGGGCGGTAATCACTTAACAACAAGTGTACCGCCAGCTCGTTTGCGACCTTCTCACATGTTGCACAGGGCCGGATTTAGGGAAGAGCAATCAGGGCTATACCCGGGGCCTCTACAAAAGAGGGACAGCTACAATAGAGACTTTGGGAAAAAAAATTCAAATTACTAGACTAGTAAACAACTTTTCCTTCCATATTTTTTTCGCGTCTCACCTTTACCTACAGTACTTAGTACAAACATGATTACATTAAACATTAACAGAAATGAATGGAAAATAATTTGGGGCCAAGGGGCCTCCACTCCTTTTTTTTATGTGAAAAGTTGTCAAACGAGCAGACGTTTCACCTGATGTTAAGTGAATACCGCAGCCCATGGACATCTGGCACACCCGAGGGTTACAGATGCGTTGACAACTTTTTGGAAATTGGGCTCCGGCTACCTCGCTCACCAGACGAAACGCGAAAGTATTTGTTAATATTGTCCTGTTGCACATGTCACGATGGTTCTTGACGCGGCCGATGCATTGGGGCGCAACTCACAGAGGGCTTGGGGCGGTGTGTGTCCACCGCGGCCACCGGCAGCGTGATGTGCTCCTCGCGGCAGCCGTACGCCACCGGGGTCAGCTTTATCACCGTGTGCAGGGGCACGTGCAGGTACGGCAGCTCCTCTGTGGAGGGAGGAGTTCGGGAAATTATGAACAGATCTGTTTGGCTTTTAAGCGAGAACTTCTTTAGCGTCTGTGCGATTTGAGACTCGATTGAATGAATTAAACACCGGCCAAGCGCGAGTCGGATGGTTCCGCACCGTTATATATAAAAACGGAAAATGAAATCATGTTTGATCTATTGGAGCCCCGTTTAGATATTTTTTTATTCTGTTTTTTATTTTATACATATTATGTTATGTTATAGCGGCAACAGAAATACATCGTCTGTGAATATTTCAATTATGTAAGAATCACGGTTTATTTGAGATACAGCTTGGTCCCGTTTTATCTTTTAAGTACGGAACTTTAAAAAGAGACAGTGACTATAGTCACTTTTTCGTTTCTTCGACACCACACATCTATGGGATATATCGTGCGACAGATCAGCATATAGCAGTATCTACATATAGTATTTAATGTGAGATAGAAGGCGTTACACGTGTATTATTTACAAAAATATTTCATTATTTCAATAAAAATGTATAGGAAACATTTCAAACGATTCTAGGCAAAATTATTTTTTTGGCTAATGATTATCAGAGCCGTGATAGCTCAGTGTCCGGGCGCTCGCCTTTAATTCAATATACTCGAGAAACCTGAGTTCGATCCCGGTGCCGGCACCAATGAAGTTTTTAACTTTAAGTGCTGACTTATCACGTGCTCCGTGGTGACGGAAAACATCGTGAGGAAACCTGCATATTTTCGAAATAATAACAAAAAAAAAATTCGAAGATATGTGAAGTCCGCCAATCCGCAATGGGGCCGCGTGGTGGACTATGCCCTGATACCTTCTGTATAGAGGAGGCCTTTGCCCAGCAGTGGGACGTGTATAGGCTGTTACTTTACTTTACTTTTTTAATGATTATCTATGACTTAATGTTTAAGTTTTCAACCGCCCAAAACCGCTTGTTTGTCAATAAGTCGAGGAATTTGGCATTTTAAGTTTCAACTGTGTAGGGCCACGAATGGGCATGTCCGTCCGTGTAAGTACACGACCTCACCGAACACCGGCGTGAAGTGGAAGTATAATACTTTCGCGTTCCATCTGGTGAGTGAGGTGGCCGGAGCCCAATCTTCAAAAGGCCTCCACACTCGAAAAACAGACTTGGCGCCCACCTGCCGACTTGTCGAGGAAGTAGGCGAGCAGGCAGCGCATGACCGCCTGGTGCGAGACCACCAGCACGTTGCCCTGGCGCTCGAGCTCCATGATGACGGGCTCCAGGCGGGCCACCAGGTCCTCGTAGCTCTCGCCGCGCGGGTAGCGGTACGCGAACTTGTTCGCGTCGCGAGCGTCGAAGTCCGAAGGGTACTTGGCCTGGATCTCCGCGTACGTCATCTCCTCGCAGATGCCCTGGGGGGGGATACATATATATATATATACACAACGGAGGCACTCGAATGCAAAGCAACTTGTGCCTTCTGCAGGAGAAAGTGTACGAAGTACTGGGACCAAAGCCACGGATTAGATAGCCTAATGGCCGGGCAAAAGGCCCGCGTTACATAGTGACTCCGTACGCACACCTAGAACGGAGCGGAACGGTCCAGAGCCACAGCCTAAGTCAGAGGCTCCAGCCAGAGAGCAGCGCCACACACCTAGAACGGAGCGTAATGCACCCGAACCACAGCCTATGGAAGCACGAGCGACAGAGCAGCGCTACGGACACCTTGACCGGAGCGGAACGCGCAAGACCTACAGTCTAAGTCAAAATCTCTTCCCACAGAGCAGCGCCGCCCGCAGACCCAGAACGGAGCATAACACGCCATAGCCACAGCTTAGTAAAGCCCGCGCCACAGAGCAGCGCCGCACGCAGACCCAGAACGGAGCGTAGCACGCCATAGCCACAGCGTACATAAGCCGACGCCACAGAGCAGCGCCGCCCGCACACGCAGACCGGAGCGCAACGCGCCCGCGCCACAGAGCAGCGTCCAGCAGCAGCACGCACTCACCGCGTCGATCTCGTTGAGCGCCTTCCAGCGCTCCTGGGGGGCGCGCACGTCGCGCACCGTCTGGATGGCGCGCCGCTGCCACGAGCTCCACACGCGCAGGCCCGGTATGCGCTGCTGCTCTATGTAGGCCGCCAGCGCGCTCGCGTACTGGCGCCCGCGCGGCGAGAGCTCGCTGTCGCCGCCGATGCGCCCCACCAGGTTGTGCATGCTTTCGCCGTGCTAAGGACGCCGGGGGAATTTCATCTTTTTCAACTTGTCCAGGGTAAATTCAAGTGGACAGTAGAAGTGGTGCACTCCTGCGTTCCGTCTGGCGAGTGAGGTAGCCGGGGCCACGTTATTAAGAGGTGTACCCTAGTTGCAAATGTCCACGGGCAGACGGTTATCACTTAACATCAGGTGAATCGCGAGCTCGTTTGCCACTTTCCCAAATGAAAAAAAAAATTAAGATGCGCGCGCACACCGTCGCGAAAAACCGACACCCCGAAGCTAGCTAAACAACCACGTATGTTTGCGTGAAAACTGACAACTGTATTCACGATATTTATTTTGTGATATTTAAATAAACTTTCTTTAACTAGATAATGCGTTATAATAAAACTTTTAATGTATTAAATAACTTTTTTCTATTGATAGTGTCGTTTTTTCTACAAACGTAGTATAAAGCGAAAGATAATTTTTTTAAAATGATTTTTATCTTGTTACGCCAAAGTACTTCTAACGCGTGTACATAAGTAACCACACACTTTTTTTTGTTTTAAAACATTGCCCTTACTTTAGGAAAGATATCACTATCCCGCGTGGTAAGGATGTTTTCCAAGCATAAATTGCACGTGTGTGCCGTGGTGGGGCCACGCAACAGTGTTCACTGTTGCACGAATGGGCAGGTCCGTCCGGGTAAGTACCACAACCTCACAGTAGACCGGCGTGGAGTAGAAGTGTTACACTTCTGCGTTCCGTCTGGCGAGTGAGGTAGCCGGGGCCCACTTCATTTAAAGCTGGCAAAACATTAGCAACCCAACCGTCGTTGCAAATTTTCATGGGCGACGGTTATCACTTAACATCAGGTGAACCGCCAGCTCGTTTGCCACTTTCTCACATGAAAAAAAAATCTATCCTGTGTGACAGTACTCTTTATTTGTGAAAAAAAAAAATACGTTAATGCAATTGATGACGATTTAATTAAATAACTTAGGTGGCTGTTGCTTTTAGATGTAAAAATTCAATCTCATTTACTTTCCCAAACGCGCCAAAAGAAGTATAATTAAAAAAAATATTTTATTAATTACTGTTTCAATGCAAATTTAATAGTCAAATTGGCGGTTTCGAACATACGTCGTCTGGAGAATGCCAGGCGCTCTAGATACGTACGCACTTATCCGATAAGCAGTTTTCAGACTTAAGAGAATACGGGTAGACGCGTAAATAATATTTACATGCGATATTGTTTTTCTTTATCAGTGATAAAAATATATCACAGGTGATAAATTGAAAGTTTAAGACGGATCTGAAGTTAAAAGTTGATCTGAAGCTGAAAGTTTAAGTCAGGCCGCGAATGCCAAAGACGTGGGTTCGATTCCCACAGCGGCGACAATCTTTTCGTACTTTTCCTACAAGTTTTAAGACTGTGGGTGTTTCATTTCAGTCGGTTCAAGGCCATATAACGGACTCACCCTGGTGAGGTATATGGTCCTGGGCACTATGTGAATGTTCATGAGGTAGTAGACGATGCGGCTCTGTATGTGGCCCTCGTGCTTGTGCACGACCACCTTCTCGCCCGTGTCGTAGATCTTCATGAAGCTGAATTCCGCTTCCAGGCTCTCGTCCAGCGGCTCGTACTTCTCCTTGTAGTGCTCTATCCTCAGCAGGAAGTCGTTCAGCACGTTGTCCATGTTCTGGATGTTGGTGTAGTCAGGGCTGCTCACTTTCACCTCCTGCGTCATAATGCCAATAATATCACATTGCACTCGCGCGCCCTCTGGATTGTGCCGATTTCGTCTCGGGAAGAATCAGTTATAATAGAGCCACGCGAAAACACAGACTTAGCTTCAGGTTTTTCAGTGTATAGTCGGGACAAATATAGTTATTATTGGACATTGTTAAATCAGATAATTTCACGGGATTTTTTGAGTGATACTAACTTTACTTTTTGCACGCATGTATTTATTTTAAAATTTTAGGGATACTAACAGCTAGCACATAAGTAAAGTATTGGATAATAAATACAGACGGCCATTTATAAGTTTGCACAATTAGTTAAATATAAAAGAATATAACGCGTACAAAGAAGTATAACGGACATAAGAGTGTGACAAATATCAATAATTACGGTCCATTGTTCTTACGTAGTACTTGTCTTCTACCAGTAGCTGTGCTACTTAACGAAGTGAACTAACCATGATATTCTGCTCTATTATCCTCGGATCGTCGCAGATTGATTCAACGAAGAACAGCTTAAAGCCCATCTTGTTGACGACTATGTCGCGTATCATCCGCCTCCGCTCCATCGTCGAGTTTGTCGCGTCGAACACCTAGAGCGAAACGAGCTTTTATTTTCAAGCGGAAAGAATGTAAACGGCCACAGTCTATTCAAACATAAACTACGAGTCTTCTGTAGAAAAGACGCCACTGTTGCGTTTGCTCGCACTTATGTGTCTTATGAGGTGACAGTGGTGTGTCAATACGCCCCAAAAGAGCCGTGAGTGCGACAGAGAGCGCAACAGGCGGCCCGTGGGCAGCTAGTGTTTGCAATGGTACAAATACGAGGTATATGACACTAGCGCACCGAAATTGAGGCACTGAAATTACGCCAATTCCTGTAATTACGTTACAATCCTATAGACTGCGATCTCTTTCCGTATCATAAGTTCTATATCATCTATCACATTAACTTATATTTGTCAAATCACTGCCGCGCAGTACGGACATCTTTCAGCCCTGTAGTTCCGGGCTCGTAGAATAGGACTAAGGTATCTCCTGCCTGTCGTAAAAGGCGACTAAAAGGGGACACGGATTGGCAGCAGCTCGAAGTGGCCTCGAGCTGCTGCAAGATGGTGAGGGAACCGAGGAAGGTTTAACCCTTCTCCGAGGCGTGCTCCCGCCCAGTACCGAGGGACACCGGTGCGTTCCGTAGGAGATCCCGGAGTCCCTCCAAACGTACATAAGGTGGCCACCGAGGGGACTTTAGTGGGTAAGAACCCCACATAACCCTGTTACAGGGTATCTTACGAAGATTTCCCCCCCGATACCAAAAAAAAAAAAAAGTACGGGCATCTTTAATAAAACAACATTGAGCGATTGGCATTAATATACGGCCGGTTTGAATATTCAATCTACAGACTAGATTTGGTCACTAGCGATAGGTAGGATATTTGACATTAGCTCCATACCTCCTACGTCAAAATTCTATCTCCAGTAATCAAATCCATCTCAATTCTCAACTGTGGTAGGACCGTGCGACGGTGTTCACTGTTGCACGAATGGGCAGTTCCGTCCGGGTAGGTACCGCGAATTCACGGAAGACCGGCGTGAAGTAGAAGTGTTACAACTTCTGTGTTTCGTCTGGTGAATGAGCTAGCCGGGGCCCACTTTATTTACAGGTGGCAACGTATTTGCAACTCTACGTGGGTGGCGTTTGCCACTTTCTCACATAAAAAAAGGTCTGTAGATCGAATAATGAATGGCCGATAGTTGCCTGCACGAGGCGTATTCGGGATCGAAGCCGCTTACCGCCACCTCGCCGCCCTTGACGAGCCACTCGCACACGTCGTGCAGGGCGTCCAGCGCGCACTGCTGCCGTATCGCCATCGCCTCCTTGTTGTCGGCGCGGAAGAACTCGTGGCTGGTGTACGCGGTGGTGGCGTGGCGCCGGTACTCGCCGAGGTTGAACACTGCCGGCGGAACGGGCGGGTGAATGGGTGAACGAGTGAACGATTGAATGGCTGAACTGAACGAGTGAATGAATGAAGTGTGGAAATAGTAAAAGAGTAAAGTAACAGCCTATACATGTCTTTGCTCTCTTTGGCCTCTGTGCAGAGGCCTCTGCACAGAGGCCAAAGAGAGCAGGGTATCAAGATTTGCGCAATTCTCATATGTTCGAATTATCTTTTTGCTATTTTGAAAATATGCAGGTTTCCTCACGATGTTTTCCTTCACCGATAAGCACGTGATAATTGACCACTTAACCGTTAACCGTGTTCGGACAGAGACAATTATGCGGTGCAAGGTCGTGGGTCAGATTGTCTTCTCCACCTAAGTTAGCTTTACATATTACACGGTGCGACCACAACACAAACTCTACGAATAGAGACGTGGCGAATACATTAATATCCCCTAAAACGAGGTGCCAGAGGTTTATTAAGAAACTATAATATACCTTGAAGAGAACGAACTTGAGTGACACAGTCAAGTAGAATTAAAATTGACTGGGGCCACGCGACAGCCTTTGCTGTTGCATGAATGGGCAGGTACGTTCGGGGAAGTACCACATCAAATACCAATACATCTGAGTTTCGTCTGGTGAGCGATATGACCGGGACCCACTTGAACAAAAGGTGGCAACGCGTCTGCAACACTAAGGGTGTTGCAAATGCCCATGGGCCGCGGTTATCACTTAACATCAGGTGAACAAACAGTTCACTTGCATAAAAAAAAAATCTAACGCCCGTTTCGTTGGGTCATTTTAACTAATTGAAGCTGATTACACACGGTTCATAATCTTTAACTATGGTCAATTGTAAAACATTTCGGGCGACTAATACTGCGTGTCATATTTATGCATCGTTTATGAGAATGTTTAACAAAGCAAAACATAGTTGGAAGCAATAACCATTTCAGTAAACCAAACACGCGGGCTTATATCTCTAATGTCAACAGGGTTAAGTGTTTTTATAGATAGTGCATCTGTATATTGAGTTCGATACGTTTCAGGCAACCATTCGTTATGAGCATCGTTCGAGTAACTAACGACTTTATGAATTACCCACACAAGACTGACTTTGTAATAACGTTCTAAAGCCGAAGTACGCACTTGTACGGACGGGGTGAGGTGTTAATTAAATCGTCGTCATCTGTTGACGACTGTACCTTACCTGTACAGTAAACGACATGTCTAGTGGATAGTTGACAATGTTAAAAATGCACTTCTTTGGCAAATTAAAGTATTTAGTAAATTCAAAGACGTGATAACAGAAGGACAATAATGAGAAATCGCTTAAAGTTTGTACGCTCTAACCAATAACAGACCACGAAAGTGCTCTTAAGCGTACAAAATTAATAAACATTAAATTCTCAATGCAAAAATGAAATCTCTTCGCTCATCGATATTGTTATATCTTTCTATGTGAAAATTCACCTCATGTCAAGTGAATACCGCACCCGATGGACATATACAACGCCTGTTGAGTAGCAGATACGTTGCCAAAGTGTAATAAAGTGGGGTCTGGTTACCTCACTCCACAGACGGAAGGCAAAAGTATAACCAACTCACGCCGTTCTTCTGAAAGCCGCGGACCTTCTATGGAAGATTGTGCTCGTACAGGACATGCGGGGGTGACCCTAACGCTTGTAGGTACTACTTACTCTTTCATTATCAAAAATCGTAGTAGCAAAGAATTCTTGTGTCAACAGAGGTTTCACAATTAAGAAAATTCCGGGACACGGAAGAACAAATTACGGATAACACAAATCTATTTTATTATTATTTATCCTAAAGGGGATTGAACCCACAACATGCCACTTAAGCGTGGTAGGACCACGTGACAGTTTTCGCTGTTTCACGAATGGGCATGTCCGTTCGAAAGCCGCGGAAAATTCTGAAGTCTGTGCCACCGTTAATTCATAATTATTTGATTATTCATTATTTTAAACAAAGGGTTATTTAACAGTTTTATGCTGGATACTTTTTAGGGTTCCGTACGCAAAGGGAAAAACGCAATGTGTCCGCTGTCTGTCTCATGAACCGTGATTGTGAGACAGTTGAAATTTTCACGGAATGATGTATTTCCTTTGCCGATATAACAATAAATACTAAAACACATTAAAAAACTATTTAAGTGGGGCTCCGACACAAGAGACATGATTATTTTGCCGTTTTTATAGATAATGGTACTGAGCCCTTCGTGCGCGAGTCCCACTCGCACTTGGCCGGTTTTTATTCCGTATGGATCGAACTGTATTTCTCGGCCTGCTACTGTCGATTATGTTGCTTAGATACTTCAATTACGTGGTACGTACGTAAAGTGAGTGTCCGTATAAATATCTGCCGTCTATAGTGTACATAGTAAAAGAAATACAGTGTATGCATTATACTAATTTCAGTGAACTGCTGCCAAACGCAATCGCGTGCCAATTTATGCATTCCATAACGTGGGAGGCGCCCCTAGGAAAGTCGACCACGTGTAGTGTACATATAGGGTTGCCAACTGTTTTTGAGAAAGATAGTGTCACATTTTTCAAGTGGAGAAAAAATATTTTATACTTTTTATTCCGTATAATACTCTAATTCAACCTAATCTCTTTTTAAAGTATAGTTGGCAACCCTAAGTACATACCACCATAGAGCGGTCTCGCCAACTAACACTCGCGTAGGATTATGCATTTCCCGAGTACTATCCTTGCTTCAGCTTCCTCGATAGCCCAGTGTCCGGGCGCTCGATTTTTATTTTTATCTTATTTAATATATTCTTATTTTTATGTATAATACATTCTCATTTTTATCTTATTTAATTCAATATACTCGAGCTACCCGAGTTCAATTCGCGGTACCGGCACCAATGGGATTGTTGCATACAATTTTAAGTGCTAACTTATCACGTGCTAGGAACGAAAACATCGTGAACAAACTTGCATAATTTGGAAATCATAACAAAAAAAATGACAGATAGACATGTGACGTCCGCCAATTTGTACTCCAATGTGTTAGGGCTGTTATGTACAGAAGAGGCCTTTTCCCAGCAGTGGGACATAATTAGTTACCTTTACCTTACTTTCTTTGCACTTTCCGCCCTTTGACATTAACATCCACAGTCGTAGTATTAAATTCAGTGATATATCGAGGTTTATATAGTACAGTTGCATTTGAAATACACGCAAATGGATATTTGTAATTGGTATCGAACCCACAACTCTCAACCTAATAACACCCGTGCCAAAGCCACCAAAAGCTATAGTAAACTATTTTTGGAACGAGGGAAAATGTGGTGGAGTAGATTTGATATTTGAAATTGCAGATACGAGTGCAGGTTGCGTGTGCCTTTCTGTCTGAATGTTGCGCCTTCAGCTTATTTTACGCAGACGTAGTTGCGGGCAGCAACTAGTGTGAAATAGGTTTGGCAACTCACCCCTTGTGTTGATTCCTATCCAGTTCAGATAGCGCGAGAGCTTTTTTGATATGTACGTCTTGCCGCGGGCCGGGAGACCCACCATGGCGATGACGTGGGGAATGTTGACATAGTTAGCGCGTTCGCCTGAAAAATTTAAAGTAGACTTGCATATTTTGTGACGTGCTGGAATCAATTATGTTCAATCGTTTTTATTTTTTTTTAAACGTTGCCCTACAAACATAAATTTCACGCGGACAAACACCCAGATGCCAAACAGCTATCTGCGGGTCGCACAAATAGTTGTCCCGTGTGGGAATCGAACCCGAAAGCCGATAACCTTGGCAACTGCGCCACGGAGTCTTCAAATCAGATATTAGATGATAGAATGACAGATGCGTAGTAATATATAGATGACGCATATCCGGGACACTGCGCGGCATTAAATAATTGTTCGACTTTACGTACTATGACACGTATCAGTAAATGTGATAGATGATATAGAACGTATGATACGGAAAAAGATAGCAATCTTTCTTATGGTGGTAGGGCCACGCAGCAGCCTCGGCTGTTGCACGAATGGGCGGGCCCGTCCGGGTAAGTACCACGACCTCACAGAAGACCGCCGTAAAGTGGAAGTATGACAAAAACTTTCACGTTTCGTCTGGTGAGTGAGGTAGCCGGAGCCCAATTTTCAAAAGGATGTCAACGCGTCTTAACCCTCGGGTGTGGCAGATGTCCATGGGCGGCGGTATTCACTTAACATCAGGTGAACCGTCTGCTCGTTTGACAACTTATCGCATAAAAAATAATATCTATAGAATTGCAATCTAATTACACCAATTGGCGTAATTTGAGTGCCTCAGTTTTTGTGCGCTTGTGTCATATCTAGCCCGTATTTGTATATGATATCATTGGCTGGAATTCTGACATATTAAATTGTTTAGCGCGATGGATTACAGTAAAATCTGTCCACCCTCTTATAGTTAACGACTCAGGATCTTATACATATTGTTTACTTGCTTTTAATTAGCCCTTAATAGTTGACCCCGTCACCCATAGACATTTGCAACACCAGTTGGGTAGCAGATGCTTTGCTACCTTTTAAAGTGGGCCCCGGCTACCTCACTCACGAGTCGCAACGCAGATTTGATGTGAGGTAGTGGTATTTACCCAGACCTGCCCATGCATGCAACAAAGAAGACTGTTGCATGGCCCTATCTTATTTAGGTTTCAGTGATTGTGATATATTTATTGTGGACTAAAATGAATCCAGTTTTAAAGTTAATATTTTATTTGTCTCCAGATTGAGTACCTGGACGGCGTACCTTCGCTCGACTTTCTTTTATTTTTTTGCAAATTCGTGTAATGTTACTTGGTAAAGTTATTTGTATTCGCAAGAGGTTATATGTTATAGGTATCAATATTTGGATAACATTATTAAAGTATCAGTAGATTAGCATCTATTAACAACAATGCAAGTACCTCAAAGTTTTATGAGATGGCGCTATAAGCAAAAAAGATTTCAAATTGAAAATCTGTGTATATTTATGTAAATCACATTTTTCCGGAAAGTAGATTATACAGATAAGTTTAAACCCAAGTCAAATGCAAAATTTTATTGGAATCTCTATAGCTATTACAGAGATAAACAAATAGCTCCTTTGAATTTGGTGATTAACTTTGTTAATTTTACCATTTCTGTATCATTAACATGTATCATTTTTTTTTTTACTTTTTTGCATATCTGCATGTAATATAGTTACAGTAACCATATAATTAATTTCATAAGGAGGAATTTTTATATCAAGAATTTTAAATTAGTTTATTTAATAAAAATGCCCCTGTAATTATAAAGTTACATAATAAGTAAATTCAGCAGCCGGACTGGAATTTGAAAATATAGTTGAGTGTTCTGACTACTTGTACAACCTTGTAAACTTATTTAGGTGTCAGTAGTTAAATAGCATGCTATCTCCTTATGTAGGGAGGTAGGCTAGGCCTTTATATGCTGCATAAAAAATGATTTAAATATCATGGAACAACAAGAAAAAAGGTCATAAAAGTCTACTTAATCCTTGATTATAGCAAAGCACTTTTAAAAGTCATCTCATGACAGAGGTACCTTATTGATTCAATTCTGACCCTCTTACTACGTACTTGTACGAGTGCAGGTTGAGAAGATAAAATATATGGCAAATATATTATTTAATACAAATTGAATATAATAGATTACATAGCTTGTTCAATATTTAGCACCACATCAATTTTGTGCATACATATGATAAATCAGCAACTTTTGTGTGTGCTCTAAATAATTATCCGTAATGTGATATATTTGTACTAAAACATAAATTTCATTGTGTTGACTGAACTTAAAATTAAGTCTATATGAATGAACTTCCAAATAAAGTAGTCATAAAACATGATGTCCATAATTTATGGATTACGAATTTTAATTTTATCTTGTTTGTTCTTGTTTGAATCTTGTTTGCTTTATCTAAGAAGATATAGGATAAACTATATACTGCCACTTAAGAGTATTTTAAATGCAGTGTTAATTATAAACAAGATATACATTTTTTATAATGTGACTTTTGAATAATAACAATTTAAAATATGTAATAACAATTTAAAGTCAGTCCAATAATAGTAAGTACTATTAAATTATTAATCGATGCACTAGTTTAACGGAAATTTTAAAAATGTATTACAAACACGTAATACAAGCAACGTTGTTATCAGATGTTCTTACGTCGTTATTAAATATAGATTAATGTGATTCACGGAAATGTTCGCAACCTCCAATTAGTTAAACACTGAATTCCATGCAGAGATTTATATAAACACACGAAAAGCGTAGATGTGAAAGTAGTTAAATTTATGATCGTCCTTGCACATACGTTAATTGAACACAAAATAGCCTTTCTCACACGGAACATTAGAAGATGTTACTGACCATCGCCAAAAAACTGCTTATTTAAATATTTCCAGCCCTCCGCTCTTGTATCTTCCGAGTCCATCGTCAACTTTCTTTGTTACAACAATTACAATGAACTAATAATATTTTTAATAAGTTAGTTCATGTGTAATATTCAACCCGGCGATATTCACAACCTCATCTGTCAGATAGATATTCGCGACTGTCATTAATCGTATCGTGTCAGCCCATGTCAGCCTATCAAATCAATATTGACATTGACAGCAGTTTGAGCATAGACAATTGTTTCGGATGCTCGTACAAAATTAAATTCTTATTAACTACTTTATTTCATTGTTGTTTATAAATTCAATAAAAAGTTTTAAATGAAATTAGTTTACGGATTTTATCGTGTTTTTATTTTGATTTGAATTTCCCGACGTTTCGAACCCTTTCCAGCGTTCATGGTCACGGGACGGACTAAGTTGTTACACGTCTTGATGTCATGGTTAGGCACAAATCTTACCTAGGTTTAGGTTAAACTTCTAACCTATCCGAGTTCAAGGGTGGATCCAGGGGGGGGGGGTCATGACCCCCCCTGGGCAGGGTCCAGGACCTATGTGGACCACTAATTAAAATGGTTAAATATAATGTTTTTATATATTTTTTGCCACAATATAGATTTTATGTAAGTACCTTCAATATTTAATTAAATTAAGATAATATTTTTCACCGACTTCAAAAGGAGGAGTTTCTCAATTCGATTGGTATATTTTTTTCGATGTATGTACGTTTACGTTGACATTTATGATCCGATTTACGTGATTCTTATTTAGTTTAATGCAGAATAGATGCCATTTGGTCCCATTAAAATTTACCATAGTTTGGCCAAGTATTTTTCATTATATGAACTTTTTACAATATTTTTAATGTTAAATCATCAAATCAAATCTTGCAAATTAAATTTGATCTACTTCCTGGTTACCGGTTGAGCTGAAATTTTGTATACATGTGTAAATCGCGAGACAACGCAATATTTTTATGACATGGTGCTGATCTGATGATGGAGCTGGAAGAAGGCCAAAGGAACTTCGAAATGAAACGACAGAGCCTCATTTGAATCGTATTGACGATGTAGTTTGTCTTTCATTGGTAACCAGGATCTGATGATGCAGCTCCATCTTCAGCCGTCCATGGACATATATATGCATAGGGTTGCAGATGCGTTTTCTCCTTATAATAAAGTTGGGGTCCGGCTACCTCACTCACCAGACAAATCGCAGAAGTACTTTACGCCGATCTTCTGTGAGGTCTATGAGGCTATTCTGTGAGGTTCCTACGACTACTTTGTAATGAAACTACTCAATCCCATTGATATACGGCTGGTTTGATTCGTCTTGGCGAGTACTTAATTTTTAGATGGTTACCAGGGTCAGATCTGATGATGGAACTGGAAGATAGTCATATGAACTCAGTAAAGAAACGACGCAACCCTATTGTATCTCGGATTCGTTTGATTCGTCATGACGAGTTCTTTGGTGCTAGATGGTAACCAGGGTCTGATGACAGAGCTAGAATGTGGCCATAGGAACTCAGAAATTAAGGAACACAACTGCGTCGAGTTTGATTCGTCTTAATGGGTGGACTGTTTTTGATGGGTGGTGAGATGTGGTGGTGTAGGGAACGTGAGTATGCGAGACCATCTTTGGGAAATAAAGCTTGTTCGTTCCGTTTGTTATGAATGTGGGTTCTGTCTTTGATTAGATGGATTATGGATGAATGAATGACTGAATAAATATTTTTTTTTGTTATTTATGAACATTTTTTTAATGCGGACAATGTAATTTTATTTTGTGTACGGCTATTTTAGGACTTTTCATTTGGGTTGATTATATATTATTATTAACCCGTGTCCCGATAGTCCCGTCTTACGCTACTTGTCATTGAAGTGGAGTCAGCGTGCGGAGTAGAGGAATAGTGAATATTATAACCAATATGACTACATAAAATTTATTTTACGCGCGATCATACATAACTAACACGCGCACAAGTTCGTTTCAAAAGTATACGACGCATTTATGAATGACTACTGCATTGGCAACAAGTTTGTTGTTGTTTTTAGGGAATAGAATGCCAATTTTTTTAAAAACTAGTTTGTTTTTATTTCAATAAACGATTATACTATCGAGTCTGAACCTCCTGTGTGAATTTGGGCACCTTTATAAAA